AAACTAACAGACAAACCTCAAAAATGTAACAAAATTTTTAATTGTACATAAAACAATTTGAAACAAAGAATATCTGAATGTCAAAAAATGTATGCATTGTGTGAAATACAGTGTGAAAGAAAAACACTTAGCTTGGTTCAGTCGACTGAAATGAAATACTTTTTTTCTCTCTTTCTTTTCCTTTTTTTTCTCTTCCTCTCTCTATCTATCTCTCTCTCTCTCTCTCTCTCTCTCTCTCGTTATATATTTCTCCTTTTTCCGTTCATATAATATTCAACATTTTATTTTTGTAGAAAAATGTTTTCTTTTTCTGGGAGTCTTTTTCAAAGTTGATTCATTTCCAGTTGGGAGTGATCTTCATCCTGTTGATCCTCACTGACGCCACTGAAATTGGGAGTTTGTATGAGTTGGGGATGACATTCCTTTACTTCTGTTTGGTGAATCCATTTGCATGAGGATTTCATGGCTAGTCTGAATTCCTTGAGATTTGTTACCCTAACTGATGTGCCGTGTTATTTTTTATTTTTTTTTGTTTTTTTTTTCCCCCCCGGCTCAATTTCAAATCACAAGTCAGGTGACTTCACATGCATAGTTATTTTTAGCATGCACATGATATGGTTGCTAGGGTGTCAATCCATTTTTGACCATGGATTTTTGCCTGACTGCTTTTAGCCTGTCACAGAGAGAGATAGAGAGATAATCACAAAGAAAAAAGAGAAAGTTCACTATAACAAATTAACCTCTCTAGAGTTTAGTGAATTTTATTTGAGGTGTGTCTGCATAAAGTCGTCAAACTGTTGTTTATTAGATTCACAAAGAAAATGTAGTCTCTTGTTTACTCACATGCAGCATCTGTGTTGTAATTGATATAAATACTGTTTGTAGTACTCTCAATCTGAGAGGTTAAACTCTTGTAAAAATAAAAATCAAGTTTAACAATTTTTGAGTTGACTTCTCTTTTTAAAGAGGCAAAGGAAAGCAATATTTAGAATTTGATAAGGATTTATACTAACTGATTTTGCACCCCCACAAGTATTTTTTGAGGGATTCTCTCCAAGTATAGGTGACTGCATCCCCATAACTATTTTTTGAGGGGGTGCACCCACAAGTATTTTTTTGAGGGAGTTTTTTGCACTGCACATGTATTTTTTTGAGAGGGTGTTGCACCCCACAAGTATTTGAGGGTGCATCCCACAAGTATTTTTTGACTGGTTTTTGCACTCCACTAGTATTTTTTTTGAGGGATTTTTTTTTCCTTGAGAACTTTGCACCCTACAAGAATTTTTTTTCTCTCAAGGGATTTTGCACCCTCAAGTATTTTTAATGGAGTTTATAATTTCCTTATATTCAAATAATGGATGAAAAATAAATTTCTTGATGTTTAAAAAGTTGATTTGCAAGAAAGTGTGATGGATTTTTATTTTTTTCCAATTCAAAAGAAATTCTTATGGTGATTGTTTCTGTCGTCGGTGTTTTGAAAATATTTTCAAAATCTGTCTTACTTTAATTTGTTTCTTAACCGAATATCTCAAGTTTTCTTTGCCACTGTTATTCAAACAAATAAGTTTTTGTGAGAAGTTTCTATCATTTGTAATGTAACTTGCTATTGATGATTTTAACCTTAACTACACTAGAGGTGAAAATTATTGCCATAAAATTCTCTCCCTTTGCTGCTCTAGGCACATTATGTCACCTCATGTGGGTTGCTATAAATAAACACTTGTCAGCTGTTAATTTCCAGTATTTTAAGCTGGAAATCATCTACTACTACTTTGGAACAAGGCTAAACTTCTATTTTCTGATGCCATTTTTAATTCTTCTAGTTTCTACACATAAACTTGCATTAATTTTTTCATGATTTTTTTTGGAAACAAAAATGGCTGCATCAACATCCAATGAAGCCTTTATTCAGGAATTTTTCTTTGATTCAGACTCCAGTGATGATTTTGAAGTCTTTACTCAAGTGGTTATTGACAGTGGAATTTTCAAAGATGATAACCATGCATCACTACATGGATGAAAACGTTGATGACCACTAGCAGCTACTATCATCTACGGATGACTAATTTTATGGAAGCTACTGGTGACCATCGATATACCTGATAGCCTTTCCAAAGGTGAATTATTTCATCTATATATAAACAACAAAGTAATAACTTTATTTGTCAATGAGACAAATATGCTAGTCAAGTGAAAGAAAGAGCTAACAAATACTGGTGTCTTCTTGTATGTAAACATGAGGAGCATGTTGCTTTTTTGATGAAATGAAAGCCTTCTAATTGATTTTGCTTCTTATTGCACTCTAGAAATCCACAAGGAATAATAAGTTAAAGTATGTTAAATTGTTAATGTATTTATTTTTGTGTTTCAGTTTTTTCTTTTCAATTTCAAAGCATGCATGCAAAACGTAATGCATTACATCAAGATATTACTCTTCCATTTTTCATTACTATACAAAAAGTAAAATCTATACACACAATACAAAGAAAGATAACAATTTTAAAACAGTAGGTGTCATGTTTTTGCACCCTAAAAAAAAAAGAAAAAATGCAGTGGCAAGGGAGACAACTCTAGAAAGAAATTAGCATGGTAATGGTTAAGGTAAGTATTTCAAAAGTATGACTTAATTTGGTAACAAATCATGTAATGTTCATTTCCAATTGTTTGTTTTTTTTTTATTTTTTTTATTATTTTTTTTTTTTTTTGTAAAGTTGCTTCTTGTCCCATTCTGTTTAGCATTTAATTGTAGTTTTTAATGGATTGGTTAACTGAAAAAGTGACTTTTTTCCTTGAGATGAATTGTTTAGTTTTCTTTATATTGTAGCATGCATTTTTTAATGTTGTTTTTAATGTTAAAGATGGTTGAAAATAAAGTGACATTTTTCAGCTTCTTTATGCTTTTTCTTTTTTCCCCTTTTTTCTTTTTCCCTCCCTTTTCCCCCTCCTCCTTTTCTTTCCCCCCTTTCCCCTCTTTATTTTTTTATTTTTTTAAGGGATGTGTCAGCTTGATGACAGTTTGGAATAATTTAATTCCTCTTATTTATGAGATTTATTCCCATTCTTTTATTCTCTAATTTATAGTTTCTCCTATATGCAGAGATTGCAATTTTTACCCATCTTTATTATAATTCTAATCTGTGTCATACATTTTGAGAAATTGATAAACATGAAACAGCACTGTAAATAGATAAATAAATTGAAAATGTATTTTATGTACATTAGAAAAATCCTTTAAAGAATTTAAAATAGAACACTTTTATATGCATAAGAACATATGTAAATTATTTTCAGCTAATTTATCTGTAAAGAAACAAAAGGAATAAAAAGACAAGAAGAAGAAAAATACTTTTAGCTGATGCATTTCATCCTCCGAGGGACTTTATCGAATCAAATGTCAAAGTTTATTTTGTTGCCCATGTTTATATACAATAGCAAGGATGTCATTGGTTTATCAAGGATAAATTGTCATCTAAATTATGCAAAAAAGGAGAAAATAATGCTAACATCTCATTTTAACAGATATATTTACCAAAATTACACAAAATTATTTTGTAATACTAAAGAGTAAATTTATTCAATAAAATCACCATTGGCTTCTACCACCTGCATCTCTGCTGCGATTCTTCATGGCAGTCTCCTTGATGAATGCAGCCATAATCCTTGCTTTCATTTCATCTTTGGTGTTACAAGGAGCTTTGTTGGTCTCTCGCTCAACTATGTCCCATGCATAATAATCAAGGGGGTTGCAGTCTGGGGAGTTAGGTGGCCAGATGTAAGGGGTGATCTGATTGCAGAAATTTTGTCTGACAGCTTTGACCTAGGGCAGCACAATGTTCTCAAATTTAAAAGCTTTGATAAACCAATGATGTCCTTGCTTTTGTATATAAACACGGGCAACAAAATAAACCTTGGCATTTGTCTTGATAAAGTTCCTCAGAGTATGAAACATGTTGACTAAGAATAGTTTTTCCTCTTGTCTTTTTATTCATAAGAAAATATACAGATAATATATGAGAGACAGAGCAGTTAGTAGCCAAAAAGAAAGACAAAACAGATTCCTGGTAACCTATTAAAACCTTGATATTGGCCTTCTTCCAATGTGTCAAGGTTCATATTCAGTGACAATAATTTGGAGGTCGGATAGTATTTGTCTTTATAAAAACTGTGCAAAGATGTATAGCATTATAAGTCGATTCGTCACCTGAAATGCAACATGGGGAGGGGGAATCAGTAGCCAGTTGGTGGAAAGGTTGGGAGAGGGTTGTGTTTTATGTTTATGAAACTATTAAAGAACTTACTATTTTATTCAGTTCTAAGTAAACATCTAATGTCTATTTTGAAGGTTATTGGAATTATTTTCATTGATGAGCTCCTTAATTTCAATCAGCTAGAATTGGCCTTTGGTGCCTTGTTAGCATCTGTGCTGCAGAGGTTAATGATATAGAACCAGATCTGTACACGACATTTGGAATTTTATCTGGTTCAGTAAATAAATGTTCTTGTTCTTTTTTTCATTATTTTTCAAACTCTTCTTCAAAAGAGACTTGATGTAATTTTGTTGAGTCCTGTTTGAAAACTTGTAAGTTTTGCTTACAGATCGCAACATCTATCAGAGATGAAATATAAATTTTTATTATTGCGTTGTTCCAAAATTTTAACACATCAGCAGATAGCTATTAATGTCAACAACTGAGCACAAATAGCTATTAATTAAAAAAATTAGTAATTAATATATAATATTATCTATAACTACATCTTCAAGAATGTTGTTTTTGATAAAAGTTAAAAAATAACCATAAATACATAAAAAATGCGTATATTATCAAAAATTCCTTTTTCCACGATATAGCTATTTGTGCTATGTTATAATGCTTATTACCTAAACAATAATAATACTGAATAAATTTTGTTTAAACATTAAAGTATTTAATCACATCTCCCTAATGATCTGTTAATTCAATTTATTTATTTTTTTTTGTTTTTCACTTGTGTATTTTTAGATATACTACCTTCTATTCCCAGCCGAAAGGACAAATTAAAAGATGAATTCTGTAGTCTTTTTGAGACCTTTTGGATCAAGGAAAAGCCAGGCCGACAAGATCTCATTGACAACACAATCTTGTACTTATTTGAATTGAACATGCGACCAAAATCAACTGTAAGTAACAGCAATAAACTTTCTTTTTTTTTTTTTCTTTAATTCCTTTTCATCTTGATAAAATGTCTAAATTCATCTTCTGTTTAAAGATGTTAGAAGATTGTTAAATTGTCAATCAATATCTTGATTGATTTGTTTTCCACGGCTTATCAACCCATTGCAGGTTATTTAAAGCCAGGAAATATTTTTAGATTGTAAATTTAAAAAAATTTTTTTTTTTTTAGATAGTAATGATTTAGTGATACAAATCTTACTAATTAACCCATAGCTGGGGAGAGAAGAGGTCGATTTCTCGGCGATATTTATATGTAGGTGAATATAATAAACTCAGAGGGAGCTTGAACTCTCTGATTAACAATTCTAAGTCAATATCTATTACCTACTATTCCCCAGCAGTCACCTATCTAGGTACTGACCAGGCTTACTGTTGCTTAACTTCAGTGATTGTATGGGAACTGATGTTTCAATGTAATGCAGTCGTAAGCCAATCAATATCTAAAATATGGATTGGCAAACATCTTGCAGAAGGCTACATGTCTTGTTTGGTGGGTTTGTGATGGGCCCCAGATATCAAAAAAAGTACTTGAATAATGAATATACATGTGACTCTATTTATAGCATTGACAATTAATAGTAACCAAAATTCCAATACTCTCAGGCCATCATTTTACAATTAGTGAGCATTCTCAAACTATAATGCTTTTCACCAGTTGGTCCTTGGTCAGTTCCCATGATGGTTGATACTGCTTTGCTGGTTGTTGAACCAAGGCTGCCTCAATCTGTGCCCTACCCTGCCCACATTGTGCTTTTTTATCAAAGAGCCTGTACGGACAGAGTTGTCATCAGCAATTGTAGCATTGTATTGAACCACAGTGAAGCTGTGTCATAAAGTTAAATAAAAATATTCTTTGTAGACAAAATAAAATAAAACATAAATCCTTCAGGTCAACTTTCTATGTGGTTTATGTCATACAGAAAAATTATCCCTTCCCACTTTGATTTCTATAGTGACACTTTGCCTATCAAAATTAATTCTAGAACTCAACTCAAGTCAGGAGTTCTCTTTGGCAGAGAGTCACATGAGCTTCGGCAGCGTGGTTGTCTCTTGTTGTCTGTTCTCTTTAGAACTGCTGCAACTTGTTTGGTCATTTCAGAGCTCTGCTTATATTGACTTCCACCCAAGATCGGTATGGGGTCTGACATATTTGGGGACTCAGGGTCTTCCAACAATATTTTGTTGTCTGGCTTTGGAAAATTAATTATCTCTCCAAATTTGCGAGATCCCTTTTCCTATGGGCAGTAGTCGCAGGTAGTGACTTGCCCATATAACTCATACCTTCTCTCACTCATGCCTCACACCATTATTTTTACAGTTTTCTAAAGCATCTGTTGCTTGTTTCATCTATTTAGGAAGATTTGATCTCTACTCCTTTGCTCAGGATTACCAGGTCTCTCAATACCTTAAGTCACAAAACAATAGTTCATGCACCAATATGACCCAGTCAAGGCCACTGCCCTGTTACACAGGTTTTCTGTTTTTGGCAAGATGATATGTCTGCACACAATGCTAGCAAGGTGATACTTTGAAAAATTTGGTCTTTGAATGTATAGATCTGGTTTGATCTATTTCTTGGTTTCAAACATTGAAAGAAAGGATATTTTTTTAATCATTTGAAAGTGACAACAGTAGCAGAGCAATATTTTAATGATTAAACATTAGGAGTTTTTTAGTATTAAAGAAACAACATTCCAAGTCTGTTGAACTGCTGGGAGAATATTTGAAATAGTATATACTTCATGGCTTTAGGTCTGTCTTAAAAAAAAAAAATCATCATGTCCTTGTCTGTTCCCAGGACAGGATGTTCCAGCATTGTCTCACCTATACCTAATTGGTGAAACAAATTCTATGCTGCTACCACAACCAGGTAAATTTTTTAAAATTCTCTTAGTATAGAACTAGGTTCTTTCTAAACTGATGGGTGCTATACAGTGGTGGCATTCTATCATTTTGCACGAACCAATTATTAAAATTATAAAAGCTTAGTGAACAAGTTGTTGGATTATCCGAAAATAATCTTATATATTAGTAGCTGATATATAATAGCTAAAAATATAATTAATACCATTGCTGTAAGTTCTGCAGAGGCTGAAAGAGTGTTTTCTGTGATGAACATAATTTATTTTGACAAAGGAGATCATCTTGAAGTTAATAAATGTGGCAAATCTTCTAGTCATAAATTTGATGAGTTTTCGATTGGATCTTTGGAACTGAAGCGATTCAGTTCAAATGTGGCTAAGAAAACATAACACAGCTGATGACACTAGAGTCGAAAAGCATCAGACCTTTGAATCCAGTAGGGTGAGCATATAGTGAGAAAAGGATTTCAATCTGGAAATATCTTAATAAATAAATGTTTTCTATTATCAAAATGATTTAATTCTTTTTGATATTATATAAAGTTATTTGTTTCCATCCTGGCATTGAAAACGAAATAAGCAAAATCGGTTCCTCAAGATTACCTAACTTTATAGAACAAGTTCCTGAAAATTTGGGATGCCATTATTGGTGCTAAACATAATTAAATAAGAAAGGCATTACTTTCTGACTAACCCACGTATATGCACTGCTTTCAATTTTCTCACTCTCCAGCAGTGTTTCCTATCTGTGATTTGAACCTCACTCCACAAAGATTCTGCTTTTTAACTTCCTCTTTACATATACCTTTCTCATGAGCCTCAGGTCTAACTTTAAAAGATGGCTGATTTCACCCTTGGGTAATTACATGTTGTGTCAACCAAAAAATTAATTTCTGGCAAGTCAATCAGAAGATATAAGGGTTTTTGTGAGATTGTTGGGTACAAAAATAGCAATATCCATTGATGCAAAAATGCTGATTCAGCAAAATTTCAACTTGCAACATCTTGATAATGACTATATGATATACAACAAATATCTAAATGAACAAAATTTTTTTTTCGGGTTACATTGATTGGTTGAATTAACATGGAATGATCTTGCGAATTGTATATCTGAAGAATGCTAAAGAATGAAATATTTGAAATGTAACAACAAAATCAACATTGCATTAATAGTTTTTTAGATCTCTCATTTTCCTCCAGTTTTTTTTCTTGTTTTTGTTTTTGTTTTGTAAGGAAAGTGATAAATAAATAAATGAAAAATAATAACCTTTCTTTCTAGTAGCACTGCAAATTAAGCCTCAATCATTTAGCTGTCCTTACAAGTGATTATTTATATTTTTTACAGAAATGATCAAACTGCATTATTTGAATCTTAACTCTTTTTGCTCTTTGTTTCAGCTGAAAATGATAAAACGTTTATGGCAGTTACGTGAAGCTTTCCATCTGATAGAATTTGATGATCCTTCCACACAGACTCTCAGGGATCAGATTTGTCAAAGCCTCATTAATCCAAATTTCATGAAACGAGATGAAGTAAGTACAATTTCTTTTTTTTCTTTTTTCTTTTTTTTCATTTCTTTCTCTGGCTGAGCTATCTTTATTGCAAGAAGTAGTAGTTTTATTGAAAATATCTCTTACCAATTCCTTCAGATGATTTCTAAAGAGTATTTCATTAAGACGAATCAAAGTCAGCAGTAAATAAATCAGTGTTATTGGTGGAAATTTATTTCTCTATTGGATAATATTATTTAAGTCATGGTAATTGTGTGTGAAAAGTAATATTGCCCAAATGTCTGCCAAGCCTTCGGCTGCACACCTCCACTCGATGGTCAAAATTTTTGATGACAACTGCACAGTTGCTCCTCGATCTCACCAATATGCCTTATTATCTCATCCTTCAGCTGTTGAATTGTTTTTGGCTTATTGACATAGACCTTACTTTTGAGATGACCCCAAAGGAACAAATTTAAAGGCGTCAAATTGCATGATCGTGGTGGCCAATTTACCTTGCTGTTTCGAGAAATGATGTGACCTGGGAAGTGTGTGAAATGCATTTCTGTTTGAACATCCATTTTTGTAATAGGCTTTGATATCTTTAACACGTTTGATTGTTAATCTTTCCATGATTGAAATTACCAAAGTCTTAAGATGTTAAATCTGAAAGAAGAGAGATCATTAGACGCTTAAACTTAATTCATATTCAAAATCAGTCAAAGTTATTGGAACACCCTTTACATATAATGATAATTCTAGAAAGCTCTTATCTGCTTAGTTTTATATCTGAAAAATAAAAGAAAACAGTTTTTAAAGAATTAATGGATTTATTTTTAATCTGACATTTTTTATTATTTCAAATATTATTATAGCAGATATTTTAAGAGAATATGTCTTTTATGAATAAAACTTTTCCTAGTTCTGGGTCATTTGATGTGGGCAGATGGCCTTCATCTGGGTATTTGGATTCATTATGTGGTGCAAAAAATTAAGCTAGTCCCCTGGTTAAGTCAGTTGTTGCCGAAACCTGCTTCAGTGCAAACTGTTTACTACCCTTCACTGACCTGACATGTAAACTATACCACAAAACCTAGCAATTCCCGGCTAATGCCTTTTTGAAATATTTCTAACTTTTTGCCATAAGCCTTTTATTTTTTCCTTTTTAGCCACTGACCGATAAACTACATTTGTCTCATGGGTAAGACGATAAACTACGTCCAACAGCAAGGCCTTTGATCAGGAGGTTTTGAGGAGCGTAGAACCACCTCTTAATTGCTGGTATTCCTAGGTTTACCCTGACCCGGGGTGGTAGCACCTGTTAGGGTCCCAGCTATGGGCAAATAGTTAAACCCTTCAATACATTTTTGTAAATAATTATTATCAGCCATACGTTATTATCAGCAATAAATTTTTGAAGAAAAATATTACCAGTAATGAATTTTTGAAAAACAAGAAGAAAAAAAAATTACCAGCTATTCTTTTTTGAAGGAAATATATTACCAGCAATAAAAATTGTTGGCATTAAATAACCCCATGAGGTTAATATGCCATAAAACAAACCAAACCAAACCAAATTAGCTGCTGACCAAATCAAAAAAATTCAAATAAAATCTTTTTTGTATACTGTAAAACCAAGTTGGTATTCCTGTCGTTCAATTTGATTTTCTTCATCGTATTTCTTGTATTGCACACATGAAAAATACTCATGTTTGAAATATTGGGTTGGTGCATAATTATCAGGCGTTTTTGTAGGAGAGTTATTTGTTAATAAAAATTGCTGTTTTGTTTACTTTTTTTTAATAAAAAATATTTTATTTTCAGGTTATAAAAATGCATGTTGATAATCATATGCTCCAGAATAATCATTTAAAAATGTTATTGTTGAATTGTTATGTTTATTTTTTCATAATAAATATTGTTTAAAAACGCCTGATAATTATGTGCCAACTCAATAGATTCTCTGTTTTTATTTTAGAATGTATTATGTATATTGGACTGTGCATTAAAAAAAAAGGAAAAAAAAATGCTCTCTGGATTGAACTGGCATCCCCCTTTGTAGGAGAAACCAACATTTGAGCCAGCATTCTTTACTGCTTGGTTACAGAGAGCATCACAGTTCAGCAAAGCTCTATTTTCCCTTGCACTCACCAATTCATGGTAATCACAAATAGATGGAGCATTTTTAGGTATCAGTCAGCCTAGACTTAGGAAATTGTCACATTTACATTAAATAACAATTGATGATCTATTTACATCGTTCATACTGTTGTCCTCATCTTTATTGCCATATTCACAATGTTTCAGCTGTTATACACTCGGTCCTTTTTCAGGACCTGTCTATATTTCTGAAATAAGGTATTGTAATTATTTACCGAATTTACATCATTCAGACTATTGTCCTCATCTTCATTGACAATTTCACAATGTTTGGGCCATTGTATGCTCCAACCTTCTTCAGGTGATATATTCCAATGAAGGTCAGAGCATACAATGGCCAAAACACCATGAATATGGCAGTAAAGATGAGGACAACAGTCTGAACAACATAAATAGTTAAAATATCTCATTTTGGAAATATAGACAGAAATTGTTGATCTATTGTTAAATTAACCTAACCTATAATTCTGTTTTAGGGAGTGCGTATTCTTGGATCAATTCTACCGTTGAATGCTAGTTTTATGAAAACTTGTCATGAAATTATCAAGAAAAACCTTCTGACCGTTCCTCGGTAAGAGTCTTTCAGATCTCTCTCTCTAATTTAAAGAAGTATGTGTAGTGTAACACAGAGCTTGAAATTAGTCTCATCATCCAGGGGGATAGTAGAAACTTAAATTTTTAGGGTGGGAATGATGCTGGGATAATACAAAATTTATAATTAAAATTCTGTTATATTTATTCTAAAAGCAAACAAAACATAAAAATAAATCAACAATGACAGGTTTTAAGAAACAGATCATGTATCCACACATAAAAAAGAAAAAAAAAATGAAAAACATAAGCTGCTTGAATGAAAAATGAAGGACTTAAATTTAGATATTTGTATTACCAAAACTTTTTGGCCAATCCAATTCCCTATCTTTCCCAAGAAGTCATGGCAATTCACAGATAATAAAGAAAAGGAATCTATGAGAAGGACAACTCTGAATTCCAAACTGTGGAGAAGGCAATGGGAAATGACTCCCCTATCTTTCCCAAGAAGTCATGGCAATTCACAGATAATAAAGAAAAGGAATCTATGAGAAGGACATCTCTGAATTCCAAACTGTGGAGAAGGCAATGGAAACCACTCCCCTATCTTTCCCAAGAAGTCATGGCAATTCACAGATAATAAAGAAAAGGAATCTGTGAGAAGGACAACTCTTAATTCAAACTGTGGAGAAGGCAATGGGAAACCACTCCCTATCTTTCCCAAGAAGTCATGGCAATTCACAGATAATAAAGAAAAAGGAATCTATGAGAAGGACAACTCTGAATTCCAAACTGTGGAGAAGGCAATGGGAAACCACTCCCTATCATTCCCAAGAAGTCATGGCAATTCACAGATAATAAAGAAAAGGAATCTGTGGAGAGAAGGACAACTCTGAATTCCAAACTGTGGAGAAGGCAATGGGAAACGACTCCCTATCTTTCCCAAGAAGTCATGGCAATTCACAGATAATAAAGAAAAGGAATCTATGAGAAGGACAACTCTGAATTCCAAACTGTGGAGAAGGCAATGGGAAACCACTCCCTATCTTTCCCAAGAAGTCATGGCAATTCACAGATAATAAAGAAAAGGAATCTGTGAGAAGGACAACTCTGAATTCCAAACTGTGGAGAAGGCAATGGGAAACCACTCCCTATCTTTCCCAAGAAGTCATGGCAATTCACAGATAATAAAGAAAAGGAATCTATGAGAAGGACAACTCTGAATTCCAAACTGTGGAGAAGGCAATGGGAAACGACTCCCTATCTTTCCCAAGAAGTCATGGCAATTCACAGATAATAAAAGAAAAGGAATCTGTGAGAAGGACAACTCTTAATTCCAAACTGTGGAGAAGGCAATGGGAAACCACTCCCCCTATCTTTCCCAAGAAGTCATGGCAATTCACAGATAATAAAGAAAAGGAATCTATGAGAAGGACAACTCTGAATTCCAAACTGTGGAGAAGGCAATGGGAAACCACTCCCCTATCATTCCCAAGAAGTCATGGCAATTCACAGATAATAAAGAAAAGGAATCTGTGAGAAGGACAACTCTGAATTCCAACTGTGGAGAAGGCAATGGGAAACGACTCCCTATCTTTCCCAAGAAGTCATGGCAATTCACAGATAATAAAGAAAAGGAATCTATGAGAAGGACAACTCTGAATTCCAAACTGTGGAGAAGGCAATGGGAAACCACTCCCTATCTTTCCCTAAGAAGTCATGGCAATTCACAGATAATAAAGAAAAGGAATCTGTGAGAAGGACAACTCTGAATTCCAAACTGTGGAGAAAGGCAATGGGAAACCACTCCCTATCTTTCCCAAGAAGTCATGGCAATTCACAGATAATAAAGAAAAGGAATCTATGAGAAGGACAACTCTGAATTCCAAACTGTGGAGAAGGCAATGGGAAACCACTCCCCTATCTTTCCCAAGAAGTCATGGCAATTCACAGATAATAAAGAAAAGGAATCTATGAGAAGGACAACTCTGAATTCCAAACTGTGGAGAAGGCAATGGGAAACCACTCCCTATCTTTCCCAAGAAGTCATGGCAATTCACAGATAATAAAGAAAAGGAATCTATGAGAAGGACAACTCTGAATTCCAAACTGTGGAGAAGGCAATGGGAAGTGAGAAGGCAATCTGGGAAACCACTCCCCTATCTTTCCCAAGAAGTCATGGCAATTCACAGATAATAAAGAAAAGGAATCTATGAGAAGGACAACTCTGAATTCCAAACTGTGGAGAAGGCAATGGGGAAACCACTCCCCCTATCTTTCCCAAGAAGTCATGGCAATTCACAGATAATAAAAGAAAAGGAATCTATGAGGAGGACAACTCTGAATTCCAAACTGTGGAGAAGGCAATGGAAACCAAACTCCCCTATCATTCCCAAGAAGTCATGGCAATTCACAGATAATAAAGAAAAGGAATCTGTGAGAAGGACAACTCTGAATTCCAAACTGTGGAGAAGGCAATGGGAAACCACTCCCCTATCTTTCCCAAGAAGTCATGGCAATTCACAGATAATAAAGAAAAGGAATCTATGAGAAGGACAACTCTGAATTCCAAACTGTGGAGAAGGCAATGGGAAACCACTCCCCTATCTTTCCCAAGAAGTCATGGCAATTCACAGATAATAAAGAAAGGAAAAGGACAACTCTATGGAGAAGGACATCTCTGAATTCCAAACTGTGGAGAAGGCAATGGGAAACTGTGACTCCCCCTATCTTTCCCAAGAAGTCATGGCAATTCACAGATAATAAAGAAAAGGAATCTATGAGAAGGACAACTCTGAATTCCAAACTGTGGAGAAGGCAATGGGAAACCACTCCCTATCTTTCCCAAGAAGTCATGGCAATTCACAGATAATAAAGAAAAGGAATCTATGAGAAGGACAACTCTGAATTCCAAACTGTGGAGAAGGCAATGGGAAACCACTCCCTATCTTTCCCAAGAAGTCATGGCAATTCACAGATAATAAAGAAAAGGAATCTGTGAGAAGGACAACTCTGAATTCCAAACTGTGGAGAAGGCAATGGGGAAACCACTCCCTATCTTTCCCAAGAAGTCATGGCAATTCACAGATAATAAAGAAAAGGAATCTGTGAGAAAGGACAACTCTGAATTCCAAACTGTGGAGAAGGCAATGGGAAACCACTCCCCTATCTTTCCCAAGAAGTCATGGCAATTCACAGATAATAAAGAAAAGGAATCTGTGAGAAGGACAACTCTGAATTCCAAACTGTGGAGAAGGCAATGGGAAACCACTCCCCCTATCTTTCCCAAGAAGTCATGGCAATTCACAGATAATAAAGAAAAGGAATCTGTGAGAAAGACAACTCTGAATTCCAAACTGTGGAGTAGGCAATGGGAAACCGCTCCCCTATCTTTCCCAAGATGTCATGGCAATTCACAGATAATAAAGAAAAGGAATCTATGAGAAGTACAACTCTGAATTCCAAACTGTGGAGAAGGCAATGGGAAACCACTCCCCTATCTTTCCCAAGAAGTCATGGCAATTCACAGATAATAAAGAAAAGGAATCTATGAGAAGGACAACTCTGAATTCCAAACTGTGGAGAAGGCAATGGGAAACCACTCCCCAGATAATAAAAAAAAAGGAATCTATGAGAAGGACAATCTTTCCCAAGAAGTCATGGCAATTCACAGATAATAAAAGAAAAGGAATCTGTGAGAAGGACAACTCTGAATTCCAAACTGTGGAGAAGGCAATGGGGAAACCACTCCCTATCTTTCCCAAGAAGTCATGGCAATTCACAGATAATAAAGAAAAGGAATCTAATGAGAAAGGACAACTCTGAATTCCAAACTGTGGAGAAGGCAATGGGAAACCACTCCCCTATCTTTCCCAAGAAGTCATGGCAATTCACAGATAATAAAGAAAAGGAATCTATGAGAAGGACAACTCTGAATTCCAAACTGTGGAGAAGGCAATGGGAAACCACTCCCCTATCTTTCCCAAGAAGTCATGGCAATTCACAGATAATAAAAGAAAAGGAATCTATGAGAAGGACAACTCTGAATTCCAAACTGTGGAGAAGGCAATGGGAAACCACTCCCCTATCTTTCCCAAGAAGTCATGGCAATTCACAGATAATAAAGAAAAGGAATCTATGAGAAGGACAACTCTGAATTCCAAACTGTGGAGAAGGCAATGGGAAACCACTCCCCTATCTTTCCCAAGAAGTCATGGCAATTCACAGATAATAAAGAAAAGGAATCTATGAGAAGGACAACTCTGAATTCCAAACTGTGGAGAAGGCAATGGGAAACCACTCCCCTATCTTTCCCAAGAAGTCATGGCAATTCACAGATAATAAAGAAAAGGAATCTATGAGAAGGACAACTCTGAATTCCAAACTGTGGAGAAGGCAATGGAAACCACTCCCCTATCTTTCCCAAGAAGTCATGGCAATTCACAAATAATAAAGAAAAGGAATCTGTGAGAAGGACAACTCTGAATTCCAAACTGTGGAGAAGGCAATGGGAAACCACTCCCCTATCTTTCCCAAGAAGTCATGGCAATTCACAGATAATAAAGAAAAGGAATCTATGAGAAGGACAACTCTGAATTCAAACTATGGAGAAGGCAATGGGAAACCACTCCCCTATCTTTCCCAAGAAGTCATGGCAATTCACAGATAATAAAGAAAAGGAATCTATGAGAAGGACAACTCTGAATTCCAAACTATGGAGAAGGCAATGGAAACCACTCCCCTATCTTTCCCAAGAAGTCATGGCAATTCACAGATAATAAAGAAAAGGAATCTGTGAGAAGGACAACTCTGAATTCCAAACTGTGGAGAAGGCAATGGGAAACCACCCCTATCTTTCCCAAGAAGTCATGGCAATTCACAGATAATAAAGAAAAGGAATCTATGAGAAGGACAACTCTGAATTCCAAACTGTGGAGAAGGCAATGGGAAACGACTCCCATATCTTTCCCAAGAAGTCATGGCAATTCACAGATAATAAAGAAAAGGAATCTATGAGAAGGACAACTCTGAATTCAAACTGTGGAGAAGGCAATGGAAACGACTCCCTATCTTTCCCAAGAAGTCATGGCAATTCACAGATAATAAAGAAAAGGAATCTATGAGAAGGACAACTCTGAATTCCAAACTGTGGAGAAGGCAATGGGAAACCACTCCCCTATCTTTCCCAAGAAGTCATGGCAATTCACAGATAATAAAGAAAAGGAATCTATGAGAAGGACAACTCTGAATTCCAAACTATGGAGAAGGCAATGGGAAACCACTCCCTATCTTTCCCAAGAAGTCATGGCAATTCACAGATAATAAAGAAAAGGAATCTATGAGAAGGACAACTCTGAATTCCAAACTGTGGAGAAGGCAATGGGAAACCACTCCCTATCTTTCCCAAGAAGTCATGGCAATTCACAGATAATAAAGAAAAGGAATCTATGAGAAGGACAACTCTGAATTCCAAACTGTGGAGAAGGCAATGGGAAACCACTCCCCTATCTTTCCCAAGAAGTCATGGCAATTCACAGATAATAAAGAAAAGGAATCTATGAGAAGGACAACTCTGAATTCCAAACTGTGGAGAAGGCAATGGGAAACCACTCCCCTATCTTTCCCAAGAAGTTCATGGCAATTCACAGATAATAAAGAAAAGGAATCTATGAGAAGGACAACTCTGAATTCCAAACTGTGGAGAAGGCAATGGAAACCACTCCCTATCTTTCCCTATCATGGGAATTCAGAGATAATGAGAAGGACAACTCTGAAAAACTGTTATCTATCATGGGAATTCAGAGATAATAATAAAAAGTTATCTGCGGAGAATCATGCTCTCCTATATCCTGAAAAGATCTGGCATAAGTCACAAAAAAAAAAAAAATTTAGAAGAAAACTCTACATAAAATTTGTGCATTAATATTTTTCATGGAAACCATATTTCCTGCTCTATGCTCTAGTGCATCATACACGCACACACACACCTGTGATTTGAGAAGAACATTTTAGGAAAAATAGATTATTCAACTCATGATGCATCCATACTTCTATATAATTCTTCTTTTTTTTTTCTTTAAATTTAAGATTATTTGCACCTGTAATAATAATTAGCATAATTATCATAGCATCAAAAGAGAAACAAAAGTTTTTAGATGTTAATCTAGTGTAGTTAAATCAACAATCAAAATATGAGTTTTTTCATTTTATCACTGTGACTTGTAACAATTTGATATTGATTATTATTCCTGAAATCATGGAATGAAATAACTTTTTTTTTTTTTTTTTTTTGTATATTTCAGGAACTTAATACCAAAATATGGACAAGTTTACTTTCGAGCTTGGCAGATGAGTAATGAGCAAGTTAGACCAGTAAGTATTTTTATTTTTTTGATCATTCCACGCCAAACAAAGTGGGAATGCCAAAAGTACGCAGGGGGGTTACAGGGAGTGAAAGTGAGAGAAAAGACTGAATTAAGGGAGGATTGAGGAAAGGCCAAAATATGAATGGGATTCAAAAAGATTGATGGCAATTTAGGTTACATTTAAATTTTTGAAGATTGTAGTTATCAGGGAAGCAAGTAAACAGTAGGGAGTTCCACAGGCAGGAAGTGCAAGATAAACTAGAAGTGGCTGTTGCATTTAACTATTTCAAGATTAAAACAGAGGGACCTAGTTGCCAATCTAGTAGCACATTTAAATTCCTGTAGTCTGAACATTTGACATAAAAATATCTATGATTTTGAATATGACAAATTTATTGTCTATATCTTTTGGTACTGATGGTAATCCTTCAACCAGGTGTAATAAGTTTATAACTACAGACATGCTCTTGTCTCTTGAATAATAGTGGGGTTTAGGCATCAAAGTGTATAGGGAGGATTTCTTAATTAAAAAAAATAATAATCAATGTAAGTCAATCCAGTAGTGAGTGCTACTATTGGAAGTTTGGTAGTTCTTGCGTAAGTCTGAGTCATACTCAACAGATCCCAGCTAGACTCTTGTAGTCTGTTGCCTTACGAATACTTATAGGTAGTTACTACCTATAGTGTAGTCATTCATGGGGGTGACAGGTTATTCCATTACATCAGACCCTTAATAGTTTTCTTGGGATGAAAGATTTCTATGTGAACAGTGGCAAATTAGACTGAAGACTGAACTTTCAACAAAGTTGAAATATACTTATCTGAACCAGTATTTAGCCATGAACAAATTAATGTTAATTTTTCCAGTTAGGACATTGCTGTTTCAGTTACGCTCTCAACCTTTTCATAAATTTTTTATGTTTATTTTATCTAGTGATCAATTTTAGTATTTCTTGAGCAATATGCAAATAATGCTTATGGTGCAATTATTTTTTCCTTATGCTTAATTTCCATTGTGCATGTGTGTGCGTTATTTAATTTTGAATTTAGAAGCACATATTTGCAACTGCATTTTCCCTACATAGGGCTCATTTTCAAAAACCAGTGCTTCAGTATTAGTTAAATAACAGTATTCAATTTACATACCACTCAATGGTTGAATAGCAAATATTTTCTTATATGCTTGTATAAGTCTAAAATTTCTCTTCTATTCAATCATTCATTTGTCGGATTGTACGCAGCAATTGCAAGTTTCTCCTCAATCCACAACCCACAGAAATTAGCCCCAGGTTTATAGGTATAGGTATGTTTTTTTTTTTTTTTTTTTTTTGTCAGCTCTTAAATGGAGACACTAAAAGCACACATCTGATGTCATCAACCAACCGTTTCATAACATTGATGACATCAGCCGACAAGAAAGACTAGATCGGACATAAAATACATTTTCAAAATACAGTCACATATTAAATGTTTAAACAGGGATTTGTGTTTACTCAGAGAATAATTGTCCACATGGTGCCCTCTAACCAACAATAACATTCCTTGGAAGAGTATGTCCCACTTCTTTGTTTATTTCTTGTCTCGATGAAAAAGGGCACAAGCATTGCCAAAAATTCAGACTTCAAAATATTTCTTTTTGCTTCAATTTAGTCAAAAAGTTAATGTATAATAAATATCATCAATCTTATTGCCAATATTGTTATCATTTTGTTGGCTTTTTATTCCTCAAATTCAATTAACAGGCCTATATATATATATATATATATATATATATATATATATATATATATATATATATATATAATGCACATTTCATTGAATACGACAGACAAGGTGCTTTGATTTAGTTTTTTATACAATTTCTCGTGATCTAATAATTTTTTTCTTTTCAGATGATAAATTATATAAAAACTGTCCAAAAGTTTTTTTATTTGGGCACTTTCAGCTATACATTTAGCCATTTTCAAGGATGAAATATTTTAACTGTTAAATAAGAAATAGTTTGTTGCATTATGTATTTATAGAATGTTTTCATTTTTCAAAACACGGTCAAGATATTGTGTCCATGTTCATAGCTGATATTAAGTGTTGTTTTTTTTGTTTTTATTAATAAGGTTTCCATTATTTTTAGCCTTTTTTTTACATGTAGATGATGCTATTGTATTTGTGTTGTCAACAAGTATGTTACGAATAGTGTCTGGTAGGTCTCCATGAATATTTAAATGAGATCTAATTGAGCTATGGTCAGAAAGGTGTAGTGTGAGTCTGCATGCCAAACATGTTTTAGTGTGGCCTATATAATTATTTACGAAATTTGATTGATCAGGAATACAATTCCTTATTGAGCATTTAAATTCGTAAATAATATTTGCCCTATTTAATTTTATTCTAAGAGGTGAATTATTATTTTTAACTATAAGGTTAGAGGTTTTAAATTTTTTGTAATAAATAATCTAATTTTTTTGCTATTGTCAATTGGTGTTGTGCATTTTTTTTATAATGTTCTTAATTCTACTTTCGTCTTGTTTCTAATTTTTGTTCATTTGATTTTTATAAAAAAATATTAATGTTATTTATGTTTCTATTATTAAATGTGCATGAAAGAAGGATTGCTGCCTAAGTACACACACACACACACAAATATATATATAATTTTTTCTTTTTTCATTCTTTTTTTTTTATTAAATAATCATTTACCCTTGTCATTGGTAATATTTCTAATTGCAGAAATTGGAAACTGACTGTGTCCAAGATATCATGTATCATGCAATTCATGCTTCTGGGATTCAACTAGTGAAAATCTTAAGAAAAGTAAGTTTTATTTATTTTTTATGTATCCTCACCTCCACCTTCTGCAAATTACCCTGCATCCTATCTGAAATTGGGGCTTATTGTAAATTGATTTTATTCCTAATACTCACTAGTGTATGCTATAATTTTACCTCAGACAGTAGCTTCGATCGAGCCATGGTGTTTATTTCATGTCATCTCTTAGAACAATTGAAGGCCAGAACAAGAAGGCCTAGCTCAAATCTTATCATTCCATGGGGAGTGAGACATTTTAGTTTTGTTTTGGGGTTGCGTTAGTTTGCATAAGAAATATTTGCTTTGGAATACCTTAACAGTTTTAAGATTGATAATTAATTGAAAGATTGAAATGCGTATAGCATTTCATATGGCCCTGTTGGTCGGGATCTGAAGTTCTGCCAAGTTATAGATTAATTATAATAAGACCTTAGAAAAGAAGAAAATATACCAACATAAAGATGATTAACTTTCAATTATGCTCTCAATCTCTACATTTTTCTCTATATTTCTTAAGCTGTGAATGACCACAAACCAAAACTAAAATTTCTACACCCAGTGGAACAATGAAATTAGAAATAAACCTCCAGTTCTGGTCCTTAGTTGTATCATGAGTTGGCATGAAGTATAGAACACCAAGCCTAACCCAATAATTATCTTATTTAGTCAAACAATATTCTTATTATTACCAGTATTATGAAAAGAATTATCATAACAAAATCCAAGTAATGTTCATTGGTACTTAATGATCTGTCATACCAAAATTCCTCAGCATACTTCTATAGTTAGCCAGCTGAAAACTAAAAAAGAATACCAGTAATGGTAAAATGCTAACCTGTGAAAAATAACATTAAAGCTGCAAAGAAATAAATGTATGTATGATAATTTTATCCCCAATGCTCACTATTGTAGCTTATAATTTTACTTCAGTCACTTCTATCAAACCTAACCCTCATAATAATAGGATTTACTCCAACATTATTATTATTATTATATTATTATCACTACTACAGATATTTTTTTTTTTTTTTTAAATAAATGTTCTGGCCCTTAGTTGTACCATGAATTGGCCTGACATAAAGAACACCATAATAATCTTATTTATTCAACCAACATTATTACTACTTCTACAGATTATTTTTGAATAAGTTTTTTTTTCTTTCTTTTTCTCTCCAGTTTACATCTAAACTATTTTACTTTGGCAAGGTTTTTATTCTCATTATTTAGAATCATATTCAAGTAAGAAAATGAGAAAACTCTTGTTTCACTAACCCATCCCAAAATTAAAGTAACCTTTTAAGGAATGGTAATTGAGCTGCTCCTGCTGCTGTTAACCAGTATACTGGGGTGATTAAGAACACAGAATGGAATTGACTAAGTTCAAAACGTTGGTTGGGACATATTATGTTTACTTCACACAAATGTCCATGGAAAGGAATGACTTCACTTCTCTCTCCAGTTCTAAATACCATATTTGATGGCATGAAAGACACTTTTCTTTTTTTCTTTCTTTTTTTTTTTTTTTTACTAAAAATATCTTTTGGAATTCCCCTGATAGTTTGTGATAGTTGGCCGAAATTAGCTACCTGGCAACTCCTATTAGCTTAGACTTTAGAGTAACTTTCATATACCTGTTGTCATTATTTAAAAGTGTTATCATTGATAATATTCATTATATTAATTTCATTACGTTTAATATTAGTACTTTGTTTCACTAAAATTATATGCAATAAATTCAAATTATATATTTGTAAAATATATTTGTTTCATTAATATTTTTCTTGTGATGAACTTCCAGTTGCATTGGTATAAATACAATCAGAATTTTTATATCCTAATTATTCCACTAAGACGTTTACAAGACACAGGTTGTACAGATCATATAAAGGAAAATCTTTGACTGAATTTTAATGGTAACTGTACTGTTTTGCTCAATTGTAACAATTGCTTGATTTTTATCTTGTTTTCTTACCTTTGGATATAATAAAGTTTTTATAGGCTTGTGTTCATTTTTTCTTATTATTTTTTGTTTAATTGTAATCATGGCTTGTTTAACCAAAATAATACCTCATAAATATAGCCTAGGCTGTACCATTTACTAATAATTTTACTCTAGCTTTGTCAAAATTCAGAGTTGTTGTCAATAAGTATTACTACTACAGATTTCTTTTTAATAAATATTCTGGCCCTCAGTTGTACTATGAGTTGGCCTGAAGTAAAGAACACCATATACCAAGCCCAGCACCATAATATTTATTCAAACAACATTATTACTACTACAGATATTTTTAATAAATGTTTTTACCCTTTTTCCATCCTAGTTTATATATATTTATTTTGGCAAAGTTTTTATTTTTGATATTTAAAATCATTCAAGAAAAATTGGAAAAAATCTGTTTCACTAACCAGTCTCAGAATTGAAGTAACATTTAAGGAACAGTGTGATGTGGTGATTAAGAGCACAGAGAATGAAAGTGACAAACCAAATTCAAGCCCTGGCTGGGACATTTTGTGCTTATTACACACAAATGTCCTTGAGAAATGTATGACTTCTCTCTCTTGCTATAGATAAATATCAGGTCAGTTTGCAGCCCTTTACGTCAGCCTATTTCAGGCATTGGGCTAATACTCTGGCTTTGTCAGAATATAGAGTTGTTATCAACAATAATTGGGTCTATGAATTGTTTGCCTCAATATATGACATGGGAAGCAACTTTGCTTTTACTCATCACATTTTTATCTTTCTCATGTTGAATCTGTTTGAATGGACAAAACTTATTTAAAACCTTTGATAAACATTTTAAACTAGGAAGACGCCGTCTGTGTGCATGCAATTACCTTTTTGAGGGTTTTTTTTTTGTTTTGTTTTTTATCATTTAACTTCCAAGAAAGGCAATAAAGCCATAGACAAAAGTGTTACGAGTGTTGGAAAATACTAATGAGAAGAATTAAGACAGAAGATAACGATTGACATTCCATTTAAATTTTTGAAGTTGTAAATTGACTGGAAAGCAAATAGAGAAATGAGAAAGAAGGAACTGTTAGCATAGAACTTACGGTTCCATCTAGCCTTTGCAACTGTAAAATGATGAAACCTTTTTGCCAATCTAGTACTGCACTTAAATTCATAAAGTCTAGGTAACATAGAGGAAAGTTGATCATTACCATGGAAGTATTTATAAAAAAAGACACAGAAACTATATTAGGGTGATGGGAAAAATGATTGAAGCCAAGATGCCAGGTCAGGATCAATAATATTGCAGATTCTTTGGATTTTATCAAGAAACTCCAGATACCAAATACCAAATCCCAGATAAAAGCACCAGAGCAAAATGATATAAAATAAATAATTTTTTTTTTATCATTTCACACACAAGGCAATAAAGCCACAAAGATGTCAGGGGGTTACTGAGTGTGAGAGAATATAAGAAGAAAAAAAACATTAAAGAGAAAGAATAATAACATGAATTAAGATGACAATTAACATTACATTTAAATTTTTGAAGATCAAGGTTAACTAGAAAGCAATAGGCTGGAAAAGCCTTCCACAGAAAAGAAACTGTTAGCATAAAACTTAAGGCTATATCTAACCATTTCAACTGTAAAATGATGAGACCTTGCCACCAATCTAGTAGTAGGCTTAAATTTATAAAATCAAGGTACGAAAATTCATCAGAATAATTACCATGAAAATATTTATAGGAAAAGTACAGGTAAGCTGCGTTATGTCATTGGGAAAGTGACTGAAGCTAAGATGCCAGGTCAGGACTGATAACATTGCAGATACTTTAGATTTTATCAAGAATCCCTAAATACATAGAAGCACCAGACCAAATGTGGCGACAATATTCAATCCCTGTATGAATGATAGACTTATGTGTAAGATTTTGGCACTTTCTGATTATTTGTTTCTTTTGCTCTCATCATGAAAATTAAAACAATTTAAGATAATTTCATTAGTCATCAATTAGCTAACAATAGATGTGATTAAATATACTTTAATATTTTTTTAAAAAAAATTTATTCAGTATTATTATTGTTTAGGTAATAAGCATTAAAACATAGCACAAACAGATATATCGTGGAAAAGGGAATTTTCAACAATATACGCATTTTTTATGTATTTATGGCTACTTTTTAACTTTGATCAAAAACAACATTCTTGTACATGTAGTTATAGATAATATTATACATTAATTACTAATTTTTTTAATTAATAGCTATTTGTGCTCAGTTGTTGACATTAATAGCTATCTGCTGATGTGTTAAAATTTTGGAATAATGCAATAATAAAAATTTAAATTTTATCTCTCTGATGTTGTGATCTGTAAAAACAATTATTTTTTTTTTTTTTTTTCAAAAATGTGTAGGAAGGGTCTATAATTGTTGGAGTTTCAGGCCTTGAATTTATTGATTATGGAAAATTAAAAATAAAATGTAATCTGAGATCTAAAATAATTTGAGGAGAAAATGTATAATGTCGGGAAAAATCATGTTTATTTAAATTTTCTGTATTTCGCAGATGTTTTTATAAATTTATGAATTAAAAATAAAGTTGTAGATGATAAATATTGCTTTATAGTTGATTTGCATATTTTTATAATTTTGTAAATTTTTAATATAGATTTAGTTTCATATTTATTTATAAAATGGTAAATAATAAATCTGTTGGAGTGTATCGGTTAAGGAAAAAGACTTAGATACAACAATCAAATATTATTATTAGAAAAGCTAATACAGACATTGTCCTCCTCTACATAGAATTTGTAGTATGATTTCCAGAGGGTATCTATTACTGAGCACATAACTGGTATCCATTTCTTCAGAACAGGCCTATGGTTCATCCTTTGTCCTTAGAGCAGGTCCCAGGTCCTTGTGAGAAAGATGCTAGTCCCTGTTTCTCTTGATAGCTGTCACATGGTTTTTATTTCCATTGGAGGCAACCTCTTCTTTTTTCTCTTTTTTTTTTTTTTTAACAACCCAGTAAATCATTACAAAATTATAAATAATAAATATAAAAAAAAAAACCATTGATCCTGCCAGTTTATGCAAGCTCTCCCAGAAACTGTAACTAAAGTCCGCCCAGCAGTATAAACCACAGGTGAAGTCTATGAGTTGAGAAGGTATCTGTAATACGGTCTGGTTAGCAGCCCTGACAGACAGGTATACTTGAAAAACAAGTAGTGAGCAGAAAACAAAAAAAATTTATTTTGCAACATAATCTCTTCTTTTCAATGCACTTGATTCAGTGATGAATATTAAACACGTCATTAAATCTGTAGCTGAGTGAGGAAATAAGCATTTATTTTATGCAGCAACTCTTATAACAATCTTTCCATGATGAATATTACATTGAAAATCTCAGATCAAAATTCAGTTAATAATCTGGCACATCAAATTATGCATCAATCTTAAATATTGTGTATGCAAAAGTGTCAACCAGTCAATACAAACGCATGAAAGCACATGTGCATGGAAGAGAGAGAGAGAGAGAGAGAGAGCATGAATAAAGTCTGCATTCGCATGTTCATAAACTTGATTGCAATGATCTACACACTTGAGTGGCTCAACAAAACTTTAGTACTGCTGTCTGTGAAACAACGCAAACATTACAATAGTTGAACTAATGAGATAGTCTAGTCTGGGAACTTGATATCCATGATTGGTCTATGGCTATCATGGCCACAACACAATAGAATAAAATGATAAATAGTAAATATTGCATTGTAGTTCAAATATTTTTCTAAACTTGTAAATATACAATGTAACAATTAAATAATGCATAATATTTTGGTTGTTATTAAAATTCAAAATATAGTGTTTTAAAATAAACATTGTCAAGGAATTTGGGAAATTATACAATAATAGCAATGTCAGGAGATAAACTGTCCTTTTGACACGGCAGTTTTTTTTTTTTTTTTTTTTTTGTTGCAGGTACGAAGATTAAACTTTGCTGAAATTTAATTTCAGTTGACCACCTTGAAGGCGAAAAGAATACAAATGTAATAAGACAAAATTCACAATCTCTTTGGGATTTGGCAGTGGAAATCCTATTATAGTTGAATCTCTCCAAAGTATCAGGTTATATCCTGACCGAACATTTCAAAAAGTTTCTAAAAATGGTCACTGAACACAGTCTTGTAACTTATTACTTTTCAAAAGTAGATATATCTACTCTTAAGTTATTTGATAGAAACTTAAAGAAATCAATCAACTTAAGTTTTTAATTGGAATTCAGTTTTTTTTATGTTTTTTTTTTTCTTTTTTCTTTTTTTTTTCAGATCCTTGACTACATCCATAGACAAAAAAGACAGAAAGGAGTTGATGAAATGTTGAATCGTCTTTATGCACCAATTCTCTGGAGGTCTTTAAAGGTCTTTACCTTTTTGATTTCTTACATTTTATTTTTATTCTTTAACTCTAGCTTAGTGGTTCCCAAACATTATTCATCTGGGCTGAATTCTTGGAATGAAAATTTGCTTGTACCTCACCAAAAATCATGTGATAAAAAGTACATTTAAAAAAAAAAAAAAAATCAGAGTTAAAGGGAAGGTAACCACTGATTCAAAGTTAGAACATTATCATTGATAACTCACTTCTCCAATTTACAGAGCCTAGTTAGTATATTTTTAATAGTTGATATTATGCAAAAATATCACTATGATAAAATTGGTCAATAATTATTTATACTTGGATACATGCATGCAGTTACAAGTAATCCATAATAATATTTTAAATTTTAAAATCATTTATTGTTGCTATATGAATTTTTTGAAACTGTTTGGGAATCACTGCACTAAATATTAGCTAGAAGCAGGGTTGTCATGTTAAACATACAAGTATCCAATTGGATTCCTTTTGAAATCTCAGCATTACTAAATTTTACAGTTGATTTTCTTCTTAATAATCTGAGTGTTATAATGTCTAGTGGCTTCGATTGAGAAGTTAAAAAGTTGATTTTGAATTCCTGTTTTAGCTCGTTACGCTGACTGGACATGTTAGCAAGCATGTTTTGCTAGAACCATTACGACTGAATAGTGAGTTTGATCCTCAATGAGTGCTCCATCTATGCTAGGCTTAGGAAATCATCATTTCTTCTTCGCCTAGCAATGGAGTGAATAGTAGAACAGACAGGGTCATTTACCACAGGAAAAAATGTTACTCGTTATCTGGTTGATTTTTCAGGAAGATGATAATGTTATTGGCCAGGAGAGATGATCCCAACATGTGGCAGCTTTTGGAAAGTTCCTGAAAACTATAGCACAGGTTGACCGAAACCCTATCAGTGAAATTGGGTAGACGGAAACATTTGCAAGCCATCGACAGTTGTTTTAGCACAAAGTCACAAGTCATTGTGACCGAGGGTTTGAGCGTGCTAGCCTTGTTCAGACTGTTGATCATGCCAAATAATGTGCACTCTCTTCGAAACTGTAATTAATGTTGGCTCAGCATAGTTGCAGTATAAACCACAGGTGTACTTGAGCAAGGCATCTGCAACAGAGATTGGCTAGCCACTGTAGTAGACAGGCATACTCGGATATAAGTGACCAGCCAATAACAAATAATGATAACTCCTCATCCTATAAATTCTGACAGAAATTTCAAAGCTAATTGAGAAAAAGCAACAGCTGCCATTACCATAAATGGATGAAGTAATGTTGATATTGACTTTTAATTGGAAATTTGATAAATTTTAACTTTTTTTTTTTTGTATATTTTAATATCAAATTTGCCAATTTTTATCCTTTTTCTAATTTAAATTTTTAGTCTTAACATCAAGCGACCTGAGAAAAAGATTTCGAAAAAAATTTTAAGAACCACTGTGGGCTGATATATTATTATTTTTATTCAACTTTTATCAAACCATTCAAAGCCTGATTTAATCTTGATAGCATTTTTACTCTTCTTTTTTGCAGGCAGCCAACTCTGTTGTTCGTTTGAACTCTGTTTTCCTTTTTGTTGATGTCTTCCCTCTGCAAAATCCTCTTGCTGGTGTTGAGGAAAATAACGACCTTTTGCAAAATCAATTCAACAGTTTTGACGTAAGTTAATACAATTATTATTTGTGGTGAAATGAATTTTGAGGCATAAGTTTGAAGAGGGGATTATTTTATCTTTGTCTGACCCAAGAAAAATCTTTGAATGAAAATGTGTGTAGGCCACCAATTTTCTAATATACTTGAGCCTCTAGAACAATGGTCGGTAAACTGGTCACTGGCACAAACCACTGGGTGCATAAATGGCTGTGGTGATAAGTGGCTGTTGAGTTTCGCTAATGGGCATTTGAATTGACATTGTTAATTCTTTTGTAGTGTTGAAGTTATAAGAACATGTGTATTGCTATTAGGTATTTGAACTTGGGGTAGAAGGTCAAATTTCTATTCCTCTTCTTTTCTATCTCATATCTTTTGGGAATGGTGTTCTCTTAATCCAGTTCATTTCAAACATCCTTCCCTTTTTGATTACTTACATTTTATTTTTATTTTTTAACTCTAGATCAGTAAATCCCAAAGTTTTTTTCCTCTAAGCTGAATTTTTGGAATGAAAATTTGCTTACACCTCATCAAATTTTATGTGATAAAAAATACACTTAACCTTCAGCACGCTGCAGGCGAAAATTGTTGCCGTAGAATTCTCTCCCTTTGCATTCTGTTGCCTCAAGAGGGTTGCTATAAATAAATAAACACTTGTCAACTGTTACTTTCAGTATTTTAAGCTGGAAATAGCCTATTACCGCTTTGGAACTAGGTTAAACTCTCATTTTCTGATGCCATCATGAATTCTTCTATACTCTACATGAGGTGTAAGATCAATTAAACCCACATTAAATTTTTTGTAAACAAAAATGGTCACATCATCCAATGAAACCATTATTCAGTTTTTCTTTGATTTGGACTTTGATGATGATTTTAAAGGCTTTAATCAAGTGGATGTTGATGATGATGTGGTTAGGAGATGATAACCATGCTTATGATGTGGAGGAAAGCGATGATGGCCACTAGGTGCTGAGTGGCTACTATCATCCATGGCAATTACTGGCCCCATTGATGTACCTGCTAGTCTTTCTAATGGTGAATTATTTTGTCTATTTATAAGCAACAAAATTATAATGAAATAACTTTATTTGTCAATGAGACAAATAAATATGCTAGTCAGGTGAAAGAAAGAGCAAACAAATGCTGGTGTCTACTTGTTTGTAAAAATGTAGGACATCACTGTTGAAGAACTGAAAACCTTCTTAGCAGCCATTTTGCTTCTTATTGCACCCCCCCCCCCCAAGAACTCCACAAGGATTCATAAAATTTAAAATATCTTAAATTGTTAATGTATTTGTTTTTTTTATTTTGTTTCAATTTTTTGTTTTCAACGTCAAAACATGCATACAAAATGTAATGCATTACATCAAAATATTGCTCATGTATTCTTTTATTCATATATACAAAAAATAAAATCTATCCACATAATACAAAGAAAGTTATAATAATTTTAAAACAATAGGTGCTTATGTTTTTGCATCAAAAAAATGCAGTCGCAGAGGGAACATTTCTTGAAAGGAATTAGTGGAGTAAATGGTTAAAAAAAAAAAAGAGACGGTTAAATGGAGATAACTGCTGATTCATTTCAGGACATTATCATTGATAACTCTCTCCTCCAATTTGCGGAGCCTAGGTACAGGTAGCAAAATTCAAAATGTAGCTGTGCTTGGGGTTTCAAAAATAACTCAATCTGTCAACCTCATTTTGAAATAATATTGGACAAGCATTTCATCTTTGTCTGACCCAAGAAGAATATTAATGAAATATAGTAAAAATATAATAAAATTGCTTCCATGTTACTAAAACAAGAAGATGTAGCTCTCTCCTTAACAAATTTATCTCCAAATGTTTTTGATTTTACATTGAATAACATCAGATTTTTTCTCTTATTATTTTCCTCATGTGTCATAATTTGTATGTCATAATCAGTAATAAAAAAAAAGGTTCCAATAGGAATGAAGTACTGTTTGCAGTTGTCTTTGTTCATAATTAAAACTTATATTGTCATCAAAGGTTTTAGCTGATGATTGGCACATAAGTTGATATCAGATCAATATTGATTGGTTTGCCATGTAGAAGGGGTATGGTTTTGCAAGACCGAAAAACCCTAACGATCCGTTGTCGTCTTCCAGAGCATCTGAGAGATGTATTTCACAAAATTTAAATTTAATCTGTTACCTCTGAAATTTCTTGATTGTTGGTCATTCCGGATTTTCAATATTGGAAAGAAGTCAAATTAAAGATCTGCTTTTTGAGAAATTAAAGGTTACGGTCAAGGTCAAATTATGTTATTTGACCTTTAAACAAAAAAATAAATAGATCAACTTTTAGATCTATCCAAGTACTTTAAAATGGTATATAATTTAGCTTTGTGGGTGAAAAACTGAGATATTGATGTTTAAACTTTGTGACTATTTTTCAAAATTTACCTTTTTGTCAACCCTTTGGACTCGAGATGTAAAATAGGTAACATTTAGTTTATGTCATGAAGCTTTATAAGTGTATCAAATTTGAAAAAAATCTGTCATGATTAGTTGAGTTGATATGAAGTGACTCAAAGTGGATCTAACACAAGGAAAGGTTGCTGAGTGCTGATCTGGAAACCTGCTAGATTATCCATTTTCTTGGGCCAACAAAGTCCACATCATCATTGGTTGAACTCATTGCTGAGTATTGGGGTACTCATGGACATTTGCTTCTGCCTGAAATGAATCCTATGTTTGATCTAAAGAGACGTCCACAGCCACCGCATGAAAGTATAAAATTATGTACAAAATATCTGGAGTTGAAGCCATAAAATTACGTATAAAATATTTAGATTCCAGCATTAAATAACCCATAGAAATGTTGATATGCCACTAAACAAAATCAACCAATCACTCCTAGGCATGATATACAACAGATAGAAAAGGCATGAAAACACTTTACCAAAATAATTCCTGAAATTAAAAATATGCTTTACCCTGATAGACTGAAAAAAGCCTTAGTTTCTTTTTCATTTGAAATTGAACATCTTAGACTTGATTAATAGAAGTGTTTAGAAAAGTAAATTCAGTTTTCTTTACATAGGTTTCAAGAAATATCTTACTGAAAACTAGTATATAAATCCACCAGAGGACATCCCTTAAATATTTAACCTTTGCCCTATCGTCTGGACATTCAAAAATATTCTTTTTTCACAGCAGGTAAACACTCTTCCTCTTTCGTTGACAGTCACTTTCTTGATAAACTTTTTTAATTTGACGTTTTGATTATTCCTGTTTTCTGCATGTTTCCGTTGATCTTTTTTATATTTTTTATCTTCCATTTGTTTTTCCATTTTGGGCTGTTGGGTTAATAATAAATAAATTTCACTTAGTTACTACTGATTTTACAAGCACATGATAATAATATGCAGGAGAGAAAACAAAAACAAAAACTTGGAGAATTGAATTACTAAAGGGAATTAACTGAAACTGAGATATCCAAAAAAGGGCATGGCTCATGGAATTAGAACAATCCCTTTGGGCTAAAATAAAGGGTTCATTTCAAAATTCTTATGTACACCCTTGTGCAAATTAATTGAAACAACTACTTTAGTTTCCTTTCTTTCACCATACGGTCAGTTTTAGACACACTGGAGTGGCAGGGTGTAATCGATTTCTATTTTTTCTCAGATTAGGTCATTTGCAGTGGTGTTCATTATCTATTTTCGGGGTGTATGATGAAATTTGTTTGGCCTTGAAAAATATTGCATCCTCCATCAGATTTTTATCATGCCCAGACACTATTGTCTTGAGTGTTGATTAGTTGTCCTATGGCCATTGTCTGTGATGGATGTTACTCCAAGAAAGCATATGAAAATGGTAATGCTGCATGAACATAATGACAAGCCTTACCAGTGAGCAAATCAAAGTACTATAGACTGCCCAGAAACTCTCCTGATTTAAATCCAATCAAGAATCTGTGGTCAATCTGCAAGGAACGACTTTGTGGAATGGATATATGAAGTACTAACATAAGCACTGGGTCATGTTTCATTGGAAAAATATTAAAAAAGTAAATAACAGAATTATTCGTTTTGTTTCAATTAATTTGCACAAGGTGTATATCACCTGAAGAAGGCTGGAGTGTACAATGGCCAAAACATTGTGAATATGGCAATAGAGATTCAGACAACAGTCTGAATGTTGTAACTCGTGTAAATAGTTAGAATACTTCGTCTAAGAAATATAGACAGATCTTGTTAGGTAGGTTACTTGTTGCTTCCCTGTTGTCACTTTTTGTCTTCAATATGTCCTGTCAGTGTCAGATTCTTCAAGCTATTTTTCTTCGCTTCATCTTACGTCCCAGAAGTTTTGAAATATCTCTTTCTGATTCTAAATATAAGTCTCCTTTTTATCCCCATTTTCCTTAAAACTTCCTTATTGTTCATATGTCATAACCATGGTATTCTCAGCTTCCTTCTCTAGAACCATGTCTCTGTTGCCTCAAGTCTTCTCTTTATTTGTAAGGAAACTGTCCAGAAGTCACAAAGAAAGAAAAAAATAGGGCAAAATTATCCGAGACTATATATAATGTAAATCCAAAGCAAAGCAACTATAAGACCATTATAAACTAAAAGGTTCATAAAGTGGGGATTGTGTTTACATGCAAAAGGGATACAGTCAAGTTGGTATAACCTTCTGAGTTCAAGACCAGAAAAAACATGTCAGGATAAGAACAAAAATTTTCCGTTTTTATTGGTTAGGAAAAAATCCCAATATGCATTTCTAAATTTGGGGTAACAGTCATTCTAGTTGATTGTAACCATCAAGGTTCTCTAGCCTTGGTTGGCAACCAGTCTAGAAGTAAAACAACACTTTGTAATTTCAAATCCTAGAAAAAAACAATGGGGAATCACTCCACTGTCTTTACCGAGACCTGGAAGCTGTGGAGAGCCATGAACATTCTAATCTTAAAGGATTAGGAGAAAGATCTAGTATTAAATATATTGATATAGTATCGAATAGAGACAAGTTTGGTATTTCATCACAATTGACTTTTGTTATTGTTTAAGATTGCTGTCCGTTAAATTTAACGTAAAAATTTATTTCCAACAGAATCTACTCATGGATTCCTGTCCCTCAATCCGAAGTCGGACCATTTTGGGTGTTTGTCAGATTCTTTCAGCATACTGGCAAATGATTCCAAAAGAAGTCATAAAAACTTATATCACTACATTGATTGAAGATCTTGCTTGGGATGGAGCAGCAGCTGAAGTCAGAGAATCTGTGTTGAAGGTAAATCTGACTTTTTTTTTTTTTTTTTTTTTTTTTTTTTTTTTTTTGCCAACCATCAATTATAAAATTGTGCCTATGTTCTTTGGAGAGATCTTAAAGAAAAAAAAACCTCATATTTAGCATAAAACTAAGTTTGCTTTTCTTCGCAATAACACTATAGCCTTCTGAGAGTCTTGCTGCAGAATAATGGTTAGTTATCTAGTCTTTTCTATTACTACTGTATAGAATCTAATCCTCTTTGGGGGCTCTACTTCAGGCATTATGCCAAACGATGCTAAGCTTAGTAAATTCTTGTAAAGATTTAAACTGAGTTTTACCACAAGACTCCTTTTTATTCCAATTAAGTTTTCTATGATGCTTAATCATCCTGGGTATGATGATAAACTACATCCAGCAGCAAAACCTCTGATCGAGAGATTTTGAGGAGTGTGGAACCACCTCTTGATTGCTGTAATTCCCAGGTCCTTCCTTACCCAGATTGGTAGCACCTGCTAGAGTTCCAACTAAGGGCAAATATTGAACTCCCAAACTGGGGTCAAAGCATGAAAATATAAAAATGCATTAGAAAAAAAAAAAAAAAAAAAAAAAAAAATTTATCATTGATACATTTTCATAGTAAAAAAAAAAAAAATAAAAAATAAATAAAGGATTACCATCAATACAATATGGGGGGGTCAAAATCTTACAAGAAATTTAAAATTTTGGCATTCAATGACCCATAAGGTGTTGATATGCCATTAAACAAACCATGTCATGATGCTTGAACATATTTTGTAATAACTAGTATTTTTTTTTTTTTTTTTTTACAATTTATTAAGCTAAGCTTAGTTTGGCACAACATGCTCCTTTTTAACTGCCATTATTGTCATCTCATAAGTATGGGGCACATAGGTGGGTTGAACTTACTATTCAGATAATAATGATCAACCAGATTAGCTCTCTAACCATTACTCCACTCCTGTGTATGCCTGTATTTTCCTTATTGACTTGCAATGATACCTGCCATAATGTGGGCCAAGGCAAGGACTATTCCATTAGATATTTCAAAGGTCTTTGACAAGGTATGGCTCTCTGGAATCAGTGTAAGAATCTCAATTATTAATTACTTCCTAATGGGTATGTCCCTGAAGGTAGTGGTTAGTCCTCCAAGGCTCAAGTGATCAAGGCAGGCCTCTCCCAGAGAATGCTTCTTGATCAAACTCTCTTTCTATTTTACATAAATATCTGCCAAAGAGTATACACAGAAATTTTTTGTGACTATCTGTGATGATAATACAGTGATATATGGATGTATCTCAGAGACTAGAGCCTGTCAGCTGATCTTTGACCTAGCTCTAATAGGAGAAAAAAATGGCTGGTCATCTTAAAAATCAAACAAGTAGCATTCTGTCATCACTGAGCCAACCCTGAATCTTAACCCCTCATGATGAACAGGCGTTCTTGCAGGGTGGCGCTTGAGCTCAAACCAAACCTTGATTGGAGCTCGTAAATATGATCCATCGCTAAAGATACTGTGAAAATGGTCGGTTCTCGGTGCAGCTTCAGTAAGCATATCCGTACGTGTTGTAGCCCAATGATTCTCCAGGCAGTTATGGGGGATACATAGTTGCGTTATAAATTGTCTTGATAGATGTGTATATGCTGCTCAAATAGCTTTTGAAACTTATTTTAAAATTTGATTTATTTCTTCTTGCAGGGAATTGTGCTCCTTTTTAACTGCCATTATTGTCATCTCATTTTGCAACCAATTCTGCCACAATTACAAAACCTGTTTCATGACACATCTGAGAAAGTTCGCATTGCCATGGTCAATCTCTTAATTAAGGTAAAAGGAATACGCAAAATTAAGGTGAGTATTTACCTTGGCTCCTTCTCAAGCTTATGCTAGCAAAAAAATAACCCAAAAAGAAAAGGCTCTCAGCATCTTGAATCTCTCACTTTGAACAATTTCTATTTATCCTTTAAAAATGGAGCAACTGTGGGTTAATTATTAAGACTTGTTTCATTAAATCTTCCACCCCAAATTCTTATAATTGAAAAATATATTCTGGCTTTCAATAATGTGCAAAAAGTTGATATGCTACAAAACAAAAAAAAAAATAATAATTAAGTCTATTAATTGCTAAACTGGAAGTTCTCTGTGGCTGAACGGTCATAGCATGCAAGGCTTAATGATGGTTCTGTATAGGATACTGGTTTGTTTCCTGTTGGAGGACACACATTTTCTAAGAAATTTCTTGAACATTCAGGCTGGTAAATGTAATTAATAATGTTTAATTAAAAGAACAGAGCATTTACTCAAATAAGTGTATCCATAAAAAAATACCGTATAAACAGAAAATATATTAAATATTTGCTGGATTTAATCCATTTTCTAAGAATTTGAATGAAACCTGTCGTGTAATTTATTGGGGTTGTTGTAACGTCTTCCTTTAATGTAGTTCTTATCATTCACCCCTTAGCCACCTTTATCTAGAAACGAGGGACGTTAAATTTGAGCAACATCCAGCCCGACACACTGGGGTTAAAATAGGAAACTAAAATGATACATATGACACACTCATATCCTCTCTCCCACCTCACTTCCTCACTTTCGTTAACTTTGCGTATACTTGATGAGGTCCGTAAAAAAATGTGTGAATTTCTTTTTCATTTTTCATTTCAGCTTTTGGAAGTAAAAGTCTGATGATCAGAACCCTGTTAAAGGGTTATGGTGAAATAACAATACATGGAATCTTAACGTGGTCTGTCTTTTATTCAAACAAAATATATATATTTCACCATAACCTATTTCACAAAAAAAATATATCTATATATATATATATATATATATATATATATATAGATATATATGTATATATATATTGTTTGAATAAAAGGCAGACCACGTTAAGATTCCATGTAATAAGCTATTTCACCATAACCCCTTTAACAGGGTTCTAGATCATCAGACTTTGAAAGCATTGAATCAAGTTTAGATTTCTCATCTGATAGGGAAGATGCATTTACTAAACAAGTCACAATTTTTGATAGCAAATGCAGCTACAACATTTTGGGCTCCATTTAAAGTGCTGAAATAATTTAAAAAATCATCATGTAATTCTTTTATGTAATTCTTTTTTTTTTTTTTTTTTTTTTTTGTGGGGGATGTGGATTTTTCTGAATGTATATGTGTGTGTGTGTACTACTACTTCATTATCATCATCATCATAAGTAGAAGAGGAAGAATCCTCATTCTATGAACATTTCTTTTAATAATAATAATTGATAAATAATTCAGCAGGCAGATTTGTTTTATTTACAGTAACTGGATTTTTGACATTTACTTTACTCGGTTTCTGTTGTTTGATACTGTGTATCTAAAAAATGGCACTTTTATTATGGTTGTCATGGCATCTAATATAAAAGTGTAGTATCTGTTCTTATAAATTTAATTTGATTCTTTATATATTTTTTTTCTCACTGAAATCAAATAGTGTCTTTTCTCCTCTTTCTACATGATCAAAAAAAGAATAGGCCATTACTTATGAGGTATTGGCAGGGCGTAACGGTCGTACAAACTAACGATGGTAGGGACAAACAATTATAATAGAATAATAATATGACACAGACATTTTTGGGTAGACATCCATGTTTATTTTTAAACAGTGAAATTAATATCTAGATCATTGAAAGTCTTAGGTACATTTTCTTTAATAAGACTTTTGATGATCTAGGTTAGTAGACATTAATTTCACTGTTTATAATTCATATTTATGATCGTTTATTTGCAATATTTTGTTACACTCAAATATTTAATGATGCAATAGAGGTATTTCTTTGGATATTTTATTGTCATAGAACTTGCCATGAGCTTTTTCAATCATTTACTTAAGAATTGAGATTCATCAGAAAATTAAAACCATGAAATTTTTACAGGTATTTCTTGTATGTTTATATTTTATTAAAATCTAATTTAAGATCATATTTGTTTTAGAGTAGCTCTACCTCTTCAGCACTCTACTAGATGGCCTGGCTCCTAGCTTTAAATAGTCTACGATTAAGGACTTCAACAGTTGATTAATAAGTTGATACTAACCTGATTAATATTTGAACTGATCTTACTTACTTTGGCTATACAGCATTTGACCCACCTCTATTTCTTGTAAGTTGTCTTGTTAATTGTTTTGTAACTTTTTTTTTGTATGTATCCATTAGCACCGGATACTGGTGCTGAATAAATATATTAAGCACTCATTCTTCTCTGTGTATTATTCACCTCGACAATGCAACAATATTCAAGTAAAAAAAACAAAAAAATAGTTAAAATAAAGTTTTACTAATTGCTTCAAAAATTAAAGTTCTGCATTCATTTAGAAAATGGGCCCTACTGCAATTAATTGGTTAGTCAACCTCACTTTTATTATCGCTTTTCACAATTTATTTTTTTACCTGTTTTACTTAAAAATTTAAATCCATGCCCTATGTATATTTTTTTTTTTGATCTTAACTTTTAAGTTTTGTTTTCTAAAACCATCTTGTAATGATACTTTTTTTTTTTTTTTTAGTATTGGTCTATTGTGTCTGTCGAACATTTGCTTGTACGTCTTGCAATTGATACACAACCAGTGGCCCGCCGAATTATGCAGATTGTATTCAGCAGTTTTCTCCCCTTGGATAAATCAGCTGAAGTTCAGGTGACTCGGATCATTTGTCTGATTGAAACTAATCCAAAAGCATCTCGAATTTTCTTCCAACACGCCCCTAAGCATATGTCTCTTGAGCAAGTGGGTGAGTAAATCCATGTCTGTGAATAATATGATTTTGTATAATTTTTTAGTCTTAAATTGCTGAGAAGAGATGCAGGATTCTACATACTGACAATTCAGTGAATCTCTTAATTTTCTAAAATCATGACACCGGTAATATTTGGCTTCATATTAAGGAGTTGGGAGAGTAATTATATTTTACCAAAAAGGATATAAAAATAAATGCAGGTTAAATTCATTTAAATACAAATTTGAGCTGATCACATCACAGGAAAATCTGACATTGCTTGTAGCAGGTCCAGTTGGTATCCTTGAATGTTTCCCAAGCCAGGATGAGTGTTGGGTTCATTACTTTGAGTCAATATCGCAGTGATGGTCACATCATGTCTGCTGTTGACGTTTTTGACCAATGGATTAAACAGTCTTCTTTGAACAGACATGTCAGTTTACCTGGGAAGAAACAATGCAGTTATTAATAAGAAGAGTTGAAATGAATGTGTACAAGATTTTACAACTCTAGCATCACTCCTTCATAGTCAGTCTGTGACATTTTCAGCCTACGCTTATGCTCTTTATTGGAAATGTAATCACTTTCATTTGCCACCCAACAGAAAGGCATCTTTTTTATTCCCTGATTAAAGAAATCTGTTTTTCTTTGTTTCTTCCACTTAGGGACGTTTCCTCTTGCTGATGTAGATTTTGTTCTTGTGAAATTAATTCTTTTTCATATAATATTAGAATATTGGAAAAACATGTAAAAGTAAAAACAATTTTCAAATTTTCCTATACATACACACATAATAATAATACAACTAAAAAAATGTTAAAATGTTTTTAGGTCCATTGAACTGTTATTGAACGAACACACACACACACACACATATATATATATATATATATATATATATATATATATATATATATATATATATATATAGGCTCCTGAAAAATGAAAAATATAGGCTCCTATATATTATATAGGCTCCTGAAAATTAATTTTGGTTGAGCTCTCTTGGGAGGAAGTGTGGGTTTGTAAACAGTGACTATTATGGCTGATATAGCGAGACTCTTCGCAAAAGTGAATTGAGTCCTGTCAGTCACTGTGTGTTTATCTAAAATTAAATACGCTAAAATTGCCTTCATCCCTGCCATGTGATGCCAATTCAGTCGAGTTTTGATCCAAGCTAGAGGCAACCAGACATTTAGCCACACTGAAGAGCTGTGAAACAGCAAAACAGTCTGTGGATGACATATATATATATATATACTGTCTCCAATCCCTTGAAACATTACTATCACATCATACCATATAAACCCATTATTAAATTGAACTACCCTCTCACCCAGCACATTGAATATTAAACTAAACATCACCATATATATTAACCAATAAGGATTACAAATTTCTACCTGTTACATATACACAGTCACCAAAAACAAACAAATAACCAGCTTTAAATATAACAAATAAAGCCCTATTATTTTATTTTTTTTTTTTTTTAAATTTAAAAAAAATTTAAAAATAAATATAAATAATAATAATCTTTACCTATCATAATTTTACACAAACCCCACCACACGCATATACATACATGCGAGGAAATATTTTCCAGCTGGAAAATACATATGACATGTACACATCAACAAGACATTTCTGTCACACTTCCAATGTTTAGATTTCAACATTTCAACATACAAATGCGTATGTATAGATATAACACCACCCGTATACATACATGTGTCATAGCCGAAACTGCCCACATATGTTTATATATGTATGAGTCCCGACGGACGGCCAAGTGTGTATATGTGTCTGCATACATCGATGTTTTGCGTTAATACGATGAATGACAAAACGACGAAATTTCCCCACCACTTCCACAATAACACCAATACACGCAATCTACATAAACCCAAATTTTTAAAACATTAATCAGTTTGTCTGACGATCGCTAAAGCGTGAAACCCAGGGTCACAAACTCACATCTATCCAACCAAATATATATATATATATATATATATATATATATATATATATATATATATATAGTGTATCAAAAATACATTTACAAACTTTGCAGGTAAGTTCCTCATACCAAATTAAGGACAAAAGTCCATCACAACTGATTTTGAGCCATGCTCCACTTAGGTATTTCTAAAATTCTGGTAATGTAATACTTAATTCTTACATATTCAAAATTTTACTGCAATTCATGTAAAGGGACCTTAAAAGGCCATTAACTTGGTCTCTAAACAAACCTCCAAAGAACATGGCATCCATGAAAGGAAAATTAAAAAAAACAAAAAGACAGTTAAATATATATAGTTTCAAAACATATAATAGAGAACTGAAAGGCAGAAATATAAAATATTTGAATGAAAACTTATTCTCTAATATACTTTCATCATTTTGATCATGAATTAATAATGCAAAATGAAATTTGAGCTCACTAGAAAACAATTCACTGTTAATAACTCGTTCTCAAATTGCCCTCTTATTTTGTTGGTATAGTAAGTCGAAGGGTGCACATCCTATGCATGCTTCACCAAAATATTACCATGTCCCACCGGTGGGAATCATTGATATAAACTATGTCCAAAAGGCCATTGTTGTACACACAGCAACTCATAAATGTTCAAAATGTCCTCTGCTTGCTTCTACACAGGGCTCATTGATTGGTGGACCATTTCAAATACTCCCACACGGTGTCAGATAATTTCGCAGACCCCCATGAGATGTTGATGAAGAGTCTCTGCATTAGTAATGTCTGCTGCATAAGCCAATTATTTTAGGTGGCTCCACAGATAAAAATACAAAGCTTGGACGGTCACCTATTTGGCTTTACTGATAGTGACGTGGATTTGTATGTTGATTCATTACTCTGTAATGTTAGCTATCTACCTAATTACTTGATGCCAATAAAAAAAATATGTTTAGTTTTTTAATTTTCTATAGAATTGAAACAAATTAAAATATTTACATCCAAGTCTGTTAGATTCAAGCTGGGAGCTGTTCCAATGAAACTTTAAAATTGGTTTTGTATTTTTCAGTCTCATTTATTGTTTTGCTTTGTGGCTGTATCCTGCGATGTATAAGAAATGAAAAAGTGGCAAGTGATGAGTCTTTCCAAGAAAGTGATAATCATAAGGTGGGTTGTTTTTTTTTTAATTCTTTAGTTAATACTTAGGTTCTGCTTTTTCATAAAAGATCCTTTTATTATTGTTTTCAAAATTACAAATGATGCATCACAATTATAGATTGAGTCTTTAATTTAAACTTCTTGGAACTGGCCAACAAGATCTCACAAAACTTTATTTGATCTGAATCAGTTAATAAGATATCTTATTGATATCTTACATTGACTGGTTCTACAATAATATTGTGGTGATAAAGGAATAAATAACAAGAAGATATCTAAAAATAGACAGATAATAAAAATTGCCAGTCAAACAAAGCCATAGTTCGACCAACCAATCAAAAAGATTTCACAGCCAGGATATGAGTCCACAAGCCAGCGAGAAGTGAGGAGCCTTTACAAAGTGGATCTATAGATGTGTATATAAACAGATGAAAAATCAAAACCAGAGTTGATAAATTAACTTTTTCTCATTTTTTGATGCTGCAGTCATTGTAACCTACCTAGAAACGAAATACATTTGCACAATTAACTGACGACTTCAGTCCTACTACATTTAATTTTTTCCACCCTTTTAAGTCTGCTGCTACAATTGAAAACAAACTCACATTCCTTCATTTATGTGGTCAGGTGGTGCTTACTATATTTAGATACATACATATACATCTTAAAACTGAAATTCAAAAATACAAGGAGGTCCTCCAAAATACGATGAGCACAACAGAACATGCAACTACTGGATGCCATCTCTACCACTTCAATAGTACAACACTACATTACTTTAAAAAAAACTCTGCAATTTATACAATGGAAAGATTGTACTACCCAATGATAAATGTAACTTACTAAATTTGTCCGGTCACAAACTCACCAACAACCAAATATACATGTACATGATATCCTTAAAGTTGAACTTCACCCCCTCAGTTGCTAATTTCATAAATTCAAGAAATAAGGGTTCAAGAATGGAGGCGAAACTGAGACAAACTCTATAGAGAGCATCTGCCCTTGTAAGGGGACATTTGTGTAAAGAGTAACAATATCAAAGGGTGGGGTGATCTTCAGATCCATTTATTTATTCTATGGTACCAAATCATTATTCAGATATATATATATATATATATATATATATATATATATATATGTGTGTGTGTTCTCCATACTAGCTTCAGGCGAGTTGCCCTGGATAGAAATAACTGGAGATATTTGTGCCAGAGTGGTATCAGAAATCTTGAAATCCATCATATTGATGGGCTGAGAGACGAAAGGCAACGGTGAAAAGCATCAGCAAATATTTCTGTTGTTATATCCCGAGATCCTTGCTGTTGCACAGTATGTGGACTTGTATGCAGGTCACTACTAGCAGGACTGAAGCGTCACATATGACACAATCCTAAAAACTGAATGAGGTTATCAGATCCTCATACGTCAAAATCAACGGGAGAGTCTATCTTCATCTTCATATATAACATTGAAAAAAGTGTCATTTAATTTTCCTGCTTCAGTTATGAACTAAAGTTCCACATATTTTTACAAGGTGAATAATATTCCTGCCTATTGCTAATTAATGCAATAAAACCACACCCTATAAACACCATACTGACATTTTTAAAATGGCTGCCAAAATAAAGGAATGTTGTGCAGATATTTCTGAGAAACTTTGGTGTTTTGACAAGATGTGAGTTTTTTTTGTTTTTTTTTTTCTTTGCATCAAATTGAATGCTGACAAAGATGGTCAATGTAATAATTCCCTTGGAATAGCTGACAATATACTCTTGGGTGACATAATGAGTATGTGTGGGAGAGTTCATGATAAAGGTGGGTTAGAATCAGAAAATGTAATAAATAAGATTGGGTGTAATGAACTAGCCGGGTGGGAAAAACAAAATGTAATAAACAGGGTGCGGGTGGTTAATAAATGTTGGTGAGTGGGAAAATGAGAAAACCTAATAAATGGTGTGTGATTGGCTTTCAATACCAGCATGAGCGACAGAGTAGTCAGTGACAATGTCAAATGCATATGTGAACGCGAAGATGATGCAAGCAATGAATATCCTGGAATGAGTGATGAGATATTGCATCAATATGACAACACACATTGAATTTGATTGGAAACCATTTTACACTGAAATTTTGGCAAAGCTGGACCTTCATGCCTGCAAAAAAAACAGTGTTTCAAAATGACACTTTCCCTTGACACCGCTATTATTTTAACTATCTTCACTCCTTGGTGATATTTGTTTTTAAGAAGCAATGTTTAGAATTGGAATAAAGTCTAAACATGAAAGTGAATTTATACATTTTTTCATTTTTGAGAATTGACAACAAAAATAATAAACACTATTAGATTTTTTATTGGAATGGTTGGCAAAACCTCAGGTAATTGCCAATCAATTTGAACTTTATAAAATGGTAAGTAATAAAAAATTTTCCTTATAATTGGTTCACATATTTTAATAATTTAGTAAATAAATTTATGAATAAAAAATTGTTTTCATATTTATTTTTTTAATAATTTCTAAATAATACTAATTACATTGTATTAGTTTTAATACAATTCTATTATTTTTTTTTTTTAGAATATTTGTAAATAAACAATCTAATAGATAAATTGTGTTTAATATTATTATTGTAACTTCTCTAGAACAAAAAAATAAATGTATAAATTTACTTACATCATATGTTTAGATTTTATTTCAATTCTAATGCCCTGTTGGCTGGGACTTCAGAATACACTGACTGCACCTCTGCAGAGTGCAGAGTGGTAAGATTCCCCCCCGCCCCCATGAGGCATCCTGGGCATGGCGATAAACTACATCCAGCAGCAAGGCCTCTGATCAGGAGCATGAAACCACTGGTGTTCCCAGGTTCACCCTGACCCAGGGTGGTAGCACCTGTTAGGGTCACAGCTATGGGCAAATAGTTAACCCTTAAACTAGGATCAAAGCACTATAAAGGTGTAAAAATAACTTTTACTATCAGCAATACATTTTGGGTGTGGGGAATTACCAGCAGTAAAAATCTTAAATAGGCCATTGCAGTTGATATGCTGTAAAACAAACAAAACCAAACCATTACAATTCTAATACTCACTTTAAAACAATAAGCTGAGGAGTGGAGGTAGTTAAAATGATAGCAGTGTCAAGGGAAAAACTGTCATTTTGATTTTTTTTTTGTTTTTCCCCCCTCAGATATGTAGGTTCAAGTTTGCCAAGAAAATCCCTATCTTAAGTGTTTAATTAATTGTTTCTAATTATTATCTAGGATTGTTGTATTAATATTTTAAAATGCTTTTTCTTTTGCATAAAGAAGCAGGACTTCTGACATAATTTTCATATTTTAACATGTTGTTGCATGAAATAATGTTTCTGTATTAAAAAGAAAAGATATTTGTCTTTTCCATTTTAGGAACAACAGACTCTTGTTTCTTTTCTATATCATACTTTTATATGCAACCTTTTATTACTACATTTACTTGGAATTATAAACCTAAATTCAAGAAAGTAAAGAACAAAAACATTGATGTATTTGTGATGAGTATGCATTATTTTGTAAGTCGATAATGTTAAATTAGCAGCTGAGCTCATAAATGATCTACAATCTGTTATTAACTGGGACAAGAAATGGTGTGTTAATTTTAATGCCACCAAAACAGAGAACTACACTCTTTTAATCATCTGAGAGAATTTTTTTTATCTTCTATTAAATATGGCTGATGCTAACCTCCAGAAAAGTGACTTCTTGGGTGTTGTAACCTAGGGAAAATTACTGAATGAAATAATCACACAAAGGTTATTAATGAACGATAATACTTAGGACAAGAACAACACATATAAGATTCGCCAGAGGCACGTAGAAGTAGTCAACTGCTAGAAGTGAGTCAAGTGAATTCCACAATGAATCTCCAACTGTAGACCAACATAACAGTATTTACTACTCTATTTATATGAATGGGGACATACCCATTATCATCCATAGGTATGCTACAATACTGGGCTAAACCTTTTCTACTAACATGAAGTAGAAAGAGTATATTGAATCAATTGCTAGGTCTACTGTTAAGAAAGTTGCATCATTGTGTTGTGTTAGACAATTTTTCTTACCAGAATCTGTCTTATACATTTATAAGTCTACCATTCATCATTGCTTTGAATATTGCTGTCATTTCTGGTCTGGTGCTTCTGCTATGTATTTATAGATTCTTGATGAAATCCAAAGAAGAATCTGCAATGTTATTGGTCTGGATCTGGCATCTTGGCTTCAGTCACTTTCCCATCATTGTAACATAGCTTCCCTGTACCATTTCTATTACAGTTAAAATGTAAAAGAAGGAGACCTAACTGCCAATCTTGTACTGCACTTAAATTCGTAAAGTCAAGGTACCAAAGTGGAAAACTCATCAAGACAATTACCATGAAAATATTTATAGAAAAGTCACAGGGAGGCTACATTACAGTTGTGGGAAAGTGTTTTTTAATTTGAAATTAAAACCACAGATATTTCTTTATGTTGTTGATGCTTATTATAAGAGTGTGTCTGCGTATAATCAACATGAGATTATAATGTTTGGGTGGAGGGTCTTGTTTTCATTGCTATGGGTGGTGGAGGAGGTCAGTTAAATAAAATCGGTTGATATTTTGTAGTTATTTTAACAAAAACGGTTTTTCTTTCAATTCTTTTTTGTCATAGGATGAGTCTTTGTATCAAGAACAGGAAGGTGAAAATATTTCCATGAGTTTAGAGATGAACATTATCCATGGCTTCCTGGATGCCATAACAATTTTATGGACTGTTGTTGAACCTGAACTGACAAAGGTAAGCTTCATCAAACTCATATTCTATTTTAAATATTTGACATTATTTAAATACACTCTCCCCCAAACTACTTTGTGTCTTATATAAAGTTGAAGCCTCTTGTAGTCTAATTTTATCCCCCACACGCACTACCATAGGCTATAATTTTAATTTGGATGATCACTTCAACCTTGCCTGTGTCTATAATAATATTGTTTATTCAAATGACATCATAATCATCACCACCACTTCTGGTATTGTCATAAGAAAGTACAAATGACATTTGTCAGTATCAGCTGATCCAAAATGCCTAAATATGCCTCAACAAACTTTTATCATTAATTTGCTGGAAAATATAGCAGAAAGCAGCATAACTAAAATGAAATACCAATAATGGTTAAACACTAGCCTGGAAAACATAACGTGTCTGTAGATGAGTGTCTGTCATATGAAGTGGCCAAAAAGATGACAGGTGAAAGGAAGTGTAAGATTACAGTGTGATTTCTTGCTTTATGTTCAACTGTCCTGCTTAGTTGCTTTTTATATACAGTGACGTTTTCTGTTCAAATGAAAGTGCTTTTGTAATGTAACTGATAACTTGCTTTTTATATAGAGTAAGGTCTTCTACTTTTGTAATGTACTGATATCTTGCTTTTTATATATACTGAGGTTTTCTGCTATAGCTAAAGTGATTTTGTACTGATAGCTCATGTTAAACATTATCTGCTCAAATATACTAAAAACTTTCTTTCTGAATATGTCCTGCTGAAGTGGAAATGCATCTAATATACCTGTGAATCTTTTACACCATCAAAATCCACTAATTCTATTCAGAAATTAAAGAGAGCATAAAAGATTAATAAAGTAGCCATGTTGCTTGGCATTGTCTTTGTTAAAGTAGCTGTCATAATAACTTCATTTCTTTAGTGTATTTTATTTGCTCCTGTTTATTTTTAACATATACTATTAGTATTTCTATAGTTTAGATTAGCGGTTCTCAACCTGTTCTACTTAGCACACCTTTTTTCACCATCAGTCAGAATGTCACCCCCCCTTCCAGTATCATCTGATTGAAAAGGTACATTCCAAATAATATGCATATCATAGTGAAAATCTTCGTTCTTTTCCATATTAGTACATTTACATGGATTATTTTTATAGAAGAGTTTTCCAAATTTAATAGCAATAGAAAATGTTGATGGATTTTTAGACTTGAATCTGTTTACAGTAATTTGTTTTAATTCATAGCTGATTATTAAATAAACTAAAGCATATTTCAGTAAACAAAATGTTCAATAGAATGGTAGGGGATTGTAATTTAATAAAGAAAATTCTGTAAATAAAAAAGATTTTTCCCTCCAACTCTTTAAACCATGAAATTTCCCTTTGGGGTCAATTCCTCCCTGGCTGCGAAACCCCGGTATAGAGAAATACATAGGCACATTCTCCAACAGGACCCTGTATTAACCTGCAGGTCAGGCCTGACAATTATGGCGCCACTTTTTATTAAAAGCCACCAGTCACTGACATCTGTAGGATAGCATGTATGTAAGCTTCCTCTTTCAAGTTTGAGAAAAGCTTGATGATGACATTAATAAGTTTAAAGCTTATTGATAAAACAAAGGATTCATTTTATATAAATATTTTTTACCATAATCTCCTTCTTTAAGCCAGCACCTCTCCATCAATCAAACATTAAACTGAAAAATTCAGAGCAAAATTCGGTTAATAAATCTTATCAAACTACAGACTTATTGATCCCATCTTACAGATTAGCGAACAATTGTTTTTGATGAATCATAATTGATAAGCCTGCATTTTTTAAATTAAAATGGCATACTGTTATATACTCATGTATAGAGCGAGATTTTATACAATTGAAATATGGGGTGGCATTATACACAGGTAATTGTTTTTGAAGAGGTCATGCATTTTCATTAACTAGTTGCACTATACACATATAAATATTTTCTGGAAGGGTTAAAATTCATACAAAAAGATCCAGGGGGTCACACTATACATGATGTCTGTTTGTATATAAGTATATACGGTACAGATTGCGTGTGTCCTGTAATGGTTATGAGTCAGATTGGTGAGCCAGGTTCAAATTCCAACTGAGTCAGTTGCCTTCACTCTATCCTTGGAGAATAACATGAATAAATCTATTTCTTCTACCCCTTCCCACTACCCTCCCTTTAATAGGGCAGACTGGGTTTTTTTAGCCTTGGGTAACAACCAGCTTATGCAACAAAAGACAGGAAGTTGTAGAGAGCCATAATCATTCATGCCCCAGCACATACAGGATGTTGAATTCTGTATGACATTTCTTCTTAGTCATGCTTTATTTAAATCAGACATGACTAATCATACCTGTGCACATTTTACAGTTTTCTGATTTTAATTTTCTGATGGATACAAATTCTTAATCTATTGCAATTTTTGCAATGATAAAATAACTGTGGAAATTCCCCTATTGCATCATCAATTTTTAACAAAATATTGCAATAACAATCATAAGTATTAATGCAGGTAATTTTTTTAAAGAAGTAAGAGGGTACAAATAAAAATGTTCAGTATTGACAAGATTTTTTCATTTTGCCAAATCAGACATTAAACACAGGAGAAAATTATCTCTTCCATGTTCTCTTTCTTTTTCTCACTGAAAGCGAACATCATCTTTTCCGTCTTTTCTCACAGTCAAAACTGAATTGTTTCTTATTTATGATTCGCACCATCTTAACATAACTTTGTGCCTTTTCTATAAATACTTTCATGGTAATTGTTCTCTTTGGTACCTCAGTTTTATGAATTTAAGCAATGTACTAGATTGGCAGCTGGTTTCATTATTGTACAGTTGAAATAGCTAGATGTAACCGTAAGTTCTATGTTAACACTTTCTTCTTTCACACTTCTCACTTGTGGAACTTCCTTCTGGAACTCTCTACTGGCCTCTTGCTTTCCAGGTGACTTGATCTTCAAAAATTGAATGCAATATGAATCATTATCTTTTGTTTTAATTCCTGTTCTTTTATTGTCCTCTCCTTAATTTTTCTCATTTTTTTTTATTGTCCTCTCTCCTTAGTTTTTTTAATATTCTCTAACATTCAGTATCCCTTGTATCTTAGTGGCTTTATTGCCTTTGATCTTCAAAAATTTAAATGCAATGTCAATCGTTATCTTCTGTCTTCTTAATTCTTGTTCTTTTATTGTTCTCTCTCTTTAATGTTTTTCTTTTTCTCGTGTTCTTTCACACTCGGTAACCTCTTTTGTCTTAGTGGCATTATTGCCTTGCTTGGGAGTAAAATGATAATTTTTTTTCTCCTTTGGTTACAGCCTTCAAGTAAAATAATGAAAGAGAAACTGGACAAGATCTTCAGTAAAGCTATTCCTGTGATTATGCGTCATTTTAAGGCAAGTAGATTTCCAAATATCTGAATTTCATCACAGTATTAGATTTGTTCAAATCAAGGCATAAACAAAACAAAAACCTAACAGTATCATTCTAAAAGGGGGCTAATCAGAAGTTATAATAAAACCAGTTTTGTGAGCGGCACCAAATCAATGTCCTATCTGTTAGATCTACTTAGAAGCTAATTGCATTTTAATCAGCAGCTGGAGTTTTCTTTAAAGTCTGCCAATTTCACCTTCCTTAATTTTTGTATCAGGTGAAGCCTTGTTATTTTGAACAAGAAATTGCTGTTGCCATTCTCTTCATTTGGATTTTAGCTTGACTCTTACACTTGATAACAGAGTGTAGTTATGGCCCCTGAAAATTCCTCCAGAATTTGATGGGTGCACAATAGATTATGAAACTTGAAAGAAAGTATTCAAAATTGTGAACTCCAAACAGACTAGCCCCAAAAAAGTAGATGGGCTATTGTCATGTATTTGAATTTAGCAGAGAACCACAAAGCCAGATTGGCCACATCTGGGTTAACTATGCCAGACATGAGCTCAGATGATGGACTTGAACTGCTGGTCAACAAATAGGATTGCGTATTCCTACATTCAATTCAAATTTAGTTAACCAATTCTATATTTCATGCTGATAATTATTATATCAACATCAAAATGCTGATGAAAGAAATAAACCCAACTTAGATATTGCCATAAGCAGATATACCTGCTGTTAGATCAGCATAGAAGTCCATTGCATTTAAATTAGCAGAAGTGAAAAGTGGTTCAGTCTAGGAGCCATATTTAAGTTCTGCCAATTCCTCCTTTGTCAGTTTTTGTATCAAGCCTTGTCACTTTTGACAAGAAATTGCTGTTATTGTTCCCTTCTGTTGGATTTTGTATCTGCTCTTAACATTTGGTAGCAGAGTCTAGTTTAAGGGAAGTTCTCCTTGGATTCAAACATTTTAGATTCATCAAAATGCTTATTCACAATGGTTGCTGGTTCGGCCATAATGAAATAGAAGGTGCGATGAATAAATTGTCGTTTAAATTACACAAAAATGAAAATAACACTGACATCTCATTTTAGCAGATTTATTTACCAAAACTACGCAAAAATATCTTGAAATACTAAAGGGTAAATTTATTCAATTAAAATGGCCATTGGCTTCAACCACAGCCTCCAGATAGCTACGGAATCTCTTGCAACTCTTCTGGAAGGTCTCTTTGTTTAAGTTGTTGAATGCTGTCATAATCCTTGCCTTGAGTTCATCTTTGGTGTTACATGGAGTTTTGTTGGTCTCTCGCTCAGCTGCCCCCCACACATAATAATCAAAGAGTTGCAGTCTGGGGAGTTAGGTGACCAGTTGTAATAGGTGATGTGGTTGCAGAAATTGTCTGACAGCCATGACTGGGTTCTCCTGCTTGTGTGGCATAGTGCAGAGTCCTGTTGCTAGGCATACGGTCTTTCAGTAGCCACCCTTTTGACTCACAGTGGCACTATCTCCTCGAGGCACTTTATGTAGGCTTCTGTGTTGAGTCTGAGGCCCTGTGGGAAGATGAATGGAGGCATAATGTCGCTATCACGTGTTCACTCCAAACACCTTCATAATCACCATTAAGCTCATCCAACTCTTTTTGAATCCTCTGCACTGTCCTCAGATTGACACCCAAAAACTCTGAAATGTTTGTATTGAGAATGCCAAGCAGTATAACATGCCTTTTCCAAATTTCTGGCAGAGTAAATTGCATCATGATGCTCTTTTTTGCAGAGATGGTGCCCAACTGACCCTAATATATTTTACAGTCAAACAAAATCAAAAACAAACAATGTCCAAACAAACTTTTCTGATCTATATATAACTACAAGCATGGTGCATATCGTCTAGTTCTTCACCAGTGATTCAAACCTAAAACTCCACAAAAAATGATAAATATTTATATTTGTATTATAGCTCACATTGAAACATCTGGGAAATGAAAGAAAGCCATATGTACAATTATGAATTATCTTCTCCCTGCTCCATTCAGAACAAAACTTCTTGCTGGGGAAAAAAAATTGGTTTTTGTTATTAGCCATTAAGACTTCTTTTTCTCTCCCCAAAGGAAAATTGTTGATATTGTATATTTCGGCTATATTATAAATTTACTTTTTCAGTTATTTTTTAGAATAGAGTGAAAACAAATCTTGGAAAAGCTTTGATCATGATAATCTCTGAAAAGGTTTTAAGCTCTTATTGAAATAAGGAAGCCAAAACTGGATATGATTTTCAGATGTTTGGATGCATTTGGCTGACAGAATATCCTTTGTTTCTATATTGTTTCAGATACGATGCCATTCTGCTAAATTTTAAAGATTTGAAATTTTATTTAAAAAAAAAAAAAACCAAAAACCCTAGCATCTGTAATTTGTTTCCCCTCTAATCATGAAAAAGTTAAGAATCTTGATAGAAAGCTAAATAAACAGGTGAAAGACTTCATTATATCCTTCCACTGTGTAAGTTTTCTTAGATTTATCTATTATAGAGTAGTCTCCCCTTATACACCATAAATATGTTCCAAGTGCTCATGGCTATATTATGGTAGGATCACCAAAGTTAGCCAATGTCGAGCCAGGTCAGTAACAAGATAGGTTACTACTTGGAAATACCAAGTGCTGTAAGCTTGGACGTGTGGGTGGTGTGACAGATCATGGCTTGGAATTGGAAATTGGAGAGCAGAGTTCCAGTTCCAAGTCGGGTTTCTTATGTTCATTTATGTGCAAATGCCCTTGAGAAAGGTATGAATCCAACTACCCCCCCATTCCCGTCAGGTATAGGTTAATTAATAGGTTTTGTATCAGTGGAAATCATTATTATCTTGCTTCCCAATCAACTTTGATCTCCAACAATTTAAATGCAATGTTAATTGTTATCTTAATCATAACCATACTCATAATCATAAGTTCTATGCTAACAGTTTCTTTTCTTGCTTGTGGAACTCTCTTCCAGGCTCTTGCTTTCTAGATGAGTTTAAAAAAAATAAACAAGGAAATTAAACAAATACTATACAGAAAATATTGTATAGTATAACACTTGTTAGGTATTTCTCTGTATCATGTCCTTTTGGCATTTGGAAACTCGGGTCTCTCCACAGCTTCCTTGTTTTTGCTGTTATCATAAGCAAAATAATTTTTCTTATTTCAGGATCTAAAATCAAATTCTGCATTGATTATCATTGCAAGTAAATTGCCTCCCAAACTGGTGCCTTATCTCAGGTAAGTTCTTTGATTTTTAGATTTTATGCCATGTCAACCCCCTCCTGGGTTTCTTTAATATAAAATTCCAAGTTTTTTTATTATTATTATTATTAAATTGGTGTCTATAGGTACCACTGGTTAGATTTATACTTGACTGGTTTTGTCCTTGTGCCTCCAGGGAAACATGGGTTGATTTTTGTACTTAAAACCTATAGGTAAACAGAAGGCTTTGTACTTGAGGCTCTGGGGAAACATTGGTCAGGTTTGTACTTAAGTCTCCAGGGCAACATTGGTCAGTTTTTGTACTTAAAACTTATGGGGGGAACATGGTAAGGTTTGTACTTGAGACTTTGTGAAAACATTGGTTAGGTTTGTACTTGAGCCTCTAGGGAAACATTGGTTGATTCTTGTACTTAGAACCTATGCTGGAACATTGGTACACTGTAGTATTGTATCTTTTTGAAAAAAATTTTTCCCCCTATACAAGGCCCAAGAGTCCCTTGAGGTATAGCATCTGCATAATAATTATACAATAAGCCTCAGTATTGGCTTTTCTTTCAAGCTACCTGTATCCTCATAATAAACAAACTGTTATTGATCTCTAAACAGGTGTAGTGGTTCTTATTGATTGTGAGCAGAAATCTAGATATTCTAATAATTTGCACCTGACAAACCACCAATATTGATTACAGGTGTGAGAACCAGTCCCACACAGTTATATTTATCACAAGAAAAACATTATTTTCGAAGAAATGTAGTGAAAAATGAAGAGACTCTTGTTTAACTTACTAACTCACTATTACTTAATATTCATTCAATAATTCAATTTGTGTTACTTAAAAAAAAAGTTATATATCTAGTGTGAGTAATTCAGTTTGCCCGTTGTTTGCATTGACTGAAATAGATTAAAGTGCTTGCTTTTGTCCAGTCCTCCAACTGAGCTGTTCCTAGTGACCTCTTATTCTCTCAGTTTTGTTAGTATGCACGTACGCCATCACACCAACAATGCGATCTCTAGTCTTCCTCCCAGACTCGTTATGCCTGTGTTGGGGGAAACTAAAATTTGCATACAAGACTTACTTCTCGTTCACCTGAGACTTCTAATTTTATAAATTCAAGCTGGTTTGAATTCTTAGTCTTTTTTTTCTTTTCTCCCTTTGTACGTCTGTCTGCGATATGGGAATTTCGGAATAATCCGTTTCTCTTTTAATGCTAGTCGCGATCTTTCAACAGGACCTGACACGCCAAGCAAATTCGCTTTGCGGGAGGTAAGTCTTCTCGTTCCTCACAACTAGTTTTTATTTTAAAAACCAGCATCTTGTCTGCTCCATGGTTGTTACTTTTTAATATATTGGACATATATACATACACACACACACACACACACTTTAAAGTTTATTTGATAAGAAGCATTCAAATAAACTTTATCTATGAATCATTATCCGTTCCAAGAAATGTTGACAGTTTCTTTTAAGGAATGACTTGAGCATAAGTGAATTTTTTAGGTGAGTAAGACCCCCCCCCTCCTCTTGATACACTGCACGAAAATCCAGCAGCAAGTTGGAGTCCAGGACAAATAATGGAGAATTATTTGCAATGAATAGCGTGGTCAAGTTTCAGTGCAAGGAATGCCATTTTTTGCATGTGTATGCCCAGCTGGTTTCCTTCTCAGGGATTGGCTGCTACTCCTGATCAGAGAGCCTAGTTTACCTTACTATTTAACCCATAACTTGAGGGAGAAGTGACAGATTCATGCCTTTCCCAAGGTTAATAAAGTAAAGTGAACCTAAGTTTCAAATGGAATTTGAACCCTACTTACTGATTCCATGTTTTGAGCCAATAACCGTTAGGCTACCTGCATCAGGGTAAGAGTAATTAATAAATATTGAATTATTAGACAAGAAACATTTTCCGTTGTATTTTGATGATTATTTGTATTAATATTTAACCTTTCTTTTTTTTTTTCTTTTTTATATACAGAGGAAGTTGTTTATTATAATCACAGATAATGTTATCAAATAGTTATTGTTATCAAAATTATGCAATCCCAAACAATATTTAAAATAAGGTGATTATTTTAAGAGGATAAATTTTGAGTTTGTTTCTTTTAAAATGAGATGGTGATGAAAAGTTCTCCAATTGATCACTCCAAAATTAACTATTTTGATGCTTGGGAATAAGGTAGGACTGCGGACTTTTCAGCACTCCCTCATAATGTATGAGGACATACTAAAAAGCTCTTGGCCCAACCAAAAAAGGATTTGGAAAGAAATATTTGATATTTGGTTAGATTTTGGGAAGTGAGTTAGGCTGAGGACTTTTCAGAAACCCTTCATCCATTTTTTTCTTTTTTTTTTATACAGAAGTTGCTTATTATAACCACAATTATTGTTATCAAAATTATGATTGTAATGTTGTTTTTGTTCAAAATGGCTGAGCATTAGGAAGGCTGTAGTTAGAGTATTGAAGGAACAGAAGACTTACGTGGAGGAAACAAAGAAAGAAGATGTTTATTAAATACTTATACATAGAACGGAAATAATTGAGTATATGAAATACTCCTCAAATCTTACTCTAATGTGGCTACTTGCCATATTTATAAATAGGAGCAGTCCAGTATCTGTCTATATTTCTGAGATAAGGTATTATGTACACTATTTATGTTATTTGGACTATTGTCCTCATCTTTGTTGCCATATTTATCACAACGTTTCAGTCGTTGTACGCTCTGGCCTTCTTCAGTTGAGATGCCAAGTCAGGACCAATTGTATTGCAGATCCTTCTTTGGATTTTGTCAAGAACCTCAAGATGAATAGCAGGAGCACCAAACCAGATATGGCAAAAGTATTCAAAGCTTCACAATCCCTATTTACACTGTTCAGACTATTATCCTCATCTTTGTTGCCATGTTTATCACAACATTTTGTCCATTGTATGTTCTGGCCATCTTCAGGTGGTTGGAATGTCAAATTGAACCCTTTATTTCGCTCACTGGGGTAGACTGTTCTAGTTCTATGTGCCATGTCTAATGGATGTCAGTTATCTCCTGTTAATTCCTCTCTGAAAGTTCTCCACTGCCTTAACCAGGTATTGAACTCACACTCTTTGGGTCCTGTCACTGGATCTAACTAACGCCTTTATCCACTGTGCCATGTGTCCATTGTCACAGTTTGTAGGGAAGAGCAGGAAGCACGTTGTGTTGTACTCTCCAAAAGTGTGTACTGTAAACATGATTATTTTTAATGTGTTTCAATTTGGTCATTATCAACTGCTGGAATGTCCTCAGTCTTCCAGATCAAAATTTATGCTTCTGAGTGTAGCAAACTACTTACAAAACAGTACTCTCAGCTTTGGCACCTTCAAAATAAATGACACATGCTTTATTAGCTATTTGTTCAGTGTTTGTCTTTTTTTTTTTTTTTTTTGTTCCAGAAATAAGAGCCTCAAATGACAAAAATGCTTCTCTTTTAATCTAAATAAAAATAAAAAATTTACAATCCACACATGAATCATATAGAACAAGGGTGGCTAAACTTGCTAAATGTAAGGGACCACATGTGGTAAAATTCAGATGTTTGAGAGCCGCAACACATTAACAAAATTTACACATGTTTTTGCTGCATACTGTTATGGAGTGGTTTCACAGTGGTGACTTGTATTTGTACTAAGTCGGTCCTAAAATAGGTTCGACGTACAAAACGTTAGGAACTTCATGTAATAGGTATGACACAGTAATCTAGTTTTGGTCGTTGATACTTTAATATCCGACTAACGGTCGTCTGGCATCAACTGACTGACGATATTCAGTCACCCCCCCCTGGGGCATCATGTGACACAAGGTCCGTTATTTATTGTGGGTTCTCCAAGCCCGTGGGCTCGGCCCCAAAATATGCCTATTGAACCCGGGTAAACGGGCTCAGGGTCGGTTTACCTCCCTGAACGAGACTTCGCCCCTCGGCATAGCCTCGTTCGGGTTCCTCCCCACCCGAAGGCAGAGAGTTCAACTGAACAGTCGGTTCAGAAGTGAATGACTGACTGACCCACTGAGCGACTCCTACTTATTATAGGTGGGAGAGTCTATTAACTATAGGTGTGTTCCACTATAACACATACACATTTTGTTATAAAATTTTTATATAAATATTAAGATATGCATGTATGCAATAATATTTATTCATGTATGTAGATTTTTAAACTGTTAATTTGTACTGGTTTCTGTAATCACAAAATACACACACACACACAAAATATATATATATATATATATATATATATATATATATATATATATATTTAACCCCTGTAGTTCAATGCTACTAACAAGCAGGAATTTTTCTTGATGATGGCCATGCTGGCCAAAACTAGTTGAGGAACCTAATTTGAATAATAAAGCAAAAATATGATTAGACAACCTAGTGTGTCTAAAATTTTAATTTTTAACATTTTTTTAAATTGTTCAAGATATATATTCATATTCTATATGTGTATAGGTTACTTAATTGAGTAGATAGCATAATTAGTTATTTATTTATTGTTATTAGGCCATCAAATTATTTTAGTTGGTAAATGACAAAACAGGGAAGGAAATCTAGTTAAATTAGTATGAGTTAATTTGTAGTGAATGGTTTCGTGAATTAAAGTAAATGGGGGATAGACGTTATGTACGTGTGTCAATACATGTGTGTGTGCATAGTTACATTTATGTGTGGATGTGGGAACATACATGCAGGTATTTTTGTGTGCGTGTGATTTTGTTTGAATAAGAGTATAAGGTAAGCATTACAGATTGACCTGATAGTTAGAATAGCGAATTTCCTTTTTTAGAAAGTGCTAGTATAGGATAGATTTGGGTTGGGTACACGGGTAGGTTTAGTTAAAGATTTTGTATCGCTATGGGGATTAGTATTTAATATGTAAAACATGGGCTTAAACAATGCAATAAAGATACCAGCTCATCTCATTATGGATTCCGGAAGTAGTAAATCTAAACCAGATGGAGAAAAAAAAGACAACATTATATAGTAGAGGAACGTGAAAAGCCCTGTTTTTCTTTGGCTGATGCTGATTGACATATGTCAATAAGAACGGTCGAAGTCCGTCCTTGCTAGTTTCTTATGATTACTGTTTTTTGCAATGTCACAGTGCGTAGCATGATGCTTTCAAGGAGGCGGCCTGACTCGTCTCTAGAATCAGGTTGGGGTTGCTGTTGGAGCCGATATGATGCAAAACCCGAAATCGGTGATGAGAACAGTACATCATGGAAGACCACTCTTGATGCATCTAAAATGTATGATTTAACAACTATATTCAAAATTTTGACTGCTGATTGTTTTAAGTGTATTGAGCGTATTTGATAGGGTAATGAACTATGGGTATTTACCTTTTATATTAACTGTGATGAGAAAAGGAGCTCAGGCAACCTATTTCCACAACCCGCATATTAAAGATCAAAGAGCCGTATTTGGTCACCCCTGATATAGATGAGGCATTGAAATGTCACCTTTCAGAACCCATATATAAGTCATGAATTTCAGTTAATCGTGTGTTCAAATTCCACTTATTTATAAAAAGGAAAAAAAAAAAGTAGCTGTAAACTTTTTTTTCAGTCTACTACATTTGTAAGTTGATCTGAATTAGTTGATGTATAATTTCAGATAATGAGTCTTTTTTTTTTTTCTTTTTTTTAAGCCACCAATGTTTGACTAAATTGAAGAAGTTGGATGAAAAGACCTGTTGCAAGGAAGATTATTCCGCTCTGATCGAAATGTCTTGTTCTTGGGGAAAGATGAATGGTTTGCTTGACCTCATCCTGGAATGGCTTACAGATGGAATGAAGAACAAACTTGATTCTTCATCTACTTTCAAAGTAAGGCCTGTTTATTTTTGCATCTGCATTATTTTAATATCGTCATGTAATCTTAGCAAAATAATCTTTCAAACATAGACTTCAGTGTTCTTGTTATAAAGATGCTATTTCTGTAACCTTTAATTCTTACACAATCATTTACAAAAAAGAAAGAAGAAAATGGTTGTATTATGATGGAATAATTCTACAATGTTTCTTTTGTTTTGCAGCAATTAAAGAGGCAGACACAGGTCAGATTCACAGTGAATGAAGTGCCAAAACCAATCCTTGGTCTTAAGTTCCTCTTTCATGTTGTTGAGCAGCCAAACTGTCGAGCTCTTTTGCTGAATAAACATCAAAAGAATATTCTTGATATCTTGGAGCAACTGAAAAATGTCTTGGTTTGTATTGAAGTTTTTTTTTTTTTTTTTTTAATTATTTCACTCCAAATAAGGCATTAAAGCCACCAAGATATAAGAGCTTATTTACTGAGTCAAAAGGATCTGAGAAAAAGAAAAACACTATTAATGAGAGATAATACTAAAAGAACATTAATTTAAAAAAACGAAAAACATTGCATTTAAATTAGTTTTGTTCGGTTTGGCAATTTATGTTTTGGTATTGGTTCCGGTTTTGTTTTCCTTGACACCACAGTTTTTGATTCAGTTTTTTGGTTTTTAATTTAGTATTTTTGCTTTCTAAGGAAGCCATTCACTTTTTTGTGTAATGATGGCATTTACAGTCGATATCTGATTTTGTCTGAGATTGATAAATTTGAAACTTCTCTTGTATTTCTGGTCCAATCTTAAAAATTTTCATTTGGCTGGAAAGAAAATAATATAATCTTTCTAAATATGTAAGTTGTATGTGCTTTCATTCATTGAATTATTTTTTTGCAGCCAGTTAAAACAGTCTTACTTCAACCAACTGAAAATGCGAAATGTTTTTTTGTTTTTTTTTTGGTTTTTTTTTTGAAACTAAATTTTACACATTACTTTGTTTTGCAAAATCAAAGTGACCAATCTTTATCAATATTCTTGAAATTCTAAAGTCAATTAGAAGAAAACTTAAACTACAACCAGGAAGATGTTCATTTCCTCTCTGACCCGAGGAAGCAATTTCCTTCAAAAATTATAAGTGAAGCTAAAAAACAAAAAAGGAAATATTTTCTGGCATGCCAGTCAACTATTATTGGAATTTTGCAAATAAATTTCCTCTAAACAAATAAAATCAATGAGTTATTTTTACCCCTAAATAAATTTGTTTTTATCTAACGAATACATCCAAAATTAAATATTAAAAATAATTAAAAGCTTTTAATTTCATTTTTAGAATGAGTTTATTTCCAAATCTGCGAGTATCACCTGTTCTTTTTTAGATACACATTTTAAAACTGAAATTAAAAACGATTTTAATCATTTTAATATAATTTTATTCAAGTGTATTATTCACCATAAAGATATTTGTAAAAAATAAAATGACTTAATTTTCCTTGTTTAAAAGAATTTTATAGGTAGAACAGTAACAAACACCCACTGAACACTGGTGGCTAAAAAAAGAATAATTTTTTACTTTGGGTTTGAAAAAAAAAATGACTTGCAGTTTTGAAAATATACACATTTTAAAACTGAGATTAAAACTTTTTTTTTTTTTAATATCTAATTTTATGTGTATTCGCTAGATAGAAACAATTTTATTTGTAGAAAACAGACTCGCATATCTGGTAATATACACATTTTAAAAGTGAAATTAAGAACTATTTTAATTATTCTTGATATCTAATTTAGGTGCATACCCTAGATAAAATCAAATTTACTTATAAAAAAAAATCTTCATTCATTTTTCTTGTTTACAACTTTATTTCGTGATTGGCATAAGACTCACTAGAAAACCCTTACAAAAAATCCGACTTCATAAAATTTAACATTAAGATGGCAACTATTTTTTTTTTTATTTTTACTTGCTATTTTGCTGTTAACTTAATTTTACCGCAAAAAGTTTTTTTTTTGAAAACTGAAACAAATAGATTTGAGGCATCATGTTGTTTTTCCTTTTTTTCTTCTTCATTTCTTTTGTAAACAAATAAATTTGATTTCACATTTATTTTCTAAAACTAGTCCAATTAAATGTTTTTAACATTTTTGTTCAATCTTTTTCTCTTACAATGGTATAAATGTTGATAAAATTTAATTTTATTTACATCTGAAAGTCTTTTTCAAGAGTGTTTCTTTGGATATGGTCACTCAGTAGTGATATAAAAACAAAACCGAAATCGTTCAGTTTCATAAAAAATTTTGATGTGGTTACACGGTGTGAAGATGAAACCAAAAAATGTCAGTTTTTCAGTTAAAACAGCACATCTCTAATTTAAATTTTTGTAGATCAAACTCATCTAAAACGCAAAAGGTTGGAAGGGAGTTCTAACAAGCAAGAGAAGAAACTGTTAGCAAAGTCTTATAGTTACATTTAACAATTTCATCTGTAAAATGAAGAGACCTTGCCACTTAAATTCATAAAGTCAACGTACCAAAGAGAGCTCATCAGAACGTTTGCCATGAGAAGGAACAGGGAAGCTATGATATGATGGTGGAAATATGACTGAAACTGAGATACCAGGTCAGGGCTGATAACATTGCAGATTCTTCTTTGGATTTTATTAGGAATCTCTAAATACATACCAGCCTAGATGTGACAGCAATATTCAATACATGAGCAAATGGTAGACTTATAAAATGTAAGATAGATTCTAGCAAGAAAAATTTTCTAGCACAACACAATGAAGCCAACTTTCTTTGCAGCAGACTTAGCAATTGATTCAGTATACATTTCTAATGTTTGATACACTATCTGTGCCATGTCCTTTCAGGACATAGGTAGTTACGGTTCTCCACAGCTTCTAATAATTATTTTCTCCAAGGAATAATTAATATCCTGTCTATTTACACAGAAATGAAGGCTTCTTTTTTAAGTATATCTCTTCAGTAATCATTTTTTAAATGTTGTGTATCTTCAGAACATAAGTGATCATGTCTTGTTATAACTTCCTTTTCTTTTGTTTTAATATCTGTGCATTATTCTTTGGAAAGATAGTGGTGCCTGCTTTCTTGTATTCTTGGTAGTTTTGAATTAAGAGTTTTCCTTCTACAGACTGGTTGCCATCTCAAGGCTAAAGATCGCAGTATGTTGTACCATTTTTCTTCAATTCTGCATCAATAATACCATATTTGTGAATATGCAGTGAAGGTCTCTAACTTCAAGTACTATGGGCTTCAAGGACACAGGCATTCATAACTCTCCACAACTTCCTTTTTTATTTGATATCACTAAACTGTGCCTTGCTGTTGTTTTTTGGCCCAACCCACCATTGGAGAACAGCAATTGAACTGTGGATACACAAAAAAAAAAAAAAAAACGGTAGGGGAGGTATGTCCAGGATCCACATAATCCACTCACAGATACATTAAAGCTAAAGAACAACCTATGTGTGGAGTTGTAGCACTTGTTAGGGTCCCAGCTATGGCAAATACAAAACACTATCAAAGTATAAAAATACCAACAACACATATTTATAGTAAAACGACCAACAATAGATTCTATCTGTAGTTGAAGCCATAAAATTGTGTTCAAAATATTTAGGTTTTGGCATTAAATGACCCATAGAGGTGTTGATATGCTGGCAAACAAAATCAATCAACTAGCAACACATCTTATCTGTAGTTGAAACCATAAGATTGTGTTAAAACAATATGTAGATTTTGGCATTAATTGACCCATCGAGGTGTTGATATGCTGCGAAATGAAATCAATCACTCAACAAACCAACCACCTACCCATGTGTCCAACTTGTCTTGTCACTGTATGGCATATTTTGATGATGACACGCACCTAACCTGACTTTGATATCAAATAAATAATTTAAAGGAATTCAACAAAATTCAAATTCTTAAAACTATATAGCAAGCTATAACTCCAATACTTACATATGTGTACGCATATATGTGTATATAAATCAATTTTCAAAAAGATATAAACCTTTGTGACACGATATAACACCCTGATGTTGAAGTACTGTTAAATATGAGAAAAATCCAAACCCATTGTACTTGGTATGGTTTCTCATTGCCTTCTTCACATTTTGTGAACTCAGTTTTTCTTCTCCTAGATTGGTTACCAACAAAGTCTAGAGAGCCTAGTCTACCTTACTATTTTATTCATAGCTGTGAAAAGAGATGAAATTAAGCCTCTCCCAATGGCATTACTCGTTTCTTCTTCCATCTGCTGGGTAGACTTGTCTTTCCTAGTCTTTGTTTGGCAACCAGTCTAGGAAAAGGACTACTCTGAATTCAAACCAGTAATATCATTGGGAACATCACAAATGACCCCACCTCGCCCCCCAGTTATGGATGAAATAGCAGGGCAGAATGGTCTCTTTAGCCATGTATGCCCCCCCTTCTTTCTCTTGTACAAGAGAAGGAAAACCCTGAATTGAAAACTGTGGATAAGGCAACAGGAAGCAATCCACTATCTTTTCAAAGAAGTCATGGTATTTTTTTTTTTTTTTTACAGTGATGTTCACTTTGTGCAAGGCTTAAGAGCCACTCAAGATAGAGGGTTAGAGTAAGAGGCACCATCCCAAACAAAGTGATAATGCCACCAAGATGCAAGAGACCACCAGAAGTGAAAGAAAAGGAAGCTGTGGAAAGCTATGATAATCTACTTTCTGAAGGAACTTGACATTTAAAAAAATAGTAAAACATTAGCTAATACAGAGTGCCAGCACCGTTTTATCTTTCAGGAATAATTGACCTTGAATAACCTTCATGAATAATCATTCAGCTCTTGCATAATTACTTAACTCTGATTGGTTCTTTTACGATGGATTAATTGCTGCTCAATCTTCTGACTTTTCATTTAAAGGTTATTTGCACTATTCACTGCCATTCATGAGGAGGACCAAAATGGGATTAAATTTGTTTTTTCTTTTGTTTTCCAGAAACTTCTTGAACATCATTTCGACACTAATAATCAAGAACTTGAGTCGACTGATGACCGATTTCTGTTGGATGCTTATTTCCTTTACATTCGCCTTAATTTACTTGTTTACATGGAGGTAAGACTGGGCTTTGTTTAACAGTTAAACACAACATCCATCCAAGTCAGACAAACTAGTGACACTATGTCTCTCTCTCTCTCTCTCTCTGTATTAATAAAAGAAATTAGCAAAGAAAATCTTCTATGCCGATGAGTTCAGTTCTTTGAGGAACCTTATTAAAGTAAATGTAGATATTTTATTTAGGACTCTGTATTTACATGCAGAAAAAATAATGCTGACAAAAATGTCAGGTATTCAAATTGGAATTAGAGAATGCTTTAAAATAATTGAAAATCTCTAAGCATTGTAGAAAAACTATGGAGGGTACTAAGTGATGTAAATATTTGGAATGTTTAAACAAAAGTGAATTAATGTTGTTTGTTAGACACACTCACACACACAATGTAAAATATTTTTAGATAGAGTGTATCTGTTTGCCAAACTTTGAATTATGACACTTTGTGTCCTCCACATGTTTTAACTGACCTTTCAACTACTTGATGAACATTCATGGTTCTCAAATTTAAAAGCCTTGATAAACCAATGACATCCTCACCTTTGTATATAAACACGTGCAGCATAATAAATCCAACATTGCCTTGATAAAGTCCCTCAGGGAATGAAACCTGTCAGCTAAGAATAGTTTTTCCTCTTGACTTTTTTTTATTCACACACACACACACACACACACATATATATATATAAATTTTAGAATTTTAAAGTTGTAATTTTGAAATTGTAATTAAAATTGTAGTTAAATTGAATGAATTCTAACCTAAATTTCTTTTAAATAATACTACACGCACAAAAAGAATCCAAAAAAAACACCTATAGTAAAATAAAATTAATATGAAATGCCATAAGATGTAAGCTTTTGAATGACCCATGTCCTTAGTACTTACATGAGAAACATTATATTACTAGGTTTATATATAAAATAAAAGTTTACTAAATCAGTGAAATTAAGTAACCATTTTTGCCGTCATAGTCATAAATTTAAAAAAAAAAAAAAAATAATAATGTACCACATATACATACTTAAACTTGATGTTAAAATAATCCTACAAAATATAATGGATTCTAATACATTTAATTGTTCTTAAAAAGAATATAGTAAAATAAAAATTAAAAAGGAGAATATTTCAAATCGTAGTTAAATAAAAAGTATTAGAAAAAAAAAAAAAAAAAAAAACGAAAATCTTTAAATTTAAAAAATGACGTTGAAATTTTTTTACCGTTAACATTTTTTTTTTTTTTTTTAAAATCCAGACGACATCCATTCAACTGATGTTAAGTTTCATTGTAAAATACATCCCTACCCCTTACCAAATTGTAGCTAATAACTGATACAATTATACTGACATAAGGAAAATCTAGACATCCCTTGTTCAATTTAAGTAGAATATTCTGTAACCTTGGAAACGTGATTTTAGCTGTGTCTTTAAAACCCGGTAATTTTAAAAGTTACTCCAAAATTCGCTTGAAGATGAAATGGAACTAATGCTTTTAATTTAATTGCAAAATTAAATTAAGGGGTTTTAGCTTCTATTTTTGAAACATGGTTGGAACTGTGTAAGGAAAAAAACATATTTTAAATCAATTAATTTATAATATTAATGCTCTGTAAATTTACATTGAGTACTATTTTTGTAAAAATAAAAATATCTATAAGAACACGGATTTTATATCTTACTGTTTTTTTTTTTTTTTATTTTATATATATATATATATATATATATATATATATATATATATATATATGTTCCTAGTTTGTGACTGGAAGGGATAGTTCGAGGAGGATACAAATCCAGGGAGAGCTTAATGTAGACTACAGAGCATTATAATGATAATAATACAACGGAGACTTTAATTATCCATTTTGTTTATAATTTTTATTTCGTGAACACCGAAATGTTCATCTCATTAGAACCAAAACATTTTTTTAGCTTGGTAGTGGGGATGAGAGAAAGGGGTTGGGTAAAGATATGGCCAAGAGATTAGTGGTTAATAGTAGTTGGTTTCCCCCAACCAAGACTTTACTGTACACTTTTTAGATTTTGATATTGGTTTGTATGTTACTTTGGCCGATGCTGTTTGTTGTTTTTATGCAGGCTAAATCAGGACGATTCAAATTAAATAAATGGATCTTAATCTCAATAAAATTTGGTGTTAATATGGTAAAACTTATGCATTTGTTTTTTGGTCGAAGTCTGATGGTCAGTTGAAACATTTATAGAAGGAGTGGAAGAAGAGGGTGAGAAGGAAAAGACAAGGTAGTGATAGCTTTAGCAGCCTGCCCTTCCTAGATACTTCTTAATTTATGGAACTATGTAAATGGCTTTATACCGTGGGTTGATTGTTATCAAGTGGTCACTAGTACAAATAATAATTAGAAATCACAATAAATTGTCAGATACAATAGATGGATACAGTAAATGACTTTGGAGAATTAATAAACATTCAAAAACAAATACAAAACTTAAGGAGAAAGCTATGGATTGTGGAAAGTCTGATGGTCAGTGGAGACAATGAGTTTAGGGGAACGTTGTGGGGGGGATATAGATTATAATCTATTATAATAAAAATATTATATTTTGCTCTATTTCGTATTGAGCACTTTTTTAAAAAGTAAATGCTACGAACTGTGGAGCTTTACTCTATCTGTTCTTTCTTTTATTCATGTGTGTATGTGTGTGTGTGTATAGATGCATATTTCATTAAATAATATAGACAAGTTTTGTTTGTTTATTTTATGTAAATTCTTTTCATATGGCCTTAAAAGAAAAAAGAAAATCACAATATCACAATATTGATACATATTTTTTAATCCTATCTAAGCTTTCGTCTTACATAAGCCATTATCAAAGATGACCATTACATTACAATATATTAAACAATACACAGACAAAACGATAATGATAGTCTGCTTTTGTTTACATGGACGATTTCCAAGCAATGACAAACTCGTGCATATGTGATGCTGGAAGCAAAAATCACACCGCAGCTCATGACGTCACACATGACCACGCGAGAGTGAAAACGAGAAGTATTAAGTATAGGAAGCCATTGGTATTGTTTAATATATTGTAATGTAATTGTCATCTTTGATAATGGCTTATGTAAGCTGAAAGCTTAGATAGGATTAAAAAATATGTATCAATATTGTGATTTTCTTTCTTCGTTTAATGATAATGTTATTAAGCTTATCAGACGATATGAAAAGAATTTACATAAAATAAATAGACAACACTTGTCTATATTATTTAATGAAACCTGCATTAATGAAAATATGCTGCCTAAATACACACTATATATATATATATATATATATATATATATATATATATATATATATATATATATATAATAATCCTTGAAAGGGCTGACTTGTAAACTTTTCCTCATCAATGTCTCATTTTCTCGACTTTTAAAAAATAAAATTCATTGTCAAAATCAGTATTTAATCAGTATGTAAAAGGTTTATTTAATGTATCAATAAGGTCATCCAACTGTCTTCTATGTGGAATGTTGCCAAAAGAATATTTTCTAGGGTCAACAGGAGAATTTGGGGTGCTGAAAATTTCTTGAGAATTATTTCTTCATGGAGACTGTTCAGTTACTACTATGCCATTAAAGTCTGATACTTCTGCATTTTTAACACTTTTCATGTCTCTCAAGCATTATACAAAAGAAAACTCTAGTGAGTATAATAGTGAAGAGTTGCAACTTGGTAGCATTACTGACATGTTAGATAAGCTTGTTATTGATTCTTGATATTTAAAAAAAAATATTTCCTGGCAAAAAATATGTCTAAAGATGATTATTTGTTGGAGGATGATATTTTAATTCTGATTTTTATTTTTTTCCTTTTGTGAACGCAAAGTCAATTTTTCTCTGTGATGAAATTTTAATCTTGAACATTTTGTTCAGCTTTATCTGATATTTATTGTGGCGACCAAGATTAAAATACTAAAATATATATTAAAAAAATCTCATTCAAAGAAATTTTAATCATCTGTGACCATTTATAGAAATAACTGAAATGATCAACCAATAGAAAAAGATGTGAAAATCAGTTCCAGGAAGCATTCTATTCTTATTTGATTTCTAATTCCTTTCAGGCTAACTCCCAGAGCACCAATGACTCTGTGAATCTCCAAAAATTGATTTACCAGTTTTTGTCATGGGCAAAAAAGAAAGTCATGCCTGTTCTAGAAAATAATCAGGACTCTTCAAAATCCACACGGAAACGAAATTCATCGCACAGCAAAAAGAAAGTCATTGATTTGGCTTGTGATTTGTTACAAGTAAGTAGAACATATTTTGAGATTGCAATTTATTGGTACCAGAATAAAATAGTTACATTTCCTGAAATCAGAACAATATTCTGTTGTATTTTTCTCATTTTTATAATCATCTCATCCAAAGCAAAGCAATAAAGCCATTCAGATGCAATGAGTTACTGAGTGTCAAAAAATATGAGAAAAAGACAAAACATCATTAAGGAGCGAGAACAATAAAAGAGCAGGAAGTAAGAAGACAGAATTAAAAATTTTGAAGATCAAAGTTGACTGGAAAGCAAGAGACTGGGAGAGAGTTCTACAAGAGAAAGAACTAGAAATAGAACTAACATTTACATTTAGCCATTTCAATTGTAAAACAATGGGACCTAACTCCAATCTAGTACTGCACATAAATTCATAAGGTCAAGATACCAAAGAGGAAAGCTCATCAAAACAATTACCATGAAAATATTTATAGAAAAGGCACGGGGAAACTATGTTATGGTGGTGGGAAAGTCACTGAATCTGAGATGCTAGGTTAGGACCGATAGCATTGCATACAGGATTTTATCAAGAATCTCTAAATAGCAGAAGAATCGGGCCAGATGTGGCAGCATTTTATATATATATATATATATATATATATATATATATATAGGTTGGGTGGGGGGATGTATGACAGTTGAAAAAATGTCAACCTGGAAAAATACCAGTGGGGAAAAAAGATTTTGTCTTAGTTGACATGGAGACATACCAAAGTAGCACGAAAAATTTTCCCCACTTTGTCATAAATTTTTTCACCAATATTGTTCTTGGTATATAAAAATTTATATGGAGTTATCTATAATATATATATATATATATATATATATATATATATATATATATATATATATATATATATATATATGCACATTGAGTGCTAGTGTTAATAAAATACTGTAATGGTCAGTTCCTATTCAGGACCTGAAGATTGCATTGTGCATGAAACTCCAGGTTGTGATACTGACAAGGGGGGAGGTATATTTATTAATAAACTAGTGTAACTCTGCCGTCAAAATTGACAGCAAGAAGGGAATATATTATATGTATTATATTGTAAATAATTTTATTTTATCCAAGTACAATTTTGTAATTTAAAATAGTTTGTTGTTAATGTTGATAATTGAACAGTGTATAATTTGTAAGCACCTCAGAAAAGATATCTGCATTTTAAAGTATATAAAGATGGATTAGTTTTCGTCTCAATTGCAAAGACTATAGTGAAAAATTCCTAAAATTTGTAGGAATCTTTTTACTCAGGTTTTTGTTAAATGTCAAAATTTGGAGTGTTGGGATTCAATACAATAACATAAAATATTGTTGCGGAACTGCTCATAATTTGGCCATTTAGAATAATCCCATAATTCTCATTGAAAGAATAAAATTCAGCTGAAAAAAACAATTTCTGTATGTATTTGAGAAACAGTGAAATGTTGTTATATGTGTGTTTTTGTGAAAGAGTCTGTGCGTGTGCGCTTAGTAGTAACAGGGCATACAAGAGAACTGTCATCATATCTGTCTATATTTCTGAGATGAGGTATTATATACATTATTTACATTATTCGGATTATTGTCCTCATCTTTGTCGCCATATTTATTACAACATTTTGGCCGTTGTATGCTCCAGCCTTCTTCAGGTGGTTGGAATGTCGAACTGAACCCTATATAATGTCAGGACAACTTTCAAAAGCTTGACGACACTTCGCAGATATCTCTCCCGAGTAAGATCCCCCCATAGAGGAGAACATGGCTAAAGACTGTGTGTATGCTATCCCGTACAGCTGCGGAAAGAAATATAAAGGGTAGACAGGCAACCCCCTTAAGGTAAGACTTCAAGAACACCAGAAAGCTGTAACATGAGGGGAAGTTGAAAAATCAGGCGTGGCACTATTTTATTGTTGAAGAAACCCGTAGTCTTATTTACATATGGACTATTATCCTCATCTTATGCTCTCTGACCCTCATCAGGTGATTGTTGATCCAGGTAGCCGTCAGGGAATTTTGAACTGAACCCTTTATTTCATCCACACAAGTATATTGTTTGCATTCTGCTGACCCTATCTAGGGATTGTGAATTCAAACCCTGGGCTGGGCAGTGTGTACTTAGAGTCAGTGGAAATCGGGCGTGCAGTAACTGAGCTGTACTAAAAAAAGAACAAGACGAGACATCTCTAGACATGATCATTGGAACAAGAACAATTTTCCCCCATAGATTAAATGATCCATTCGACGGAGGAGAAGGCCTATTCAACAAAAAAAAATCAAAAATTTCTTTTTTCACTGCAAATTATTCATTATATCATATCCAAGTATTTTACAAAAAATTAGAGCTGATTACACATATATTTCAAGCTCAGTTTAGGTTTATAGTTCATAACCATGCAATGAGATGAGGTAAGATAAACTAGATTTGTTTGCAGAATATCATTACATTATTGTTACATAATTACAGTGAAATCATTAACGTTTTTTGTCAAAAATATTCCTTTTTACAGGCTTTATTTTTGAAATGGAATAAGATTATTCTAAATTTCAGAATTTCGCTATTGCCCATCAAAATGACTATTGTTTTTAGATTGCTTTCTTCCAATGGAAAAGAGAGGTAACAAAACAAACGAAATAACTCCAGTTTGTTTAACTTAGGAAACTTAGCATTGCAGCCAAAGTATTCTAAAAATGCTGGTAGTAACAAAAGGAGAAAATGAAAAATACCTAACAACAAATCAAATATAGCATCAAAATTTATGTAATAATTTTGATTTATTTGTGTAGTGAAAGAGATAATCAGCTACCCCGAAAAAAGTTTGTGTTTTGTGTGCAATCTGCCGAAGCAAATTACCAAAAAGTAGTTAGCAAAAATCTACATCAATGACTAGAAGCTATGCTAATGTTCTTCCCTCTCCTGAATGGCGTGACCAATCAGAAAATTCACTCGGTGAATAGAAGTTGTTGTTTTTCGCTTATAAAAGGAGATGATTTTTTTGAGCTTGGTGGAATGAACACACGTTGTTGTTGGTGAGAAGTGAAGGTTAGATGTGTGACCCCATTTTGTCGTTTCTACGTTGTGTGTTGGACTGTTATGTCGGACTATCGTTTTGAACTGCGATTTGGCTACAAGTGTTGTGGTCGAGAAACAAGAAATCTATTGCAATTGCTACTATCAGTTGGCAGTCTTTTATTTACTACAACAATTTTTTATGTAGCTAAATACATAATTGTCAACAATGTTTCCGTAAAATTTGATATTTCCTGTAACAAATTCTTAATAAATATTATTATTATTATTTTACTTAAGTGTAAGGTAGTCCTACATTTACAATTCCTTATGGCTGACCAGGAAAAGAAATGTTGAACAAAACTGCCTAAAACCTTTTAGCATGTATTATCTCAAAATTATCAAATGTTAAATATACCCCTCCTCTGCCGAACACATCAAAGTGTTCAGTTTGAAATTTCTTGAAAGTTACCTGGAGTGATAAGTACCTGATGATGGTCAGAGAGCACAACAGCTAAAACATGATAATAAATAAAGATAAGATTATGTAAATAATAACTCGTCATCTAGGAAATCCAGACAGATACCTTGCCTTGTGGATTATAAAGAGTAAGTTTAAAAATATGTGTCAGTAAAGAGTTCAGTCCCCGAGTTGTGCCATGTAGAAAAGTTGTATGCACAGTGAGCAAAATAGACTGAAGAGAGAGTATTAACTGATACGAGTTATCTCTCCTAAGCATACAAAGCAAAGTGAGGATGATTAGCCCCTGTGGATTGAATAAAGGGTTTAGTTCAAAATTCTGAGCCAGTTACCAAGGAAAACAACAGATTCCTGAAGATGACTGAATAATACAATGGCTGAAACCTTGTGGCTATCACAACCAAGATTAAAATATTTTTGGAATGAAGATGTCCTCTTTTAAATTAATCTCCTCAAAACCTGTAAGAATTTCTGTCCTTATTTATTCATTATAATATTTTAATGAAGACTCTGGTCAACCTGACAAAAGACCCAGAGTCTGTTGCATGTGGTGGAGTAAGCACCAGGAGTTACATTCTCTTCCACAATTGGCTGTTGAGAGAGGACATTCTACTTACAGTAGGTGGCATGGACAAAATTTGTATATGAATGATAGTGGGCAAGTATTAGACAATAGTCAGTGTGGGTCTGAGACTGGGTGAGCTATCTAACACCAGCTTTTTCTCAGTCATGAGAAGCACTTTTGATGTGGGGAAAACCAGATTAGATAAACACAAATATTCACCATTTAAAGTCTTTTTTCAAAGGTGTTAATATTCAAACCAGAAAATAAATATCAATATTTGTTTTCATCTGTGTTTATCTGCTCAATTATTCAATTATAACTCTTATGGGCTCCCATAAACCATACGTATTGGCAATCAAGAGAATGCCATTCCCTTGAGAATGAAGACTTCACTATTATAAACATGATTTGTCTTGATAAAATGCCTAATATCCTTACTAGAGGTTAGCATTTGAAACCAGGTATGAAAGAAAATAAAAGCTAAGTTTTTGAATTTTCTTGGCAAGCAAGCCATGTAGATTTGGAGAGATTGGTGCAATATATTCTTTCTTCTCTCATTTGCCCTTTTGTTCTGTAGGAAGCCATCAATAACAAAATGTCTGAAAATAGAAGAATCAATAAAATATCAGTTCTTAGAAATTTTTATTTTTCTTTCATTTTCTCTTGGATTTCTTTTATTCTATTCTTTTATTTTGTTTATTCTTTCTTCTTGTTTTTTTTATTATTCCTTTCTTCTTGATTTTTTTATTATTATTGCTTCTTGATTTTTTTTATTATTATTCCTTTCTTGATTTTTTTATTATTATTCCTTTCTTGTTTTTTTTATTATTATTCCTTTCTTCTTGTTTTTTTTTATTATTATTCCTTTTTTCATGATTTTTTTATTATTATTCCTTTCTTCTTGATTTTTTTTATTATTATTATTCCTTCCTTCTTGATTTTTTTATTATTATTCCTTTCTTCTTGTTTTTTTTATTATTATTCCTTTCTTCTTGTTTTTTTTTTATTATTATTCCTTTCTTCTTGTTTTTTTTTTATTATTATTCCTTTCTTCTTGTTTTTTTTATTATTATTCCTTTCTTGTTTTTTTTATTATTATTACTTTCTTTTTATTTTTTTTATTATTATTCCTTTCTTCTTGTTTTTTTATTATTATTATTCCTTTCTTTTTATTATTCTTCCTTTCTTCCTGTTTTTTTTATTATTTCTTTTTATTATAAATCTTTTTGGAACAATGAATTCTGGATCAAAATTATGATATGAAACAAAATAAACATGAAAATAACATTTTATTTATTTTATTGTTTAGAAGTAAATTAATTATTATGCTGGCTTCTTTATTATTATAAAAGTAGAAAAAATTGACTTTTAAAACTGTGGTTTGGCAGCTGAGTTAATGTTTTATACACCTCATTTACAACACCTAAAAATATCTGATTAAATTTATTGAATTTAATTCTGACATTAGCTTTACATAATGTTCTTAAATGTATTTTCATTAATTTTGTAGAATAAAATATCGAGTTTGATCCTATTTTATGTTTTTTAACAGTAAACAAAGCTAAAATTCAATGTAATTTTTTTTTAAGTACCTTTTAAAAGAAAAATCGATTATTCATAAAAAAATTAAATTTTATTATTACTTGTTGTTATGAATAAGAATATCATTGAGAAAATATTAGCTTAACTTCATGTAACAAATAATAGCATTTTGTCAAGTTTTGGATTGACTATCTTCCCATTAGCAGATTAACTTACCTTAGCTTATTTTATTATTAACTTAGTCCAGTGGAAGCAGGTAAGGGGATACAAACTACCATTGGTTTTACTACGGTGCGTAGCTTAGTACAATAAATTTTCATTAATTTTTGGGGAAAAATTAAGTTATATGATAAAAGAAAAAAGCAATATTGTTTTGTTTTTTTTGTTGTTTTTTTTTGCATATCTTTAAGTTTTTATATATTACAAAAATCTAGTTTTTCCTGTTCACCCTGTGTTTGCAAGAACTATAAACAAATCACAAGGCCAAACACTTGAAAAAGTTGGAATTTGGCTCCAGAAAGAAATATTTACTCATGGCCAGTTGTATGTTGCATGCTCAAGAGTAAAAAATCCTATGAATTTATTCTTCGCTATTAAAAAGGAAAAAAAGAAATTTTCTTAAAAAATATTATTTACCATTAAGTCTTATAAAATTAAATTAAAGAAATTATTAAACTGCAAAGTAGGATTTTTGACAGTGTATTTTTCCAAACAAATCAGCTTATTCAAATTTAATCGATTGATTTACGAAATTAAACAAAATGTATAGTTTGTAAATCTTGACAAAAAATGTTAGTGATAACTTCAACAATACTAAATACTGTGAGGATTTCACCACACGTCAGCAGGTTGCAAAAAAATTTCTAGTATTGTGATTTCTGATAATTGTCAGTTTATAAGTATGTTTGACATCGTGACTTTTGCAACAGAAATATTGGCTTTTTCTGGAACATGTCATGTTTTGCAGCAGGCTTTCTAAATAGTCAGTAGGTAGCTGTAAAAGGTTTCAGCCATTTCAGATAAAATCTGGGACATGTCACGTTTTGCAGCAGGCTTTCTGAATAGTCAGTAGGTAGCTGTAAAAGGTTTCAGCCATTTCAGATAAAATCTGGAACATGTCACGTTTTGCAGCAGGCTTTCTGAATAGTCAGTAGGTAGCTGTAAAAGGTTTCAGCCATTTCAGATAAAATCTGGAACTTGTCACGTTTTGCAGCAGGCTTTCTGAATAGTCAGTAGGTAGCTGTAAAAGGTTTCAGCCATTTCAGATAAAATCTGGAACATGTCACGTTTTGCAGCAGGCTTTCTAAATAGTCAGTAGGTAGCTGTAAAAGGTTTCAGCCATTTCAGATAAAATCTGGAACTTGTCACGTTTTGCAGCAGGCTTTCTAAATAGTCAGTAGGTAGCTGTAAAAGGTTTCAGCCATTTCAGATAAAATCTGGAACTTGTCACGTTTTGCAGCAGGCTTTCTAAATAGTCAGTAGGTAGCTGTAAAAGGTTTCAGCCATTTCAGATAAAATTAACCAAATACAGTGTTTTATACGAGAACCTTTTACAAGATGAATTTTTGTATTTTTCCACAGAAATCTGTTTTTACTTTTATGTGACTTTTGAATTTTTCCTTTTTTCTTGGCAGAACTTGTTTACATTGTTACACACTTACCTTCTAATGTATGAAATAGATGAACAATTTTGTATCCAGTTGGGAACTTTATTTGAGCCCTGTATTGATTCAGGTTGGTTGATTTCTTTTATTGTTTTCTCCCCTTTTGTTAATCTAAAATAAAGACAAACAAATCTCAACCAATTTTGCATTATTTACATATGTATTATTTCTATTTTTAATACATTCTTTTCCAAGGCAACTCGACTCTACCTACCACCTTCTTAATTCTACTCGGGTTTGGTTTGCTTTGCTTTGTTTTGTTTTATGGCATATCAATCTCAACTCTACCTACCACCTTCTTAATTCTACTTGGGTTTGGTTTGCTTTGTTTTATGGCATATCAATCATAATGGGTTATTTACTGCCATCAAGATCTTTACTGCTGCTAATATTTTCCAAAAAGTATTTCTGGTAATATTTTTTCCAAAAATGTATTGCTGTTTTTTTTTTGTTTTTTTTTTTTTCCAAAAATGTATTGCTGGCTATAAGTTTTTCCAAAAATGTGTTGCTGGTATTAAAACCAATTTTTACACTTTCATAGTGTTAACTATTTGCCCATAGCTAGGACCCTAACAGGTGCTACCACCCCAGGTCAGGGTGAACCTGGGAAGACCAGCAATTGAAAGGTGGTTCCACACTTCCAAAAACCTCCTGATCAGAGGACTTGCTGTCGGATGTAGTTTATCATCTTACCCAGGACGTGAATGTAGTTTATTATCATACAGCCAGTCAAATTTGGTTACATTGGTGCCATAGCAGGGCATGATAACATAACTGAAATTATAGTACACTATCATTTGCTGATCAAAGTTGCCTGAAGTAGGGTAAAAGGTTGTTGCCTAGAGAGCGCTAAGGGTTTTATCTTTCTTTTTTTATTTCATAAACTCATGTTAAATTCTGTGTTTTATTCTCTTGAGTTTTCTTTCTTTTTACTTTCTCTTTTTTATCTTCAGTTAAGAGCGTGAAATTGCTTCCAATCATCCTCAGTTGCATAATTCAACTTACCAGCAACCAGTGTTCGGAAAGGAAACTTGTTGTCCATCAAGTACTCAGCATTTTTGGCAATATAATCCAGAGTCTGGCGAGAGGGTCACTTTCTGACAATAATGTCGATTCATTCAGCCAGGTTTGTCTGCTTTCCTCTGTTCATTTTTCTGTGTGTGTTTGTGTGTGTGTGCTCTCTCTAAACTCATTCTTTCAGCTTCAGTGACCTCCAACCTCCCAAAAGATTTATGAAACACTCATTTTCATACCAACACAGCAAGCAAACATGATATAACTAAATTAGCTTCTTATAAAAATTTGCTGTCAATGATGATTTACTACTTTTTTTTTCTTTTTTTTTTTGTTTGGATTTCATGTTTGAGATGATAATTCGGGAATCCTCATAGTAATCAAAATTATTTTTGAAATAAATTTATTTTTTCTGTCAGCATCTGTTTGTTTCTATCTGTTTCCAAATTCTAAGAACCTCACCATCTATCCACAGTTAAGCCCAGTCAGCATTTCTTATTCAAAACTTTTATTAAACTAAAACTTATTTGCAAAATATATTTCAAAAGGCGTAAAATATAGAACAAAAAAAACTTTAATGGTAATAATAGCAATAACAGTGTTAATAATTATATTTTGAAAATATAAAAAAAATAATTAATCAATTAAATATCCTTAAAAATCTAATAAATGATTAAAAAAAAAATAACTTTCTTACTTTGCCATTTATAGTGAAAGCACTTGGGCCAAAATATAATGTTTAAATATTCAACTGTTGAGGATACCCAGTCATCCATTTATTTTTTTATTTTTAATATGTCATTATCATTGATTTACTGATAATTTTATGTTAGGATTTTGTTTCTTTTCTTTCTTTCTCTTTTTCTTTCTCTTTTTCTTTTTCTTTTTCTTTTTCTTTCTCTTTTTCTTTTTCTTTTTCTTTCTCTTTCTTCTTTCTCTTTCTTCTTTCTTTTCTTTTTCTTTATCCTTCTTTTCTTTCTTTCCCTCTTTTCCTTTTCTACTTCTTTTCTTTTTCTTTATCCTTCTTTTCTTTCTTTCCCTCTTTTCCTTTTCTACCTTTTCCTTCTTTCTTTTCTTTTTCCTACTTTCTTTTCTTTTTCCTACTTTCTTTTTCTCTTTCCACTTTTTTCTCTCGCTCTCTGTCTTTTTCACTCTCTCTCTATCTTTTTTTTTTTTTTTAAGCAAAAACCAGAAAAGTTTGATTGATAAAATGGCTGTAATATCAGCCATTCCCTTATAAGGAGACATTTAGCATTCATTGACTGAGCAGCTAGTCTTACTTTAAGTTGAAATTGATATAATCTGTCAAAACAATTTCTCAGCAAAATGGATTTCTCAACTACACCAACTATTATTGTTCTTTCTAGTAATGATGAGTTTCCTTCCTCGCCTTTTTGCAGCTTACAACTATATCACATTGAAACATTGGTTCCCACACAATCACCAATGTTAAGCAATGTCAAGCTTGGTCAGTACCTAAATGGGTGACTACTTGGGAATACCAGGTTCTGTAAGCTTGAATGTGCAGGTGGTGTAATGGATAATGGCTCAGAATTTTTAATCAGAGAGCCGTTCCAATTCTGGTTGTGTTCATTATATTCAACTATGTACAAATACCCTTGGGTATGAATCCACCTCTTCTCCTCAGCTATGGGTTAATTAGTAAAACTTGTATCTATCAAACAAGAAACTAAAAAGAACTTTTACAAAATACTGATTCATAATACATATGCCAATTCTTAAGAGAAATTAAACTGATTTAAAAATATAAGGAAGACAAAATGACTATAACAAACAGTAGTCTTACTATTTAAAATAAAATTTTTTGACTGTTTAAATACAAGATTTTATTTAAAACTAGCCCAGAAGCTGCCTTTCAGGCAGACCTTTAAGCTAGTTCCTGCGGAGAGCTTTTGATCCTTCAGCCTTTTGCCTTCGGCATCTTGTGTACGTAAAAGTTATGAGAATTTAGAAATAATAAAATTATTTTATCTCCATTCGATATCTTAATTCACTATAATCTTTCTTCATATATGCAACCGATCACTGTAATTTGTTTACATTTATTTTGTGCGCAATTTTTGTTTTCTTTTATAAGTCACCATTCTTTATGATCCCTTCACATAAAGTCACTCTTAAAAGACATTAGGGAACCCAAATTATGTAATATTTCAAATACATCACAGTACACATGCTAGAAAAAGAAAAAAATCCATATGAGCAATGTACCATATCCCACTTAAGTTTGAATTATGGTTTAATTAGATAATTGCAATTGCAACAAAAAGCGAAGAAATTAAAGTTAAACCTTTACTAAAGAATTATTTTTTAAACCTTTCACTTTGTTTAATATTTAACTTTAAATGAGTTAATTTACCAACATAATTCAAGACCGACTTGTTGTTGTGACCAAGTAAATTGTTAAGTAATAACAAAAACCAGGCTTACAGATGTATCGTATATTAAACAATAATTACACCAAACAACTAGCGCTCAATCTATTCACAGTTTACTGTTATTATTTAACAGCACCCCACGAGGTATGTATGTGGCACAAGGCTGAGTTTATTTAATTTTTAATCACTTGTAACTACAGTAGTTACTGCCTGTTACTTAAGATTATTGATTTGCCGAGATCAATTTATATAGAAACATTAAATTTCAGCATAAAATGCCCAAATGGGTGTTGATATGCCATAAACCACACCAAATCCTAGCCTTTTGCTTGGAGTAGTGTGGAACATCAACATCTTGATTATGTCATTATTTTCTCTCTTCAAGTTAGACGTGCTATCCATTTTAGTTGTTGCTTCTGTTGGTAGTCTTCAAATGATCTGGTTTCTGTTATCTGATAGTCTGTTGTGTTGGTTCACAAAGTTCAATGAAGGATGGTTCTCACTAAGACCTACAGTGTTCATTTGTTCAAATGAAAGAAGCTCTGAAAATTTATTCAGTTTTTTTTTTTTTTTTTTTTTGCCAATAAAATCTTGGCTCAGAATACAAAGGTATTTTTATTTAAAAAAATTATTAAAAAAAAAAATAAAAGAAAATAAAAATAAAACAAAAATCAAATCAAATAAAATAAAAAAAATATTAATTAAAAATATAATAAAAATATTAAATAAAATAATAAAAAAAATCAAATGAAAAAAATTGTCTATATTTCTGAGATGAGGTATTATGTACATTATTTACATTATTCGGACTATTCTTTAGATTTTGTCAAGAATCTCTAGACACATAGCTGAAGCACCAGACCAGATGTGGCAACAATATTTGTGGCATGGATGAATGGGAGGTGTAAAAGATAATTTGTCTTGCCAGAATCTATCTTGCTCAATACAGTTTACCGACTTTTCTAGCAGCAGACTTAGCAATTGATTCCAACTAATCTTTCCACTTCATATCAGTCATTAGACCAAAAAGGTGTCGTGAGTTGCACTCCTGGAGGTTAGTATCAGCCATGCTGATGAAAGGCAGAAAAAGGTTCTTTACAAGGACTAATAGAGAGCAGCTTTGTTTTACAGGTGTTAATATTAACAAGCCTCACTTTGCTTCAGTTCACAACAGATTGTAACTCATTTTTCAAGATCAGCTAACAATTTCATTTTATTGAAGCTGCAGGATTGGATATGAGAGAGCAGTCAGTCAGTTATGCACCATGCTTAGGCGATTATGTTATCTTTCAATACATGACTGACGAGGCAGATTTTTTCCCACAGTAGGTTGCCATTTCTTTCTGCGGTAAACCAGAAAAAAATGTTACAATTTAAAGATATTTTCTGGCTTTAAATAAGGTTGATAAGCAGTAAAGAACGAATAAATCAACGTTATGTGGGTATTACTTCTGCTACACCCAAGTGCAATAGTTACTAAGTTTTTTGGTATGAACTGACGTGGAAAGACATGTATCTTGAAGAAACGGTTTTATTAGTTGAAAAAAAAAACAAATCTGTATTTTGAAGATTGGTTACTTTTTTTTAATTGCAGATATTGACATCATCACGAATGCACATGTCTAACTTCCTTGCTGCAGTTTTTGATCTGAGAATGTTTTCTCCACCCCTCTTGACAGAATTCTACAAGAAGATAGTGGTGGCAGTGCTTTATGAACTGACAGAAGCAAGTAAAAGGGTCAGTGTCCATTTTTTTTTTTTTTTTTTTTTTAGCTCTTCTCTACAGAAAATAAGATATAATCTCTGACAGTATCATTTCAGGCTCTGTTGTTTTTTTTTTTTTAAGGTGGAATGTTAAAGGCAAACTCCCTTTATCTGGGGAGGAAATGTTCAAATCCTTTATTCACAGATCTTTATTTAAGTAAAGTCTATTCATCAAATAATATATTTTACAGTTAAATCTTTCTAGTAAACAGAAAAGGTTCAAGTAAGATTTACGATTATGAAAGTAAGAGATTTACGATTATGAAAGTAAGAGGGCTTTCTCTACAAAGGGGAGACTTTTGCAACCTACAAGATTGTGTGTGTGCGTCTGTAAAAGGGTACAAGAAGTGGGAGACTTTTGCAACCCACCAGATTGGGTGTGCGTGTCTGTAAAAGGGTACATACTGCAGTGTGATAGTAGTGAGTTGATCATCTGGAACATTATTAATTTTTGAATAGTATCTACTTCATCTTCATTTTTTATGAGATGAAGCATTGTCAAACATCTATATAATAAATATGAATGTCACTGTGTCACACTTTTTCAACTTTACTCTTAAAGGCTGTAGCCTAACATATGATAGCATTTTGGAATCAGATCAACTCTGTCATCAAATTAAAAACATTCAAAGACAGATCCGGACTTGAAATCCTGAAACGTTAGATTCCCAAGTTATCATTACTGCGATTGTTTAGGAATTCCACCATCTTGGCTTCTACTGATAAAAACAAAGAGATACAACTCTGTAACTTTCAATAGCTCTTGTTCAAATGAAAAATTATTCTTCTCAGATTACAATGTTTCAAAATAAAATTGCCCATGTTTTCAACTTTACTCCTAGAGAGGTCGTAGCCCAACGTATACCATTTTGGAATCAGGCTGATTCCGTAAGCAAATTCAAAATATTCTGGGCTGGATCCAGACCAGCAATCCTGAAATTTGGGATTCCCAAGTTTTCATTACTGTGATTGTTTTCAGCATTTTTTTTTTTTTTACATGGCTTTTTGTAACAAATTCTTTTTTGTATGATAACAATTTTTATAACTTGGGAATAAATTTGAGAATAATCAAATTTAATTGCCAAATCCATTGAAAGTTACCCATGAAATAAAAATAATTGTTTGTACGGGAAGTAAGGATCTACGTACATCAAATTGTTTTTAAATTAAGTGGTGGCAGAAGAATTATCATTGAACTGTTAAAAGGTAAGCTTAGATATTAATTCAATACTTAAATCTGGCGATCAATTTTGAGTTCTTCTGTAGTTTATTGTTACCTATTGCATCTACTCCTCCCTACTTATTGTGATGAAGGGCCATTCAAGAACCCTTCACATGAGCTTGTTTAAATACCACTGATAGGGTGGCTTTTAAGCTAGTTATTATTAATTTTTTACTAATATTTACTTTCATCTTCATTTTTTATTAGATGAAGCAGTGTCAGCCATTATTTTTAATTTTGACCAGGATTTACTTTCATTTTCATTTTTTTTTTTCTATAGTTACTTTTTTATCACAACTTTTATAAAATAAATACAAGTGAAAATTGTAGTTATTTCCTTCTATGCAAGTATTTTGAATTTTGAGGCACTTAAATCCATCCCTTCCTCAAAGAAAAATGCACTTCACTAACAATTCATTGAGGCTTTTATTTGTGATTTCATTGGAACGATAATGGAAATAAATAAAATGCCAAATTTAGACATTTCTTTGTTTAGCATCCATCTGACAATACCGAGAGAAAGACTGACCTAAAACGTTATATTCAAAATAACTTGATTGTAGGTACATCTAATCCAAATTTATAAAGTCTGTTTTTCACTGCCATAAATTGAGGGCCTGGGTAATGTTGGGATAAAAAACAATAAATAAAAAAATGGAGATGAAAATAAAATCTTGTAATAAGGATAAATATCTCAGTCTAAAACTAAATGTAATTTTGGTTCTGGCTGTTATTGAATAAATAGCAACCTGATATTTCTAAAGGGTTTTGTTTCCTCCCTCTGTAATGTTATGAACCGAGTTTTAAATGTCATTTTTATGTTTTCTACACAATATTCTATATTTTTGCCAACTTCAACTTTTGCAGATTTATTGGTCTTTTCAAAAGACATTTAGAAATCTGTGTGTAAAATGTTATTTAAGGGGATGAATAAAAAATCTGGAAATTTAAACTGATGTCAGAGTTGAATAAAAAAAAATCAATTTTGTGGGGTGGCAGGGTTTCATGTTTATATAGATTACAGCTAGGGTAGTTGATTAAACTCATTTTGTAATATATATACTTTTTAAGTGTTACATTTTAAAACTCTTTGTCTCCAGCTACACACAGACACCTTATTCAGTAGGTAAAATTATACATGTACACTCACATGTGGTACCAAATATACACCCATAATCAATTGCTGTGCCCAATTTTTCCTCTTATTGTTGGTAGCACCAAATACCAAGGTGTAATGTTTGGTGGGTGTGAGTGTTTTTTGTTTGTTTGATATTTTCATCTGCCACTGGTCTCCGGATATAGTCATCTAGTGTTTTGTCATTGTGTACTCACTGGGATGTGATTTTTGGCTCATTCCCCAGTATATTTAAGCAAACTAATTTTCTCTGGCAACTTCCTTGAAAGGCACAATAGATTACAGAAATAAATGCCAATGTAAGAGTCACCAAAGGTTGTCCAAAATGGCTACAATCACTCTAAGTTGATTTTCTACTAACATATTGAGGTTTCAAGAAAGATTTTAACTGCTAGGCATTTTTGAATATGAGTATGCAGGTTCAAATCCTATCAGAGTGCTCGTATTTTTCTTTAATAAGATTTCTCGTATATTCAGGCTGGTAGATAAAAATAAATAAATGGAGCATCTGCTCAAATATAAGTCTCCACTATAAATAATGTTTAAAGTGATAAAATCTGTTAGATTTTCTGTCTATATTTCTGAGATGAGGTATTATGTATATTATTTACATTATTCGGACTATTGTCCTCATCTTTGTTGCTATATTTATTACAACATTTTGGCCGTTGTACGCTCTGGCCTTGTTCAGGTGGTTGGAATGTCAAACTGAACCCTTTATTTCGCTCACTGGGGTAAACTTTTCTAGTTCCACGTGCCATGTCTAATGGGTGTCAGTTATCAGTTATCTCCTGTTAATTTCCCTCTGAAAGTTCTCCACTGCCTTAACCAAGTATTGAACTTACACTCTTTGGGTCTTGTCACTGGATGTAACTAACGCCTTTATCCACTGTGCCCTGTGTCCTTGAGGACATCTGTATATGAATTTCTCTTTGGGATCAGGTTGAGATCATAGACAAAGAACACCATTGGAAAATTCATAAACTTAAGGAATCAGCACATATGCTAGGCCACAAAAATCTCCTGAGCTGACCAGGCATAGAAATGAATACAATATGGGAACCAGTAATAAGGGGGGGCAGAGAAAAGCGATAATAACAACAAAAAATTGCAATATGAGCTCTGGTAAAAATATGCAATGATAACAGCAAAAATTGCAATATGAGCACTGGTAAAAAAACGTTTGCTGAAGACATTAGGTTTATAATACCCAGAAATTCATATTAGATGAGTAACTGCTTGGGAATTCCAGGTGCTGTAAGCTTAGATGTTTGTATAATATAATGGATAATGGAATTGTTAATCAGAGTGCAGAGTTTCAATTCCAGTTGGGTTCATTATATTCACTTATAGACAGATACCCTTGGGGAAAAGTATGAATTCACTTAAAAAAAAAAAAACAATTTTTCTACAAAATATTTAGATTTCAGCATTAAATAACCCATTGAGGTGTTGATATGCAACCAATGAACCAAACAAACCTTCTTCCCTCAGGTTCCAATCTAATTAACTAGTCTTCTATCATTTTTCCCTACATGGCATTTTTATTCTTTCACTTAGAATTTTTCACTTTCTCAGTATGTCAAGTCACTAAACAACTTTTCATGCATTATTATATAACCTCATGGTGTATTTACAATTATGCATTTAATATCATTGGAATAATCTGGTTTTAAAAATAATGAGTTTGCACTCAACCTGCAACTCTGTAAGAAATATCTTTTTAATACAGTGTAACTCGGATATAAGAGAGTTGTCGGGACTGGAGAAGAAGTCTCTTATATCCGGGTTTGGTCTATTTTATATTCATTAACACAGGCTCTAATTTGGGACCAGAGAAAATCTCTCTTATATCCGGGTTACACTGTACTATATGGTATATAGATAATCATTAGCTTACTAGATACCTCAATTTTGCATCTAAGACCTGAGGGATATCTTTGGACTGTATTTTTGGGTTGGTGATGGCGTTTGTATCCCATTAAAAATAATCCTATTTCACTGGATTCAAGAAACTTGGCAATTCCTTAGTCAGTTTGGAGCGACGGGAAATTAATTTCTTTCTTTTTTCTGTTTAGGGTGAACTTAATGGAGTACCAAATGCCTATCAAGATTTAAAACCCTTTGCACTTTGGCTTTTGGATATTATTTTCAAGAAGATTTCTTCTGTAAGGTAAGAGAAAAACAAATAAAAAACAATTACTTGATAGTACAGAACATTATTTTTATTTATTTATTGTGGTCTTCACGTTTTCTATCGACTATAGTAGTTGTGATTTTCTTTTTTTTTTCTTTTTTTCCTGTGCTTGACTTTTAAACACATTGAGATACCTTGTGATTGGCTGTTTTATTTTGACACTCAGGCTTGGCATTTCCTGATACATTTTTATCTGCAGGCAACGGCTCTCTTCATAGTGATACTTTTAGTGTGAAAACAATGTTAAGACTTCAGCCAATGATATAAATCAACTGATAAAAATTTTTTATTACCTTGGTTGGCATTTGAAGTCAAATGTTAATTGTGCCTATTTTTATTGACATTTGGTTTATTTTTATATATATATATATATATATATAAAGAAGAAAAACTTAAAGATTCATTTCAGTTATAATTTATTTTGTGAATATCTATATATTCATCTATTCAGTAATCTATATATTCAAATCTCTTAGTAAGGTTTTCTTCTTGATTATTATAATGACCTGTAGTTTGCATTGAGCTCTTCCTGGATTAATATCCTCCTTGGAATTATCCTACCAGTCCCAAATTGGTTTATATATATATATATATATATATATATAAATATAGATAACTAGACTCGTTTGAAAAACCCTCGAATTTTTGATTTGCTAATCAAATCAATCTCGAGGGAAAAAAAGGTTTTAAAAAAGAAAGAGCTACAAACATGGACTTCTGCCGACAAAAAAATCGCACAGATGCAGGTCTGAAGCCCAAAGAAAAAACCCGATACAGTAACAACTAACTAACAAAAGAGCTCAATACAACCGTAGAGCAGACCTAGATACACCTAGTGAGCCAGACAAACCTACCTAGGTTTCACCTAAAGCGGATCGTCAGGGAAAGTTTGGCTAACGAGGCAAAGAGAAACACACATATTTATAGGTGATAGCTAAAATCATACCACGTGACAAAATAAAAACAAAAAACAACAACCTAAGTGGGGGGATATTTATTCAAAAAAAAAAAAAAAAAACCTCAGTGGAAAGTCAATAACGGGAAAACGTTTAATTTTCCCTGACGATCCGTTTAGGTGAAACCTAGGTAGGTTTGTCTGGCTCACTAGGTGTATCTATATATATATATATATATATATATATATATATATATATATATATATATATATATATATGAATGAAAAGACAAGAGGAAAACTCTACTTGGTTTAGCTGACGCATTTTTGTCGTTCAAAGGACTTTATCAAGGCAAATGTGATTTGATAAAGTCAGATTTGCTTTGATAAAATCCGTTAAGCTAAACTAAGTATAGTTTTCCTCTTATCTTTCATTCATTTTCTTTCTGCAGATACACTCCTCTGAGAGAATATGAAAATATATATATATATATATATATATATATATATATATATATATATATATATATATATATATAATATTGTATGTGTGAGAGAGTGTTGTATATTTAGATAGCAACCCCTCTCTGATACATTTTTTTTATTGAAATGACTGTCAAGACACATGTTAAGTTTCTATTGTATTTTTCTTATATGGAAACCAAATTTTTGGGGACTTTGTGTTCACATATAAGAAAACTACAATTTTAAAAGCTTAACCAGAAAGTATCTTGTCAGTCATTTTTAATGAAATGTTTGTGTTTACATATTTCATTAAAAACAAGGATATATATGAAATCAGTATATTTTAATCAGTTATTTGTAACCATATCAAATAATATTTTCCATTACAAATAACCATAAAGCTCAAATCAATTTTTTAGCGATTGTATTAAAGATGAAGAATCAATGAAAATGATAATTTTTTCTTAACGATCATATAAATTATTCTCCAGTTAAAATCTTTTTTTGATTATCTCTTTTTTTTTTTTTTTTTTTTTTTTTTGTTATATTTTTTTCTTTTCTGTCTTCCCATTTTTCTTTTTTTTGGTTTATCTTTCCATTCTTTTCTGTTATTTTTTTTTGTTTTTTTTTTCTTCTTCTGACCCCCCCCCCCAATCAGTTTATTTTTCATTCCCCTACCTTTTGTTTCTGTTTTTCATTCCCCTGCCTTTCGTTTCTGTTTTCCATTCCCCTGCCTTTCGTTTCTGTTTTCCATTCCCCTGCCTTTCGTTTTTGTTTTCCATTCCCCTGCCTTTCGTTTCTGTTTTCCATTCCCCTGCCTTTCGTTTCTGTTTTTCATTCCCCTGCCTTTCGTTTCTGTTTTACATTCCCCTGCCTTTCGTTTCTGTTTTACATTCCCCTGCCTTTCGTTTCTGTTTTACATTCCCCTGCCTTTCGTTTCTGTTTTTCATTCCCCTGCCTTTCGTTTCTGTTCTTCATTCCCCTGCCTTTCTTTTCTGTTTTCCACTTTTCTTTCTCTCTCAAAACCTTTTTTTGCTGTATTCTTTTTTTTACCTATGAACAATGGTGGAAAGTTCTTTCAAGCCAAAATATCTTCTAATTTGACTGCACCCACTACAAGAACAGTATCCCAACACTGCTCAGTTCTTCTTAGTCAGAATATCACAGCTGGCCATTATTGAGCGTTCCCTGCTGCTCAATTTTCCATTCAAGATATTCAATAGAATACAGAAAAGTAAAATGAAAAAGATGTTGAGCAGTTAACATTCTTAATTTCACATAATAAAAACCTCTTTTTGTCCCAATCATTGGAAGCTGAAGGATTTAAATGTTGAAGATATACTTTTGTTTTTTTTTGGGGGGGTGGGGGGGTTTTGCAAATAATTTCCATTTAATATTCTTTATTCTGCTTTCTTTTGCAGCTATTTCTTTCAAGAGCTGCAGAAATTCATCAAAGCTGATTGTTTAAATGAAGAGCACCAGTTCAATGCTTTATTGTTCATGTTAAATGCATTGCTTCTCAGTAAGTATTTTAATTATTTTAAAATGTCTACTTGGGAGATGAAGAATTGAACAAGTTTTTGCAGCTAGTTTATTATAATTTGCTTTCTATTTTAAGGGGTGTGTGTATGTGTGTGTGTGTGTGTGTGTGTATATATATATATATATATATATATATAATCACAAACATTATGTTTACTTATTTTGATCATAATCCTTTCATATTCATCAATAGTTTTCCATATATTACAATTAAATAAGGCAAGAAATGCACTGTAACAGTGAGAATCACTTTTATCTCCCAAGTACTTTCGATCTCTTTCTTTGAGAAATAAGTGTTCCCACTGTTATATTGAATTTCTTGCCTTATTTTATTGTAATATACAGAAAAATATTTGGGAATATGAAAGGATTATGATAAAAATAAGCAGATATAATGTTTGTAATTTATTCAATCTCACATGCCTAAGAGAGAATTTTCTGCCAAAGTATACACACACACACACATATATATATATATATATATATATATAAACTTTACTTTGGTAATTTTTGTGACAAATTTGGTGTGTTTCTACCATGTCCTTGATCCAGTGCCTTCAAGGTTGTTCCCTTGACATCATCCCAGAAAATCTGGCTAGTCGTCCCAAGCTCTCATTTTTAGTTTTCCCGTAGATTGTTAATCTCAAGGCCTGGTCTAAGCAGAATATTCATTCAGTCTTTACTTGTAATAATTCATGACACTGGGTTTCAAATTTCAGCCTGGACCATTACAAATAAAAATCCACCCTTAATGTAGTTAACACCAGTATTCATTGAATCAATGTTTCATTAGATACTTTGTAGAATTGTCTTTCAAATAAGGATGCATCTTATAAACACTATTTACATTGTTTGGTCTGTTGCCCTCATCTTTATTGCCATATTCACATAATTTGGGCCATTGTGGGTAGATTGTTCTAATTCCACGTGCCATATCTTTTTTGGATATTTCAAGTATCAATTAATTCCTTTTAGTAACTCAACTTTACAAGTTTTTGTTTCCTCTGTTGTGACTAGGTATTGAACTCACAACTCTTTGGGGTCAAGTCATGTTTTGGATCACTCACCCAATACTTTTATCCACTGGGCCATGTTTCCTTTGGAATTTAATAAAATAATAAAAATATTACATTATATAAAAAAAAAAACACTTACTCATTTTTCTTTATTAGACATTAAATTACATCACTTAACATTTTCCATAATTTATCTTGTCTTTCAGTTTGGATAATGTATATTTGTAAGCATTCTTAAATTAAAAGATTCTGGAAAAACTAATAACATTTTCTTATACTAGAACATACCTATTCTATTGTAATAGACTCTTCCACATATAATAAGTAGTAGTAGCAGTCGCCAGGGGGCTCAGTGGAGTTGGTGAGTCAGTTGATGTCGGACATTAAAGTATCAACCACCACAACTAGATTGCTGCGTCATTAACTATTATTTCAAGTTCCTAACGTTTTGTACGTTGAACGCTTTTAGGGCCGACTTAGTGAAATACAAGCCTCCACTGGGAAACTACTCTACAACACACATTTTTACTTTTGTTTCTAAATACTCGTTGCAAAATGAAATCCTTACAGTTGTCTTGATAAATGAAACACATCGGCTAAGATAAGTTTTTCCTTTTGTCTTTATATATATATATATATATAAAAAGAAAGAAAGAACAGTAAGATATATAATCTGGTGTTCTTATTGATTACTTTTATTTTTACAAAACAGTGCTCAATGTAAGTTTACAGAGCATAAATATTATAAATTAACTGGTTTAAAATATGTTTTTTTTGCTACACAGTAATAACCATGTTTCAAAAATGGAAGCTGAAAACTTCAAATTTAATTTTGTAATTAAATTAAAAACATTAGTTCCATTACATCTTCAAGCGAATATTGGAGTAACTTATTTTTTAAATTTACTGAGTTTTAAATGCACACAAAAATTCATAATTCACTGTTTCCAAGGTAATTAATAACTGATACAACAAAAGTTAATAAAAATGAACACGCTACCACCCCTTGTCTGAATGATTGGATTTCTCTGTATCCTTGATAAGTTAAGAACGCTGACTGGAACACTACCATGGCTTTGACCACCAAAGTCTCGTCTGGTGGTCTGTTCAGTGAATGGTCAGAGGCACAACTATGGCTTTGACCACCAAAGTCTCGTCTGGTGGTCTGTTCAGTGAATGGTCAGAGGCACAACTCAACAACTTAAATGCCTTCATTGGACACCAGAAGTGATTGAGGTGGGGAGTTGTAGTGAAAAACAATTATTCCAACTTTATCCAGGTTTGTATAGTCCCAAAAACGACTTCCTGACGTGTCTACATTTGACCATGATCTCAGGCTTAATGTTCAAACAACTCAATGCGAGCCTTGTATGTTTGCTCTAGTTTAACTTCTCCCCCTCCTGACACTGCCTCCACATGTTGCCATTCACTTTGCTAGCCTTTACATTTTGTAAAATACTCCATTTAATGGCCGGGCTTCTGTTATGATTATCCCTAAAGCTCAAAAAGAGGTTTGCCAGCCTTGCATTGAACTTGTATTGGAATTCTAAAAGATGAGGTATGGTTATAACACCTCTTCTTGTCTTGCTAGGACAATTACGACTGAATAGTGAATTCGATCTTCACTAGGTGCCTCTTACTTTCGGCCTTGTGCCACATCTAAGCTACACTTGGAAAATCACTATAAGCAGAATAAATAAATATATATATATATATATATACACACACACACACATTCTCTCTGTTTCTCTCTCTCATCGCCCCCATATAAGATTTGAAATGTAGGGATCTTGTATGGGGGTGATGAGAGAGTGTGTGTGTGTATAATTATATATATATAATATATTTATTCTGCTTATAGTGATTTTCCAAGTGTAGCTCAAATTATGCAATACAAGTTCTGTATGCAAAGCTAGAGATATCAAGTAGTCTAATGTATCTCACTCAACTCCAGCATGCTGCAATAGGGGAGGGTTTATATGTGGAGTTGAGGTATCTGGTTGGTTTTTGTTTACCCTGGCATTGTAGACAATTTGGGCCTCACTTAATTCCATAATCTTGTGATATTAGACATAAATAATGTTATACGGCCTCAAAAACGGTAATTCTTGTTCAATGTAGAATTCTATTTTTCTGTTGTTATTAAGTGAAAGACTGATTTTGTAAATTCAATTATTTTTATTTAACATGATTTTTGTAAATCATGTTTTGCTGGAGATATGAAACAAGCTTAAAGCAAAACTATGAATTGATTTAATATTAATCTGGGTTTTGAATAAAGACAATTTGTGTGTGACAATACAAATGAAGGGTGAAGGGGTGGGGGGTCCTTTAATTTTTCAAAATCTCCTGCTTTGCATACTTGATTAATAAATTTATTTCTCTAAAGTTGCTCTATTTTTTCTTAATGTTCACCCAATACATGGCCCAAGAGCCACTCAAGGTAGAGGGTTACTGTATAGAGTTATATTAGCATAGGAAAGAACAAGCATTAAGAGTATAGAGCTGAAGCAGACTTTAGAAGGAACCGGTAACTCAATCCTAAACAGGAAACAAGGAATAAACATCTACTTCTGTTCAAAAGGAGGAGTGGGAACCAGACAATCTTGTCTTTATTCTTTTACCAATCTATTTCTCTCTGCGGAAAATTTTCATATTGATTTTGATATTGGTGGCCTATTTTTACAGTGAAGCACACACACACATTCTCATTAAATTTGATCGAATCATTTTCATATTTATGTTACTTTAAAGACATGGTAAAGGTATAATAAGTGGGCCTGATATTTATTTATTACAGCACAATTTTAACCCTGTAACTGATTAGCATGCATCTGTTTATCTTGCGATAAACATAAGGTAACATTTTGTTTGGTCAAAATTCAGTCCTTTGGAGGTGAAACGGGAATGACCTCTTCATGGCACAGGCCTTGTCAGTTGTATATGGAAGCCATGCACTTCCCAGACTACATGCACACAAGCATTCTCAGCTATACTGAAAAAATACAGGGCATTAAATTTGGTGACGGCTTGGCTGCAGGAGTTGCTAGAAAGTTGTCAGGAATAACAACCAATGGCCTTCATGGTTCCACTCTAGATTTATTTCTATGGCCTTTTACGTGTTTAAGTATGACCACAAGGTAATTGTGGTTAAAAATCAAAGTTTTCTTTTCCCAGTGACTGATAATGTCTTTTGATTCCATCAAACAGTTAATAGCATTATTCTAAAATCATATTTATTAGGTTGGGTTTTTGTGTCTGTATACTGTATTTTGAAATTGTAAATGTTAAATTCATGAAGCCATATATATTCTGAATTGGTATCATCCATCGAATGTTTTTTAGATCTATGTACATTTTTTTTTTTTTTTTTAATTCACCATAAGCAAGGCAATAATGCCATTAAAGATGTAAGGGGTTACATAGAGTGAAAGAGAATGAAAATACTTTACAAGGAACCAGAAACCCAATCCTAAACAGGAAACAAGGGATAAACCTCTACTCCTGTTCAAAAAACCTGGGAGGAATGTGAACTGGATGATAAGCAAACCTATTTACTCCTATAGACAAAAGAAAAAATAATTGGTCAACAGAATTTCAGAGTTCAGGTGGAAACGTTAGAAATATAGAATTGAAGTAGACTTTAGAAGGAATCAGAAGCTTAAACCGGAAACAAAGGATAAACCTCTACACCTGTTCAAAAGACCTGTGAGGAATATGAACTGGGTGACAGCTGAACATATTTACTCCTATTGAGGAGAAAAATAAATTAATAATTAGTAAATAAAATTTCAGGTGGAGATGTTAGAAGTGTAGAGTTGAAGGAGACTTTAGAAGGAATCGGAAACCCAATCCTAAACAGAAAACAACTGATAAACTTATATCCCTGTTCAAAAGACTGGTTCATGAAAATGTAATAACTTTTCAGTCTTTGATACACCCACCACAATGATGAACTCTGTGACGATCTTGTCTGTACAGTAGGCATGTGCTTTTCTTTCAGGTTTTAGGTGAAAGAAACAAAAAAAAAAAGAGACAAAACACTAAAGATGCCCTCCCTAAACAGGGTCAGGGTAAATGTTTGTAAAGTATTTCAAGCAATGGATAAAACTCAGATTAGTAATAATTATTTTGTTATCACAAAAACAACTGAAATTTTTTTTTGTATTTAAAATTCAACATTTATTTTTAAAATCTTGGCAAGCTAAAATCTAATGTATAGTTTTAATATATGTAGTAAATACTACATCTGCCCCATAATGTATGAAATGTGTGTGCAAATGTATCAACTCTTATGTGACAGAGGTTGGATGTTTTTTGAAAAATCTTCTAATTATTATCCCTACCTTTGTCCCATAATAATTGTGACATTTTGCACATGAAATGTGTGTGCAAATGTATCGACTCTTATGAGACAGAGGTTGGATGTTTTTTTCTATATTCTATGTTACACTAATTTCCTTGATTTCATCAGAAGATTGTCATCAAAAGTGAATTATTTTTATTTTGGGTTCAAATCTAACAGACGACAGAAAATTTATAAATATACTTTTCCCATCCCTACTTCAATGCCAGTTGAATATTTTAATGAAACAATTTCTTTCAGCTGTTGCCAAATAATAAAGTAAAGTCATAGAAAGTTGTGTGTGTGTGTGTGTGTGTGTGTGTGTCTCTTTCTTTATTCCACAGCTAAACATGTGTTAGTCTATGTGCCTGGAATGGGGATTTTGCTTTGTAATTATCCAGTTCTCAAGCAAAGAGAAAAATAAACAAATGATAAGTAAAGCTTGTATTCAGCATTTATTGATTAAATTTCTGAAAACATATTTGCTTGCCTTCCATTGCCACACAGCAAAAATCAATATTTCCCAAAGATGCTTGCTTTCATTCATTCTCTGCTAAAAATGCGATTTTTCTCTTTGCTTCATCTTTCTTCTGTCTTTACCATAACCCTTCCCCCACACCTCTTCTCTCTTGCTCTCCTCCTGCTCTCTTCTTGCTCTCCTCCTTCTCTCTTCTTGCTCTCCTCCTGCTCTTCTCTCTAGTTCTCCTCCTGCTCTTCTCTCTAGTTCTCCTCCTGCTCTTCTCTCTAGTTCTCCTCCTGCTCTTCTCTCTAGTTCTCCTCCTGCTCTTCTCTCTAGTTCTCCTCCTCCTCTCTTCTTGCTCTCCTCCTGCTCTTCTCTCTAGCTCTCCTCCTACTCTCTTCTCTCTAGCTCTCCTCCTACTCTCTTCTCTCTAGCTCTCCTCCTACTCTCTTCTCTCTAGCTCTCCTCCTACTCTCTTGCCCTCCTTCTACTCTCTTCTCTCTTGCTCTCCCCTTCCTCTTTTATCCATATTTTTTTCTAAAAAATTTATCATATATCTTTTCTTTTCTCCCTCATCCCTTGTTCATTGCTTGTATCATTGAGCCAAAACTGATGATAAAAATATTTTATTCTTACTATCCTCCACCCCATCGCACCGTCTCTCTATTTGTTCCTGTTTGCATTTAACATTAAACTCTACATTCCTCCTGTCTGCACCCCCTCTCTCTCTGCCACCTGAAGGCACTTCACTGTCTCTGCACTCTCCCCCTACTTGTGTGCAATCTCTATCCTCCATTCATGAGAGAGGTTCCCTGTCCTTGGGAATGGGAGGGGGGCAGTTTCCTGCCAGTGTGTATATCCTTTTGTAAAGCTGTTATGTAAGTACCATACTTAATGAAAATGAGGTTTTCGTCTGATTTTTCTTTTTTTCATTCTTTTTTTTTTTCTTTTTTTTTACTTTCATAATTTTGAATGATTTTTTTTATTATTATTTTTAAGGAAGGCTAGTATAATATTTCTGTAATAGCTTTTAGAGTTTAAACTTTTTTTTCAACCTCCTTTTCTCTGATATCTACAGTAAGTATCTATATTAAAATATTAGCTGTTCTGTCTGGGAGTAATATCGGCATTTGAATATAGCTAAAGTTTAGCTGCTCCCCCCCCCCCAATGTTATTAACATGCTTTAACCTTAGCCTAAATTTTATTTGCATAATTGTAATTTTGTTGAGTATAGCATTAAGCAGAATGAGTAGAAAACCTTAAAGTATGAATAGGACTTTCATAATTCCCCCTGCTATTACAAATAATAGGAAGTTGTGGAGAGTCATGATAATTGACGTTCTGAATAGAAACAGCACATAATTTTTTTTTACAATCAATGAGGCTTCATTTCACTTGCTCTATAAGCATTGATTATAGCTACAAATGGTAGGAAATTGTGGAGAGCCGTGATCATCCATGTCTTAAAGAGATACAGCCACTAAAATCTTTTGTACATTTAGTGATGATCTGTTCCACTTTCTGTACAAACATTGCTTAGTGCCACAAAGGATAGGAAGTTGTGGAGAGCCATGAGCAAGTGAAGCTCATGAGTCTTGGTGAAGACAACGCTTCTTCAAAACTTGTGGACTGGCACTACAGAATCACAAAGAACCAGATAACAGTTAAAAGAACCACTGTAGCAGATAAGAGAAACCACATCACTTGAGGACTACCAACAGCAGCAACAACTAAAATGGATAGCACATGTAACGTGAGAAAATAATGACATAATCAAGATTTTGACATTCCACAATTTTTTAAATAAAAGGTTAGGAAGGAAACGCCGATCAGTATTGGAAAGAGCAATAATGAAAAAAATTGTTTTAAAAAATATTTTATAAATTTTAACCAAAAGCAGTAGCAGCTGCTCAGTCAATGAATACCAAATATTTCCTTATAAGGAAACAGCTCATATTACCATTACCATGATCATCCATATCCTGAAGGGACACTGTACATAAAAGAATGGCAACACCATCTTATTTCCTAACGTCAAAACATTTTGATAGACATAGTGCTCCTTTTTTGTCAAGTGAATGTCATCTTTCAGGAAGCAATCTATAGAATTATTTTACTTTAATGTTCTGTTGTTCACCTTAGCTTCCTTCCGAAGGATTGAACTCACCATGCAAAAATATAATTCTTTCCTTTTCTTTTTTCTTTTTTTTTTTTTTTTTGTTTGCTTTATTTGTCCTCTTGGTAAAGTCTCGTGTATTTGTATTGTTCTGAGTGTTCCTTAAAAACTTGTGTTTGTTAAAACGTCTGTAACAATCAGCCTAAAAGATAACAGTGTCTTGCCTGAGCTCTGCAGAAACCCTTTTATCAGCATTGATTCTAAGTTCTTATGTAATGTTTATGATAAGAAACCTGGCTATGTTATGCTACCCACACAGCATCAAACAATTTTTTTAATGCCATGTCCGTCCACGACGTAGATAATGATGACTTTCCACAAGTTTCTTTTATTTATTGTCTTTGAATTCTTCTTATTTCTTATGAAAGACATTCAAGTGGTTTTTCATTGTTGTCTTCATGGTATTGAATTCAGAGAAGTTCTTCTATTAGACTGGCTACCCAAACAAACCTGTAGAGCTCGATTTACCTTCCGTTATTTTTGCTTGGAGAAGAGTGGGATTCATGTCTTTCTCAAGGGCATTAGTGTCATACTTGAACTTGGCTTGTCAGTTTCCATCTCTACACTAATATGCATTGTGCCAACTAAATATCTTTTTGAATTTGGTCTTGTCTCTCTCTCTCTCTCTCTTTTTTTTTTTTTTATATATATATATATATATATATATATATATATAGCATCAAGTTCATTAAAGATAATAAAAAAAACTTGAATGTTATTTTTTTAAATTTTTATTCTGACTTTTAAGGTAATTTGTTTGGCTTGGAATAACATCTGAAATGTCCAAATTGATGATAATTTTAGTGTTATTTTGATATGGCAACACGGGCAATGCCAGGTAGCCCTGCAGGTAAGGCAGTAAATGTCGGTCTGAATATTTTTGTGAAAAAGAAAAAAATATATATGTATATTAAATTTTAAGACTTGATAATTTTTTTTTTTTGTTATAGAATTTTCTGATAGCATTCTTTAAAAAAAAAAAACTTATTTTTTTTTCCCAGAACCTAAAAATCCCAAATTGGAAATCCAGGAATGTTGGACGGCATTACAGGACTGCAGCCATTTTCCAAAGCAATCCAATCTTGATGATACATCCGACAATGTGTGAGTAAGCTTGAGATTTATATTTTTGAGAGAATCTCCTTGAAAGGTGAAGTGGGGAATAATAATAATAATAATAATAGTCAACAAAAGAACAGTATTGTTTTGACTTGAAAATGCAGCTGACATATTTTCTGCCAGAAGGAATTGGTATATGCTTTTTTATTTTTTCTTTGTTAATCATTTTTCCACTCACGGGCACATATTGTACATAAATTAAAAAAAATTATCATTGCAGCTGAAGGTTCAGTCCAGTAGACAAAATAAAAATACTATTTAAAAAGTAAATGGAGTATTTACTTCAATATGAGTATCAGTAAAAAAATTAACACTTGAAGTAATAAGAAAAAAAAAAATTAACTTTTATTTCAAATTTCAGTTTGTCTTTTTCACATGTTGAGCTGAAATCTTTCTCTTTGCTGGTAGCCATCATTTCATTTCTAGGTCGTACCAGTGTGTGCCATGGTGCATGGTTTGGGTAATACTGATGTAAACATTTGCTTATTTAGTGGGATCTTTTATCTGGGATAATGTGAGATATACCTACACACATGGATTCATATAATTACATAAAATCACTTGTTATATATTTTGATGCATGTTTCATTAAATAATATAGACAAGTGTTGTCTATTTTATGTAAATTCTTTTCATATCGTCTGATAAGCTTAATAACATTATCATTAAACAAAGAAAGAAAATCACAATATTGATACATATTTTTTAATCATATCTAATCTTTCGGCTTACATAAGCCATTATCAAAGATGACAATTACATTACAATATATTAAGCAATACACGGACAAGTCAGTGATGATAGTCTGTTTCTGTTTACATGGAAGATTTCCAAGCAATGACAAACTCGTGCATATAAGATGCTGGAAGCGAAAATTGCACTGCAGCTCATGACGTCACATATAACCACATGAGAGTGAAAACAAGAAGTATTAAGTATGGGAAGCCGTTGGTATAAACCAATGGCTTCTGTTACCAATTATAGGCATTTAAGAATATTTGTGGAGATTTCATGGTTTATTTTGTTCAGGTTAGGTTTCAACTGTTTTTTGTATATAGCTTCAAGAATTTCTAGTTTTTGTTTATTGTTTTCATGTTTAAGTATAGTTGTGTTTTCAACAAGGATTTTCCGGAATTGTGTATGTGGCAGGCATGTTGTTTTAAATGTCTGAAAATGTTAGAGTTATCATTCAAATGTTGTGTCAAGCGTTGTGAAAGCGAGTTTGTGGTGTGACTATCATAAATATTATTTAATTTGTTGGAGATAATGATAATGTTATTAAGCTTATCAGAGGATATGAAAAGAATTTACATAAAATAAATGGACAACACTTGCCTATATTATTTAATGAAACATGCATCAATGAAAAAATGCTGCCGAAATACACACAATATATATATATATATATATATATATAGAACCTTTTTACTGTTGAACTAGCTAGATGCAACTGTCAGTTCTAATAGTTTCTTTCCTCGTACTTCTTCCTTGTGGAACTCTGTTGTGATTGTTTTTTTTTTCTTCCTTTCTACCTATAATCTTACAAAATTTAAATACAACATCAATTGCCATCTTCTGTTTTACTGTTCTTTTATTGTCCTTTTCTTCACTTCTCACTAAAGTCTTCTCATTCCCTTTCACCCCCTGTAATCCCCTGCATTCTAATGTGTGTGTATGTGTGGTGCCACAGTGGATAGCAGCTCGAATTGAGGAATTGGAGAGCCAAGTTCAAATTCCAGTCAAATTCATTACATTCACTTACGTGCTAATACCCTTGCAAAAGGTATTAATCATTGTTTAGGATTTCATCAGACAAAAGTTATATTTCTATTTCCAAATGCACAATAAAGAAAGAGGATGTTATAATTTTAAACTTAAAATTTTGTCATTTTAAAAAAAAATGTGTTTGGTTATATAGTCTCACTGATTTCATTTAGTTTCGATTTTTATCCTTTTCATTATAAATATTGCACCTTGTGATACTAGAAGAAAGGCGAAATGTTGGAAGAACCTGGGTGTTAATATTTACTATCAATGATCTAGCACTTAAAGCACTATATATATATATATATATATATATATATATATATATATATATGGGAAAGTGTTTGTAGGTACAAACAATGTGGACATAAGAATGAACACAGCATGGTGACTGTCTGTTTCATGCCTCAATATGATCTTTAGATCAGGACTTGGTCTGAAAATCACATTGAGATATGAAATTAACAGTCACCATTCAGTGTTCATTCCTATAACCACACTATATATGTGTGTGTGTGTGTGTATATATATATATATATATATATGTGTGTGTGTGTGTGTGTGTGTGTGTATATATATATATGTGTGTGTGTGTATATATATATATATATATATATATATAAAATGTTGCAAGAGGAGAAACCTTTATGCTGATAGATTTTACTACTTGAGGAACTTTGTCAAGGCAAATGTAGAAATTTTTAGGAACCTGTATTTATATACCCCCAAAAAATAAAGTAATGTTGAGAAAAAAAATAACATTTGTTCAGAATTGAATTAGAGAATGCTAATGCTGAGAGAATATTTGGAATATTTTAGAATGTTTCTTCCTTTTTTGATTTGAGTGTATAATATCTTTTTTTCCTTTTTTCACTGTTATTTTTTTTTTCTGTTTATATATAAATACAGGTTTCTAAATAAAATTTCTACATTTGCCTTCACAAAATTTCTCAAGAGCAAAATGTGTCAGCATAAAAGCTTTTCTTATTTATATTGTCTTTGTAGGTAGATTTATTTATATCTCAATTTTTACATATATACAAACACACACACACACACACACACACATATATATATATATATATATATATATATATATATATATAACAAATTTCTTGGTTTTCTTTTTTCTAATTTTCCAATGAATCAATACAAATCAAAATGATATGCTTCTCTGAAGTTGATTTCATTGTATTTATTCTTGATGCTGTATTGACTGAATTGGTAAAAGCCCAATTGTAATGAGGAGGGCAGAATCAAGGAGGTTCAGTTGCAGTTTTCTTTGTCTTTGGGTGGGTAGCTGAAAATATTTGGTTGGAACAGAAGTTCTTGCAATTTCAATATAAACCTACAATACAAACTACAAGAACTTTACTTTTAACCAGATACCTTGTATGGTGTTGGCATTGTTAGAAATTAATTTAAAACATTTGTCTTCATTTTTAATCAATCAACTGAATGACCTTCTTTTTTTTTTCTTTTTTTTTTTTTTTCACCCCCCCCCCCCTCTTATTAACATTGTCTAACACAATGGTTGTTAACATCTAGAACCCCTCTTTTCAGATATTTGTGCTTGTTGGTGGACTCCTCAATATTAAAATTGCACTGGTAGATGGAGCAGAGTTAATATCAGTGGTTTGTGTTTGGTTGCATGTGAATTGATTGAAACAGGTGTGGAATGCAAGAAAAATAAACAGAAGCACAAAGATCAAGTTTTATAAGACCTTGGTCATTTGCAAATGCATATATAAAAAAAAATGTTATTATTTTTCTCATTTGAGGTTCAAAGGGTTAGATCAGCTTGCAAAACTTTCACATCGATGTCATGTATGGCACCAGATTCACTCCTAAGCATCTAAACTGCCACCATCCTGGGTATGACGATAAACTACATCCAACAGCAAGGCCTCTGGTCAGGAGGTTTTGAGGAGCGTGGAACCATCTCTTAATTGCTGGTATTCCCAGGTCCACCCTGACCAGGGGTGGTAGTACCTGTTAGGGTCCCAGCTATGAGCAAATAGTTAACCTCCAAACTGGGGTCAAAACACTATGAAAGTGTAAAAATAGATTTTAATACCAGAAATACTTTTTTTAAAAAATTATTGCCAGCAATACATTTTTGAAGAAAAAAATATTACCAAAAATAGATTTAGGTTGATATGCCGTAAAAACAAACCAAACGAAATCTAAACTGCCAGCTGTATACAAACCACTTCCTTAGACCAATGATTAAAAATGGTTTAGAGTGAATAAAGCCTCTGGGTTTTAACAAAGACATCCTTCTTTGAACCTTATGGACTGATACTACCGAATCACAAAGAACATTGGCAAATAAAAGAAGCCACATCACTTGACTTTCAACAGCAGCAATAACTTAAATGGATAGCATATATAACTCAAAGAGAAAATAATGACATAAGATGTTGACGTTCAACACAACTTCAAACATAGAAATCTGTCTATATTTCTGAGATGAGGTATTATGTACATTATTTACATTATTTGGACTATTGTCCTCATCTTTGTTGCCATATTTATTACAATGTTTCAGCTGTTGTACACTCTGGCCTTCTTCATGTTGTTGGAATGTTGAACTGAACCCTTTATGCACATATGTTAGGCCACAAAAATCTCCTGAGCCGACCAAGCATAGAAATGAATACAATATGGGAACCAGTAATAAGGAGTGCCAGAGAAAAGCGATAACAACAAAAGTTGCAATATGAGCTCTGGTAAAAACATGCAATGATAACAGTAAAAATTGCAATATGAGTACTGGTAAAAATTGTTGGTGAGACATTAGGTTTATAATACCCAGAAATTCATACACAGATGTCCTCAATGGCACAGTGGATAAAGGCATTGGTTAGATCCAGTGACAGGAACCAGAGAGTGTGAGTTCAATACCAGGTTATTTTTTCACATTAAATATAAGTATGTATAATACCAGGTCGCACTTTTTAATTTTATTTTTAAATATTATTTAATGAAAATTTTTGACAATGCACCTAAATGAAAACCCTTCTTCAAATAATAACTGATACATCAAAATACAGTGATAGTGAACATGCAAACACCCCTTGTCTGGATGAATGGATTTCTCTGTATCCTTGGAAACGTGAATTATGAATTTTTGCAGTGTCTTTAAAACCCAGTAAGTTATTCCAAAATTCGCTTGAGGATGAAATGGAACTAATGTCTTTAATTTAATTACAAAACTAAATTTGAAGCTTTTAGCTTCCATTTTTGAAACATGGTTAGAACTGTGTAGCAAAAAAAAAAATACCATATTTTAAATCAGTTAATTTATAATATTAATGCTCTGTAAATTTAGCACTATTTTGTAAAAATAAAAATATCTATAAGAACACTGGATTATATATCTTACTGTTCTTTTATATTTATATATATAAATAAAAGGCTCAAACACTAATATTCCATGATTATAATTTATTATAAATTATAACCATGGAATATTAGTGTTTGAGCCTTTTATATTATATTCTTACTCTGTCCTGGACATTGAGTTCTACTTGGATTCTATCCTCTTGGAAATTTGTGTGTGTGTGTGTATATGTGTGTGTGTATATATATATATATATATAGAGAGAGAGAGATAGATTATAATATTTTTATTATAATAGATTATAATAAAAAGACATTTTACATCACTCCCCAAAAGCTTATAATAAGTTATCTACCATTGCCTGATGAAGTACAATCATAGTATTGAAACGTGAAAGCTTTTGTGTAACGATGTAAAATGTTTTTATTATAATCTATTATAATAATATATTTTGCTCTACTTTGTATTGAGCACTTTTTTAAAAAGTAAATGCTAAAACCTGTGGAGTTTTATTCCATCTGTTCTGTCTCTTATTTGGAGATATATTTGGGGAGCAACCTTTATCTTAAACATTTTTCATTAAATATGACAGACAAGGAAAATTTAGTTAATGTTTTATTTAGTTTTTCAGCATGTTTATGTTTTCCTTGTTTTGTAGGAGTAAGGAAGTACAGAAAAGTTCCCTACAAAATAGAAAAACCTAAGGGTGCTGAAAAAACTAAAAAAATTAATTAAATCTGTCTTGTCTGCTATATTTAATGACAGATATAAAATTGTACACTGAAGAAAATTTATTTTTGTGACAACTTTTTTTTAATAATTGTAAGCATGTCAACAAAACATCTGTAGTAGTAGTACCAGCAGCAGCAGTTGCCTACCTCAAGCAGACACATAAACACAGTAGAGCCCATTGTATGCATTTGCAGTATTTCTTCTTTTTGTTTACTTATGCAAACTGAAAAGTAGCATTGGCTTTTATATTATTGCCAACAGCTCTCTCTCTCTACACGTGTGTATATATATATATATATATATGTGTGTGTGTGTGTATATAAGTCCATCATCCAATGAAATCCTAATAATTAAAACATGTCACTAAAAAATGCATACACACACACACATTTATTTAATAAATAAATAAATGTTTTATTACCCTTTAACATTTTCTTCACCAATCTAAAAAGAATTTGGATTACTACCATACACAAAAGACAATGGTTAAACATAGGAAAACAAAAAAAAATTCCTTTAAATAATATGTGGAAATAACCATTGTTTGCCTGATGATTGATCACAAGACCCAAAACGTGTGTAGCAAAAAAATATGGAGATAAAGTACAATATATACTTTAAAAAAATTAAAATAAATAAAAAAAAATCCACATTATAACCAAAAAACATTTGCAGTTTCTCTTTTCTCTTTAATATATATATATATATATATATATATAGCTTTATTTAATATACATAAATTAAACAATACCAGTGTTAATGAGTTGATATGTAGAGGCCATTCCTCCTTGATTTTCTATTATTTAAATTGCCATAAATAATGTTGTTATAATTGTAATCATGTTTGCTGCAATTTTGTTAATAAATGAAAATTTCTGTTTATTTCTACTTTTGAATGTCTTCATATGTTTATTTCTTTTATTTTTAGTGGTTTGAAAGAATCACTCAAGGAACATATCGAGCAGATCTCTTCTGTGATGGCAATCAAATCAAGATGAAGGGAGAGTTTAAAAATAAAAAAAAGAAATGATCATCCGTCCAGGAATTGGCTTTTGAGGCAATGGATCCTTTCACCTGGTGTTAAGCCCAAACCAAACTTTTGGCTATTTTTAAAAAAATGATTTGTTTAAAAAAAAAATTAAAAAAATAAATGACCTACTTGATGCCAGCCTCTGACAGTTCTGATTGTTGATGGGTGAATATTGTCTTGTTGGCTGAAATGGCTCTTCTTCCTGAATTCTATAAGCCCTGAGAAATGGAAGTCTTGGATGGAGGGTGGCATGTGTGTATGTGTGTGTGTTTTATGAATAGATTTTAATTAAAATTAATTTTCTCTGAAGTCAATCATTTTACATGAAAATCTTTTTTTTTTTTTTTTTCATATATGCTTTGGCATTTTCCAATTCCATAATCTTTACATTTTAATAATTTTCAAAACAGATTGGGGCTATATGATCTTCATTTTCATATATCATTAACCAACACAAAGTGCTGCCCAAAACATCGGAAGATGGTATGAAATGGCTTCCTTGATGAAAAAAGAAAATTGAAAGAAAATACTGTTCTTTATTGGTTTGTGGGGTGAATGAGAGAGATGTGTGAAATATCTGGTGAGACATGGGAAAACACTGGTTGAGTTTGACAGATAAACACTATTAAGGAATTTCTTTAGATTTTCCAATCATTTTTCGGTTGTAATTAGTATAAAAGTTGGTTGAACTTGTGTTGCCTGATGACGATTAGAGATTAAATTGGGGGATAAAAGTTGTCTTCTTCTCTGTTTATTAAACAGGGTGGGTATGATCACTTTTATCTTTTTTGTGGGAGGGGGTTTATAATCACTTCTTTTCTCAACCTTCCCTTCCTCCAGTTCATTCGATATATTTAAACGTGCCTCATACACAGGATTATTTTCAATGTTAATCTTTGGCGACTTGCATCGATTCCTTCCCCTAACATTTGACATGGATGATCTATCTTGCTCAAAGGATTTTTTAAAAAACATTTTCAAAGTCTTTATCCAATAAATATTCTTCATTTACCATTCCATCTATTGTTCTTCATACAGCTTTTCATTACATATCTCATTGGGTTTTTTTTTTTTTCTTTAATGATGAAACTAATCTTTTTCATGACAAAGATCAATTTAAAAGTGCATAAGAGCGGATGACGCACAGAGATGTGTCTGTGTATATGAGACAACGGTGAATGTATTTCAATTTACACAAAAATCTACAGATTTTCCTTTAGAGAAAAAAAATCTGTCATAACTCGACTTTTGCAGAATTTGTGCTATTTTTAAATCTGTCAGTAAACTTCTAAATGCTGATAGATTATTGTAAAAAAAAAAAAATGCATATATATAAATAAAATTTTATAATAAACAATTTTTAAAGGTTTACATTTTCTGTTTTGTTTCAAGTTTTGTTATTTCTCAATTCTTTATCAGTTATGAATGCATTCAGGTAATTTGTCTAAAAATAAAAATAATAGATGATTATTATTATTTTTAACCCATGGAAATTTTACAGTTTTCCTATTTTAACATTCTGATGAATCTTAATTCTTAAGTTAATGATTGAATAAGCTCATGGCGAGTTCTACGACAATAAAATATCTGTAGAAATTCCCCTATCGCACCGTTAAATATTTGAGCTTAACAACTTTAACAAAATATTGTAATAACAACCATAAATATGAATTCTGGCCGTTATTTTAAGAAGTAAGGGGGTACAAATGAAAAGATTTGAAATCGACTTTTCTGTTTCACTGAAACGGCTGTTAAACACTTCTATCTTACCTTCTTTCTTTCTTTCTTTTTCTCACTGAAACTAAGTAGTGTCTTTTCCCCTCTTTCAAAATGGAATATTACATTATTTATGAGGTACTGGCAGGAGATGTTAGACACTTCTATCTTCCTTTATTTCTTTCTTTCTTTCTTTTTCTCACTGAAACTAAGTAGTGTCAAAATAGAATATTCCATTATTTATGAGGTACTGGCAGGACATAACGGTCCTTTGAACTTAATGAAGGGAAGGAGAAGCACAAGTAGATTAGGATGATTATTATGCGAACAATTGTTGCCATTATTATTAAAGTTATTATAAAATAGCATAAGGCTTACATAATGTATTTTTGTTAATTCCTGACCAATGACAATGCTTTCCTTCCTCATTTGCAGTGTGTTGAACTCTTAACATATTCTAAAATTATGTCACCCTTGAAATGGTTTGCAGAAAGCATGTGATGATCTGACCTTGGAAGTTTGAAGAGGAGAATAGGCAGAGTATCTGGAATCTCCATAAAGTCAATTAAACTTTGGCACTGGCAAATTTCAACTCCTAGCAGGGCATCACCGTTAAAGAAAGAAAACATCTAATTTTCTGATGTTATAATTTTAATTTGTAAGTATCTATCACCCTTTTCTCAGCCATCTTTGTTCTGTTATAGACATGCATAATGAGAAAAAAAATGGCTTTACTTCTGCTAATTATTGATAAGCTACAGAATTCCTCCAAATGGTGAAGCAAAAAAAAGAAAATGATAGCAACTATTTTTCTCATTTTGGAGGGAAGGCAGGCTGAGCTGGTGATAGATTCAAACGATTGACATGAAGATGGTGGAATGTAAAAATAAAATAAAATCTCTAAAAATGCAACACTTTATTAAAAGAAGGCAGGAAGCAACATTTAAAACTGAAAAATGATGATGAATATCAGATGTTAGCACATGAGGACTTCCTCAGAAGGCCACTTCAGACCCAGGATCTACACCCCAAAAGTTATACTTCATCTGCTGATGTTGACGGCTGAGAAGACAAACCTGTGCACATAGCGAGATGGGTGTATATGCAAATACACTCAACCTTGGATTTTATCATAGGTGCAGTGAACGACAGATGATCGGAGAATGTCATAAAACTCTTCACGATTTTGCCATGAATGCCGTTACGCAATAGCTGTTAGATTTGAAAAAAGGATATATTTTGATTGGTGAGAAAGTAAATTTCTTGGCAATCTAAAGACATTAGAAATGCAGTCAAAAGCAATTTGGTTGCTAAACATTAGCCATGGTAAATAGTACTAAATAACACCAAGCTTAAAATCTTCTTTACATAAATGGGGAAATTAATCAAAATTCAGTTCTGGAGTGTCGTCTACCCCTACCACCAGACTTTATCTTGACATTTAAAGTCGGAATCAATCTCCATAAGGGGAAATGCTAAGGAAAATACAATTTCTGCCATCACTATTATGTATGTATATGATGCTCTGTCGACTGTGACCTTATTGTAAATAGGCCTGATAGAAAGCCAATCTTGAAAACGTAACATTAACTGAGATTAAAATGTGAAGTAGCAACTAACCAAAAAGAATTCTACTGGGAAAAGGTTTAATTTCAAGGTGATATGACGTGTGACGAAAGCAGATAGCCTAAACACGCATATACGCATATATTAGGGTTAATTTCTGCCTAGCAACAGAATATAGATCACGTGGGAGTCTTATGACATTTTGGGAAGGCAGGTCAAAAGGTTGACTGACCCAATTACCCATAGCGACAAATGTCTAGACAGAAGCTAGACAGGGGATGGATGTAAGCTAGAATTCGCGCCAAAACTTAAGATACGTGACAGAGATTCACTCGAGAATCAGTTGCTATCTTGACTTTGAAGAGGTAAGACCTGAAGCCGAAGTGCTGATAGTTTATGAACGGAAAGATAAGACGCATTTGATAGTGATGGAACTTATCCAGTTCAACCCAGGCAACTCCGGACAAGAAATATAAGAAGTATTCCTGTTCGAGAACCCCAAATTGAAGACGCAGAGAAATTTATACGCTGAGGATTCAGTCTGCATTTAAAGAAAACGGATATCCATAGAAGAAAGCACATACCTCTGTTATAAGTTGAATTGTGTAAAGAAAAGAAAACGGATATCCAAGAGAGGAAGAAAGTATATACTTCTGTTACAAGTTGAATTGTGTAAAGAAAGAAAAAGGAAAACCAGGGAAGAAAGTGTATACCTCTGTTATAAGCTGAATTGTGTAAAGAAGAAGAAGGAAAGAAAGAAAGAAGAAAACCAAAGAGAGGAAGAAAGTGTACATCCCTGTTGCAGTGAGTCGGATTTGAAAACCTAACTGTCTACAGAAGAAAACAGAAGGAAAGAAAAAGGCAAAACAAAGAGAGGAAGAAAGTGTATACCTCTGTTACAGCCGGACGGTGTGTGAAATTGTGTTTGTGTCGAGAAAAGAAAGGACAATGATAAAAAAAAAAGAGAACTGAATATAAAAGTTAAGTAATCATATTTTGGACCCGTAGTAGAAAGATATACATACATCCATGAATATTATGTTCGTGCAAACACCTTTCCACATGTAAAAACAATAATCGTAACTCCTATCCCATCTCTTTTGTGTACGCGTTGGCTTCTGCATTCAATTCATAGTAATTCATACTTATATTTTTGTATGTTCGGGTTCAGTTAAATCTATTTAGTGTTGGGCGAATTTTGATATCCCAATGTAAGTTTTGAGATCTGGTCGTCGGATGTTTTAACTCATACTTATATGTTCTTTTATTTTGGTATTTGTATATTTGTACATATTAAAATTCTTATATCAAAAATCGCTAAGCCTTATAGTTCATCCTTGTATTGTGGATCAGTATTCTTGTTGAAAATGAAGCGGACATGGGAAAGATTATTGTTCGATTATTCTAATCGAACAGTGATCTTAAAAAATATTTTTGTTTACCAATTGTCCATTCTGACGATCTGAGAGAGATAGCTTGTATCTCTCCACAGGTGTAAGAATGTATATATCCCCTAGTCGGCGTATGATCGCCTTATAAACCCATTCGTCGACTGGGGCATATGACAGTGATGTTGAATAAAAATCCTTCCAAGATACACATGGCCTAGTAGATTAAAATGTTCATAAAACATATTGAGAGATCCCTGACAGATGTGTGTTAAATCCCTGGGTCTGGTAGTGCTGAAATGTCACATACGTTGGCTCTGGGGAGGAAGCAGACAAGTGACACATAGGTGAGTATTGATAAGAGATCTTTTAAATATGGAAAACTAAATGGGAATAACTTCTTTGGATTGAATAAAGGGTTCAGTTCAACCAAGAATTACGAAGAATACAATCACTGAAATAAGAGTGACTTTTCATAGAAACATTTTATAAATTTCAACCAAAAGTAGTACTGTCTGTTCGGTTGAATGCTGAATGTTTCCTTATAAGGAAACAGCTAATATTACGGTTATCTTCCAGTAAATAGCGAACAATATTCGAGGATATGTATGTTATATACTTTGGTTCAGTGGAAGGAAAAAAAATGGACAAGAAACATGGGGGATGAGACTACTGAGTACTTACTGATATGAGTTATCTCCCCTAAGCATGGAAATTGGAATGGGAACAATCTAGCCCCATGAATTGAATAAAGGGCTCAATTCAAAATTCCAAGAAGATTATCAAATTTGGCAACTGATGCTTGAATAAGTTTGGAGGGTTGAAGTATTTTGAGTGTAGCAACCAAGATAAACATGTCCTTGTCTGAATAGCAAAGCATACTCATTGTTCGGAGCCCTCAACATTAAATGGAACAACATTGACTCTTCTTCAGCATAAAATAGTTAAAAATGTACAGATCTGGTATAAATTTCTCGATAGTTTATATTGTAAAATCTGTGCAATATGGAATTTAATAAAAGAATCTTACTATAACCATTATTATAGCATTTAAGTGAAATCCTCTTTTTTGCAACAGTGAAATCAATGTCCATTGGTCTTATTAAAGTAAATGTACCTCTTGGCAGGAACTGAACCTGCATTCTCTTTATCCTAGGAAATCACCTTTTAGATTGGCATTTAACCACAAAGATTTCTACAATAAAGCAAGGCTCAATGACTTCTTTTACAAAATACTCAGCCAGGGAATCAGATTGTTTTAATCCACTGGGGGTTGAAAATCTGGAGCCTTAAATCTAATGTTTTTTTTTTCCCCCCTCTGGCATTTGTGATTTCAATCTCTAGGCTCGGTAAAATGCTGAAAAATCGCATACTCTGGTTCAAAGAGATAGATAAGTAACACAAAGACTGCCGAGTACTAACTGATATGAGTTATCTCCCCATAACATGGAAATTGAAATGAGAACAATCTGGCCCCATGAATTAAATAAAGAGCTCAATTCAAAATTCCAGATATGTTTTAACAAACAATCTACAGTGTGTTTCTGTTAATCTACTGGTTAAATTTTGGAATTTTAAATCTGTCTTTACCTGGGTAGAGGGTTCTAACTCAGGATAGGAACTTTATCTATCTTAGTCTGTGCATATCTCTATCTATCCTAATTGGCGGCTCCCAGATGATGTTTATCAGGTGATGAATTATTTTCCATCCCCATAACATGGAAAAATTTCCTGATGGGCTAAATTCCCTTGTTTCAACAGTTCAGACTTTTACAGCTAAGACTTGCCGTGCCACAAGCACAGAGGCAGTCCTTATTCCCTTTGTATTCCATTGGTAAGGAGGAAGTTTCATTTGGACAGCTTCTTCCAAAAGGCCACTGCTTTGTGGAACAGACTCCCAGGAGGATGCTTCCCCAATCACTAGAATCTTAACCTCTTAAAGTTCAGGGTTGTTAACTATCCTATATAATGTTTTATGGTCATAAAACAACTTTGGGCAAACAATAGTATTAAAATAAAAATGCTTGGTCTACTGAGGTGGTTATCAGTGCCAGCTACATGGCAGTTGTATGTATCTGGGTCTGGTCATGTTAAAATGTTGCATACTATGGTTTGGTGAGAAAATAAGTGTTATAAACAGGATGGTGAATAAGACTGATGAGTATTAACTGATATGAGTTATCTCCCCTTAGCATGGAAAGACCAATCTCCCTGTGGGTTGAATAAAAGGTTTAATTAGAAAAAAGTCTTCGTAAAGGGGAAAAAAATTGTTTTTATTTATAATATTCTTTATATCTGTCAGTAATCTGTCTTTGGTATGCATTGACTAAGAAATAAGCTTCCCCCCCCTTTTTTTAATCATTTCACCCCAAGCAAAGTGGAAATGCCACTAGTACACAGTGGGTTACAGAGAGGGAAAGAGAAGACTGAGAATAGGAAGGATTACGGAACAGACTAAAGATTAATGAGATTCAAGAAGACAGAAAATGACAATTGAAATTGCATTTAAATTTTTGAAGATTGTAGTTATCAGGGAAGCAAGGAAACTGAATTGAGTTCTACAGGTGGGAAGTGTGAGAAAGGAAACTTTGAATAGAAGTGGTGGTTGCATTTAGCTATTTTCAGACGAAACTGGTGGATTTTGTCAAGAATCTTGAGATGTACTGCAGGAGCATCAGACCAGGTATGACAACAGTATTCAATGCATGGGCAAATGGTAGATTTGTAAATGTGTAAGACGGATTCTGACAAGAAAAATTTTCTGGCATATAACAGTCCATTATTTATGAGGTATTGGCAAAGTGTAATAGTCACGCAAACTAATGAAGAAACAGACAAGTACAATTATAATAGGATTCTTGGCCTACTAATCATAGCCTAGAATATGTGTCGATTCTTTCAAACATGTTTCTATTATATTTCATTCTACAGGGCTCAATGATTACCCTTTTCCCTCCATATATGATCAGCCATGTGTGATTTCATTCATAGATTATGTAAAGGGGTTCAGTTCAAAATTCACTGAAGATTTACCTAATGAATGCTGGTGGGACACAACAGCCAAGACATTGTGATAATAGCAAAGCTACGAACATCAGTCCACATGTAGACAGTTTACAAATTTAATTTAAATTTGAGTTGCTTTAAAACTGACAAAATACAAAGATAAATTCCTCCATACTTGTGGAATTTTTACAAATATTGCTAATGACACTTTTTTTATTTGTAATATTCTACTTATTTGTGTCTGACTTGTATTTTGCAAGTAGAATTTGACTTGATAATTGCTTTGACAACACAAAGGCATTAGTTGCCAGAGTCTCAATGAGTTTATCTCCCTCCCCCCATCCTGCAACTTTTTCATTTTCTTTTTCATGTTCTCAACTCTTTCTTTCTTTCTCATTTCATCTGACATTTTTCTTTCTCATTTCCACACCTTTTTCTTTCATTTTTTCATTTCCTCCCCTTCTTTTTCTTTTTTATTTCTCCCTTTTTTCATTTCCTCCCTTTCTTTTTCTTTTTCATATCCATCGTTTTTTTCATTCTTTTTCAATTACCCACCCTTTTTCTTTTTCATTTCCTCTCTTTTTCTTTTCCTCCCCTTTTTCATTCTTTTTCAATTACCTACCCTTTTTCTTTTTCTTTTCCTCCCCTTTTTCAATTTCCTCCCCTTTTTCCTTCTTTTTCAATTTTCTCCCCTTTTTCTTTTTTTCATTTCTTCCCCGTTTTTCTTTCTTTTTCAATTTCTTCCCCGTTTTTCTTTCATTTTCATTTCCTCCCCTTTTTTCAGCTTCTGGTCTTTTTCTTTTTTCTCTTTCTTTCTTTACATTTTTTCAACCTTTTACTCTTTCTCTCTTTTCTTTTACCATATTTTTTTGACATTTTCCCTTCTTTCTTTTTTATTCATTCTCATTTCACATTTTTTTTTAGTTTCTTTCCTTTTTTTTCTTTTAAACCCATCTTATTCATTTTATTCTTTTTCTTTATTAATTTTATGCATGTCAATTCAATTCATGTATAATCCTCTCCCTGTTCTGGCTGTCAAGGCATACAAATATGTGAGAGAAATTATATTTTAGTTGTATACAACCAAAGAATTTTCATAGGTGCGGCTAATAATAATAAATATAACAACAAAATAGGTTAAAAAAATTACCCTGCATCTTTTATGTGAAGTTGACGCCTCACATAGGCTAATAATAATACTTACTGAAACAAAAAATATTATTATTATAATATTGCTACTGTAAAAGGAAGTGTATTGTTAAAAAGTCGTAGTGAAATTCATCAACGCCATATGATTGATCATCCCTAAATATGCCTCAAAACATTCCATTTATTAACCGTCTAAAAACTACAGAAGAAATAGATTTAATTGAAAGGAAATACCAGTAAACTAACCTGGGGGACATGCCATTAAGGCCGTAATAAAATATGTTTGTCATATAAAGTGATGTGTTTAATGTACAACCGTACCAATTACTTGTATATACAATAATTCTTTTCTGCTAAAGTGATTTTGTCTATATTTCTGAGATGAGGTATTATGTACACTATTTAGATTATTCAGACTATTGTGCTCATCTTCGTTGCCATATTTATTACATTTCGGCCGTTGTACGCTCCGGCCTTCTTCAGGTGGTTGGAATGTCGAACTGAACCCTTTATTTCCCTCACTGGGGTAGACTCTTCTAGTTCCATGTGCCATGTTCAATGAATGTCAGTTATCTCCTGTTAATTCCCCTCTGAAAGTTCTCCACTGTCTTAACCAGGTATTGAGCTCATACTCTTTGGGTCCTGTCACTGGATCTGACTAACGCCTTTATCCACTGTGCCATGTGTCTTTGAGGACCCTCGACTCTGGCAATGATGTCCAAGTATGGCACTCACTTGATTGTTGCGGCGAAGTTAAGACCCTTATTCAATACTGACTCCTCAGAGGCACTCAGCTGATATTGGCTGATGTTGATTACTGCTTTCACTGGTGGGTGATTAGACACATGTAAGTCTAGGTAAAGTCCTTGTAATTTACCGAATATAGCTGATCACTCGTATTCAAGGATACCTGTCTAATAGGGCTGCTAGCCAATCCCTATTGCAGATGCTTACTCTGGTGCATTTTGTGTTTGTTTAACACCCACAGAGCCAACGTGTGGTTTATATTGCAACTATGCTGAGCAGACCTTAGTTACAGTTTCTGGAAGAGAGTGTGTTATCTAGAATGTTCAACAATCTAAACAGTGCCAGCACACTCAAATCCTCGGTCATGATGACTTGTTACTTTGTGCTAGCACAGCTATCAACAGCCCCCCCCCCAATAGTTCTGTCTACTCAATTTCACTCACAAGGCTTCGGTCAACCTGTGGTATGGTTTTCAGGCACTTTCCAAAGGTGCCACACATTGGGTTCGACCTCTCCATTTCGAGTATGGCATAAAAATTTACTTATTCTTTAAATATAAATCAAAACACACGTCTTTCATAAATAGTTTCTTACAAAAGAAACAACTGGTTATTAAATAAAATTTCTTTGACTGCCGGAGACAAAATTTTAAAAAGTTTTCAATGCATATAAAATAACAATATTTATTTATATACCTATTTCCAGTGGGGTCAAGGAAAAAAAATAAAATGTAGCTTTCCACAAAATGCTAGGATGTAGCTGCTGCTTATTTATGTTCAGTGTCCATTCAAGATGGCTCTTCACAATTTCCTGTCCTTTGTAGCTCTTAATAAATTTTATCTTTTTGTTATGTTTTCTAAACCTTGCTCTACCATCCATTTACCCAAGCTCAATAAATATGTCCTGTATTGTTTTCTTCTGTTCTTCTTGCCTTCGATCTGTCCTGTGAGTATCAGATTTTCCAAGCCCTCTTTCCTCATTATGTGCCCTAGAAATTTCTCTTTCTCATGTAAAGTATAAGTAACTTTTTTGTTTCCATTTTCTCTAAAACTGTGTTGTTGTTCATATGTTCAGTCCATGATAGTTGTCTTAGTATTCTTCTGTGGAATCAAATTTTGTTGCTTCAAGTCTCTTTGAGGAGATTGTCCAGCATTCACTGCCATATAGGAGGACAGATATTACGTAACAGTTCAGTACTCTTTTTCTTTGCTTCAATTCATCTTGCATTCACTGCCATATAGGAGGACAAGTCAGTTCTCTTCTTCATCTTTGGGGAGATTGTCCAGCATTCACTGCCATATAGGAGGACAGATATCACATAATAGTACAGTACTCTTTTTATACACAAATTATAAGATCAGTATTACTTTGATCGTTAACTTCAAAATATTATTTCCTCTGTCTCATAATATTTGGTGCATTTGCCTAGTTTTCTTTGGATTATTGGCAACACTTATTAATATTTCCACCTCAGTCCTGTAATGATTGTTACATTCACATTTTCTATCCTCAATGTAACAACTATTATGGGATAGCAGTTGTATTTCTTTCTCATCTTTTTATACAAAATGATTGAAACAAGCAATGTTTCTCACCTCTTCATAGAATGCATTTATTTTTTAATTTTTATTTTTTATGCATTTGCAGCCAACACAAAAGTCATTCATACTGCATGCATCAAAGACTGGAAGCATTTTTTTCTTCAGAAAAAAAAAATTTGTGTCCTGATTTTTTTTCTTTTTTAAAATCTAATTTTATAAATTCTCAGTAAAATAGTTGGACCGTTATTTGTCCAGATACAAATTTCCTAATGTCACCATTTATTTTTATTTTTTAAGTATTGTTTAACTTAGTTTCCAAAATGGCTGAGCAAAAAGCATTGAGTAAAATAATTTTTGATGGAAAAAAATAGAAAGAATTGAAAAAAGAAAAAATACAATATGAGAAAAATAGCGTGTGAGAGAAAGTGATAAATAAAGCAAGAGTAAAAGGAGAATGGAAGCAAGCCATCGAAAAGGGAGAATTTCCACCACTGGCTGGATGTGAACACTCCAAAACCAAAGACTGAATTAAAATTCCATCAATTGTGCATAAGCTTCACATATTGCTTCCGTTTTTACTCACACACTCAAAAACAAAAAATAAGCAATACAATCCAGAATTTCCACCCAATAGCACTCACTGCTGCTTAAAGTAACAAAATAAAAACTGGAGCCAATCTGAGCCTAAGAAAAGGACATAAAAGCCCATCAAAGAGACATTTTTGGCAGTTGGACGGCAGATTGGCCTAGAGTCACAATGCTGTCGGAAAGTGACCTCTCATCTTCAAAAGACAACTCACCAAAGGCTGTTGCCACAGTAAGTCATGACACATTCTCTCTCTCTCTTACTGTACGTCTCTCGGGACACCTTTTACAATTTCACTTGTCTCTTTTTTTTTTCTTTTTCAATGAGAGACATTTATACTGATTTATCATTTGTTGTATTTTATCTTAATACAGTTATTTATTTCTTTAAACCTTCCTTGTTTCTTCTTTGTTCAGTCACCATTATGCTTTAATACAACAAAAGGAAGCAAAAAGAGGAAAAAAGCAATACATACAAAGAAAGCAAGAGAGAAGGAAAGAGCAATAAAACAAGAGAAAGAAAAAGTGAGGGGGGGAATGAAAGCAAGAAAAAGTGAGAGAGAGAGAAAACAGGCAAAAGTGAGAGAGAATGAATGAATGCTAGAAAGAGAGAAAAGAATAATTATTTAATGAAAATCTCCCACCCCTATTCAGATGATTATGGGTGACAGTTTTAAATTAATATCTTGTCCTTCTAGTCCTGATGGAGACTTTGTTCCTAAACTTATGCTTATGGAATGTCAGCATCTTGATTATTTCATTATTTTCTCTTTGAGTTACATGTACTATCCATTTTAGTAGTTGCTGCTGTTGAAAGTCCTCAAGTGATAAGGTTTCTGTTGTCTGGTACAGTTCTTTGTTATTTTGTAATGCCAGTCCACCGCGTTTGAAGAAGGATAGTTCTTGATTGAAGCCATTTTTAATCGCTGTATACAACTGACAGTTTAGATATTTCTGAATGAATTTGGTACAAAATTTAATCTGAATATCTCAACTTAGATAAACTGCTTGGGAACACCAGGTGCTGTAAGCTTGGATGTGCTGGCAGTGTAATGCAAAATGGCTTGGAATTGTTAATCGGAGAATCAAGTTTCAATTTCAGTCGGGATCATTATATTCACTTACACGCAAATACCCTCCTTCTCTCTCTCCCCCAGCTATGGGTTAATTAGTAGGACTTGTATCAGTAAAATATTATCTCCCAAAAACTTCTTATGATCCAAAAATATTTTCTGGCTTTAAATAACCTGCAATAGATTGATAAGCTGTAAAAAAATAAATCAATCCATCAAAAATATTTCTGAACATGTTGGATGCCATGCATGACATACATGTAAGAGTTCCAATTTGATTAAGATAGTTAAGAACATGAATTTAGTTCTTAGGTTAATGTTTTGGTTTTGTAGCAATTGGTGGTGGTGTGTGAAACTACCTCTAGCACAACCTGTTCTATGTTCAATTTCCTAAATTATAGCTTAGAATATGATCGTGCAGAACAAGTTTTGGCAACATTCCAGAGCATCACATTAGACAGCCAAGAAAGCCTGGAGGATAAACGGGTGAAATGTTGTGACAAAAACAAAGAAAGCAATCCAAACCAGTCACACAGAATGATTAAAATGCCTTGTTTAACAAAATCCAGACAAGACATCTGAATTGTTATTTAGAACAAGAATTTGAAGCAATGCTTAGAAACTATGACCTCTGCCAGACACATACTGGATTACTTTTTAGTCAAAAAAACTTTTATTTTAATATTGAAGAAATAAACATAAAAAATAATTTCTTAATCTGTACAAACAAAAATTAATCTTTGATCAATCGAAAATTCTTGAGGATTAATTTCATTTGTTTTATACAATTAATATTCAATATGATTTTTGTTTAGAAGCAATTGAATTCGGTGTTAAGTGAGAGAGAGAGGGAGTGATGGGGACAAAGAGACAGATGAGAAGGTGAGAGTAAGTAAGGATGTTCAAGAGAGAAAGACAGGAGAGAGTGGGTGAGACGAGAGGTGATGATAGTCAAGAGAGAAAGTAAGAAGAGAGATA